TATTAAGAACTTTTCTTCCATAGGTAGTGTGTAACATTTGATTTTCCTTTAACTTTAGGAAACAAAGAGCGCAAGATTGCCTAATTTAGATTTTCAATAATATTATTTTCATATTATGCAGGAATAAGTGATCGAAACGTGTCAATTAGTAAATAAATTTGAAGTGATTGCAGAGGAAAATTGAAAAGAATCAAAAGTACTCCTCTATAACCACATTTTTGTCTCAAGACAATTAAAGATAAAACCCATCTATAAAATCGTTCATGAAAGAAGGGGTCTGCATCACAGGCACTTGTTTCGGAAATGAATTCTAATCCATAGTCTAATAATAACACAAGGGTGTTGTTATTAGTATTTTGGGTTAGAAGTTATTTCCGGAACAAGTGCCTGTGGTCTGCATGTATAGCATTAATTAAACAATTTTACTATTCATTAATTTATCATCAATGTTAAATAAACACGAAATGAAAAATCAATGCATAGTATTATAAACTAAATTTGTTTATGTTTTTATAGGGGAAAATTATGAGAAATAATAACGGTTTGTGAAAAAAAGGAGAAAAGAAGCCCTTTTTACAAAAAATTAAACAACACTCACTTTTGACAATCAATTCAATATTTAATTTTATCAATCATTATTATCAATTAACAATTAATTATTTCCATTCATATGTCGACAGGATATATCCAAGTGAACTGGAAATAAAAGACACTACAGAGTCTGGCACATCTGTTTTATATTTGAATATTTACAAGACAAAGTCGTTAATGGTAACTAAACAACAAAGTTTTATGATAAATGTGATGATTTCAATCGTCAACTTCCCTTGCAGCAATATTCTTCTTGCAGGGTTTACAATTCTCAGTTGATTCGACACAAAGGAGCGTGTTTTGTGTATATTTCTAAATCAAGGTAAGTTATTGATAAACACATGATGAATCAAGAATATCAGCAGTCTCTTTTTAAAGTCATTTTGTAAGTTCTAAGGTCGACACAATGACCTTTTCTACAAATACAACATATAAAGTCATTGATGTTTTCATACTAATCGTTGGGCCATTATTTACACGCTGAATTGTCTACGAATATTTCCATTATTTCCCGATCATGACTATGAGCATAAGGCTGATGTGACGGTCAGCAGGGGATAATCATTTCTCCATGACACCTGATCCCACCTCTGATGTTTTAGAGGTCCGTGTTTGCTCTGCTCCTTATTTGGTCGTAAATATTGATGTGCTCTTACTTGTTATAATTTATATAAAATGAAATACTTATGTATAAAAGAAATGTAGACTATGAATTACTCGAAAGAACACCCTGAAAATATAATATCTCAAAACTTTTCAATAATCAGAGAACTAAATACGTTTTCATGCTCAATACAACTATTCCTGACGACAAATTCAAGAATGGATATCATTGACAAATTTTACTTTCTCAATAAAATTGCTACGCATAAATTTTCTGTGAACCAGAGACTTGTCTTCAAAGGAGGTTAATTATCAAAGTCTAGATCAGTTGATTTAGATTTAGATCAGAAATAGAGAGAAATATTTCAAAGTCGAAATAAAAATCGTCATTTTCTCAACATGCTTTGTTTAAAGATGGAAAAAAAATAAATCAAAGTTTAAAACAGTTTCTGGAGTAAGGGGGTCTAAATATTCTACTTGAATGTGCACTTTGCAATACTTGTAGAAAAAGTGAAGAAAAAAAAATAAAAGACTGCCAAGGGACTCCGATAGGAGAAAATTTTAGTTTCAGAGAAAATCTCTAATTATATTGATAAGGAAATTAATTTTAAATATACAAGCTTTATTATCAGTCAAATAACAAGTTCCTATACGAAAAAAAGCAAGGAGGAGTTTGTGTCATCATTTAGTGAAATCCCATGACATAAATGCAAAGAAATTCTTGCCAGCTTTCTATATGCATTTCAATCATTCTCAACATTTGAGATATATATCTCAACGAACATAAACACCATTAGGCGATACAAAATCAGAATGACTGAATCATCTGCTTTGCAAGAGTATAAGTACTTTTAAAAGAAATAAAGCACGTTTTTAACTTATAATCTGTCGTGGAATTGGAAATAAAATGACATTTTTTTTTACGTTTTCTCTGTATCCTCGTAACTCCTTGAGAAAGAAAAAAAAACTTTGGTTTAAGTTAAATAATAATTTATGAAATATGATTTCTAGAGTAACAAGAGGCCCAGGGGCCACATCGCTCACCTGAGCAACTGGCTAGGTAAAAAGCAAAAATCAGTTCAGTATTGAAAAATTTAAATATAAAAAATACAAAATTTGGTTCAGGGGGGGGGGGGGTGAATTTGAACAAACTTAAATCTATACTTCCTAAGGATGATTTTGAATTGATATGACACATAAGGGCTTTGCTGTTTATAAGATAAAAATTATTATTGATAAAGCCTTTATATTCCTTTGTTATGATCCACTCTAATGGCTCCTCTTTTCTCCCAATTGTCACAATTTGAACAAGTTTAAATTTACACTACCTTTTGATGCTTTTATGTTGATGAACAATTATGGCTTTGTTGTTTTTGTGAAGAATTTTAACTATTTTTCCATGTATTCCTATATAAAACCTTGTTCACCCATTGTGGCCCCACTCTTCCCCCATGAGATAATGATTTGAACAAACTTGGATGCTTCCATATAATATCACGAATCATGGCTTTGCTGTTCTTGAGAAAAAGAATTGTAAAGATTTTTTTCTATGCAATACTATTTTGATCAGCCATTATGGCCCAACCCTTACCCCAGGGTCATGTTTTAGACAAACTTAAATCTACTTTACCAGAGGATGCTTCCAAATAACTATGACCAACCATGGCTTTGCTGTTCCTGAGAAGATTTTTCAAGTTTTCCTATGTATTCCCTTTTAAAATTTTGACCTCCCAATGTGCCCTAATCCTACCCTTGGGGTCATGATTTGAACAAACATAAATCAATATTAACAGAGGATGCTTCCATTTAATTATGACCAAACATGGCTTTGCTGTTCTTGAGAAAAAGATTTTTTTCATGTATTCCTATACTAAATTGTAATACCCCATTGTGGCTCCACCCTATCCCCGGGGGTCATGATTTGAATAACTTGAATCTTCACTGCGGGAGGATGTTTACACATGAATTTCTTCTTTCCTGGCCTAGTTCTTCCTGAGAAGAAGATTTTTAAAGATTTTTCCTATGCATTCCTGGTTAAACTATGATACCCCATTGTGGCCCCACCCCACCCCTGGGGTCATGCCTTACACAAACTTGAATCTTTACTACATGAGGATGCTGCCACACGATTTTCAGCTTTCCTGGCGCAGTGCTTCTTTAAAAGATTTTTAAAGATTTTTCCTAAGTATTCCTATGTTAAACTTTGATACCCCATTGTGGCCCCACACTACCCCCGGGAGTCATGATTTGAACAAACCTGAATCTACGCTACATGAGGAGTTTCAGCTTTCCTGGCCCAGTGCTTCTTGAGAAGAAGATTTTCAAAAGATGCCATTAATTTTTCATTAATTCACAATTATCTCCCCTTGGAGGAGGGCGTGGCCCTTCATTTGAACAAACTTGAATTCCCTTTATCCAAGAATGCTTTGTGCCAAGTTTGGTTGAAATTGGACCAGTGGTTCTTGAGAAGAAGATGAAAATGTGAAAAGTTTAAAACGACAACGCCAACGACGACAGACAAATTTTGATCAGAAAAGCTCACTTGAGCCTTCGGCTCAGGTGAGCTAAAAAAATAAGATTATGATTCGGGGAACTAAAGCAAAGCAATTTTAATTAAATTATTTTTTTGAGAAGTGTAATCTAAACTGTTTCAACACTCCCCTGAACTATCAATTTCTTCAATGCTTCAATTGAAAGCAGGCGCAGAGGTAGGAGGATCAAAGTTACCATTTGATCTTGGAAACAAAGGCTTAGATTCACACCTCCAGATACGTAGAAACTAAGTTTCAATAGCACAAGTTTGGCCATCTTCCCAAGTCAAGAGTTTCTGATCCGCTCCGCTCAATATTTATGTGGAGCGGATCAGAAACTCTTGACTTGGGAAGACGAAGTTTGGCAAGGTTTTTCTCTTCTTTTCCAAATGTTGATTCCTCTGTATCCCAATATGTTGACCTCTTCAACAGTTTTACCTCATCCACCAATATCAAACAATCATATGGACCTCCAAAAACATCAGAGGTTGGATCAGGTGCCATGGAGAAGTGAGCATTCCCTGCCAACAAATCACACCCGTCGTGTGCTCTTTGTATCGATCGAAAAAAAAATCCATAAACAATCAACTATGTAAATAATGGCCAGAAAAATAATACGAGAAACGTCCGTCAGCATTTGACAATGTATATACGTCGACTCGATATATTCCTTACTTTATATGTCAGGTTTTTTCCTTGAAAATGCTTAAAGTATATAAAGAATGATTAGTTGTTGTGACGTACGACTTTTTTTCATCATGTCTAAAGTTTTATTTCTGTTTTAATGAAACTCGCATTACCAGAAAAAATAAACACTAATTCACATGAGCATTTGATTGGTTGCTTTGACACTATTTTTTTTTTCATTTATAGGCATCTACTAGTTTTCTGTACATTACATTCTTTATATACGCCCCAGTGAAAATTTACACTCGTAAAAAAAGTCAATACTTAGGTTTTCATAAAAATATAAAATTTCCAACATATTTGAAAAAAAAATTCTGATAGAAATTAGAGATGATTTTATTTTCCATTAAAAAAATGAAAATACACTCAATTTGAACGACCTGTTTCATATAAAAATCTGACAAAAACGTTTATCTGGTAATAGCATGTTTATGTTAGACAGATTCTAAAATTAAAATCTAAAAAAAAATCAGAATAGAGAAAACGTGGTTTCAAGAGATGAATAAATTGTTGGCAATTGTGGATACATGCATTATGTTTTTAATGATTTATTCGCCTTAATTATAAATTCATATTCATGTCGTGTAATCTCGTCATGATTTCCACTTTGTATCTATTATACTACAGGGAAGCCATCAGAAGGTAGGAATAATTTTTCACTCCGAATTTTTTCTTTGTTTTGTTTTTATTTGTTTAAAACGATACGAATGTTATTACTAAAGGATAAACTTTAATTGTTCACAAAAAATTTCTAATACAGGAAATAATATTCAATACCTTAGTTTTATAAAGTACTATTATTTTTGACGCCATAATTAATGAAGAAACAATAAATAAGGAATGGATTTGGATACTAAATTTAATTTTTTTTTTAAAAATGTGAAATTGTTTGAAAATAATAATAAAAGTAGTACTTTCGAACACATATATAATTATTTGAACATATTTTTTCATCTTAAAAGAAATTGTATTCCAATTTTTGAAAAAAATAGGTAGAAACACACGACTTGCAATTCATCTAACAGATTCAAAGTACAAATCAAAATAAGTAATGTACATCGGTCATCCCTAAAACGAAGCCCAATGCTAGACAGAGCTGGCACCGGCAGCAGGCCATTAAGTTTGACAAATTAGTGCGTCAAAACTCCAAACAAAAAAATTCAAGAACACGCCGTGGTTTGTGAAATTTACATATAAGGTTACGAGGTATCGTCAAAATGATTGATTCGTTTGACGGCTCGTACTGGCGTTCATTGTCTTATTTTAGAAAGATATGATATAAAAATTGTTCGCGCTCAAAATTATTTTGAATGTTCTCACTTTTTATCGATGTTTAATTTAATTTAGAATTAACAAAATACATGTTTTGGTTACTTCAGATGAGGGCAACAATACCAATATTACTGGCCCTCTGTGCAATGGCACTGGGGAAAATAGAAAGGATGCCCATGCCTGCAAATATGTGCAAGACTTACAGAAACCTAGGTACGGAGTATAAAAAATCAGGAAACACTAAAACGCAGCATGAAATACAAGACCTAGGACTTAAACAATATCTTTGGGAAACCGACCGCACTCGTTCTTCCAAGAAGATTCCTGATGCCACTGTGAAATATATAGAAAGTTTGGATAGAGAGATTTACAATGCAGCCAGCCAGCAGGGCAGAAAAAAGAGACAAACCGGATGGTATCGCGGCGAACGGAAGGAGATCAGAATGCTTAGTGATGAAGAAAGGCGGGCAGTTTTTAATTGTTTTAACACACTTAAACAAACTAAGGCAAGTGTCCTTTAAAAATAGAAAAAAAAATTAATAAATCAAATATTTACCAAACTTCATTTCTTCTGATGATGCTGGCATTAAAAAACTATAGGGAGGACTTGCATAGATCATGCCCGATGTCCAAACCATTTATGTAAATTGACTTTACAATATTTTTTCTCTGTGATAACTCTTTGAAAATTGGGGGAGTTTATTTCTTGATAATTCTGCCGGAATGTAAATTAGGCTGGTCAATAGGTCAGCAGATAAGGATAGTGCAAAAAATCTCTGTGTCTGACGCTAAGGAGGCCAATGCATGTAAAGTTGCCTTTGTGTTTCTATTGAAATTGGCATGGAAGTCATCGTGTAATTTAAATCTATTAGTCTACATTTTTAATGTCTAAGTCTACAATTTTATTTCACAATGAAATAGAAATATAAGGAATCACTGTCTAGTTAGGAGAGTATGCCAGGGACATCAACAATAGTGGGAAACATGGGACAATTTTAGCATAACGGGCAAAGCCCGTTATGCTAAAATTGTCCCGGTGTTTCCACTAACCATTTACCGGATTCCTTAAATCAATGTTTAATCGTTGATGCCTTGCATACTATTTACTTAATTAAATTGAATCAAACAAAACTCTGTTTCAGACATTGGAACCTAATGTATACGATGCCTTAGCTAGTGTTCATCACGGTGCAGCTACCCCAGTGGCTCATTTCGGTTGTGGCTTCCTTGGGTTCCACAGAATTTATCTCCTTAGGTTTGTAAACTTACATTAGTTCCCATCCTATCCCCAGTCAATCTGAACCGTATCACATACATATTACGCTTGTTATATGAAATATAATACACACACTACCATTTTCACGGTATTATAAGGACCAACAAGTACATGTACTCCTGTTGCTGTCAATTGGACCTATGTACTGACTTATTTTTTTCTTCAAAATGTAATCTTATAATTTGAAATGCAACATTTTACAGTACTTGTGCGTAGAAAAGAGCAAATTTTCTTTTAACAAACGGCTTTCTTTTGTACAAATAAATGCATAAAAATTCAGCAATATTCATATTTTTCATATATATTAGGGATGGCAATTCGTAACCGGTTAATCGATTAATCGGTCGAAATGATGCTAATCGGTTAGAAAATCCGTAATCGGTTAGTCGGAAAAAACAAAATATATACCTGTATGTAAATTCGAACGCAGTTTCCGTAAAATTCCTTCTTTTTTAGAAAGGAAACCGCCTCATAGATGTTTACTTGTTTTTTGTTGTTGTTGTTTTTTTTTTTACACATCTTATGATTTAGAATATTTTGGAGTAATTATATCTCTCCAGATTGAGATCGCAGGGGTAATTAGTCAATTCGTAAAGCGATAATTACTGTTTTTAAAACACCTTCACGGCCAGGAACACGTTAAGTTCCAAGACAGTACCGTTGTCAGAAACCTTTAAAGTTAAGCACTAAAAATGGCTCGTTGTCATGAATTTACAGGTGAGGATATGACATCGGTGTCATTACTTACTAGCAATGTTTCATTTTTTAGGTTAAATAATTTTGTTATATAATCCCTTTGGTGTTGTATATATAGATATTAAACCCTGGTGAAATCAAACGTGGATTTCATTCATTTTCCTTCTGGGATGTTTTATTATTTTGTAAATAGAATATTATATGTATACCATTTGATGCAGTCAGTATCAAGACATGTTATTAGCCTTTACAGAAAAAAATAGAACAAATTAAAACTGAAAATTTTGATTTATTATAATTTATGTCCGTTGTCATACCAAGATACGAAAATCCGTCCGTTGTCATCGGTCCGTTGTCGCTACTTTACTGTACGTATACACTGTGAAGGAGGTCGATTATAGATTTTTTTTATGCTTTGATAAATTTCAAGCATGCTTTCAATAAATGGGTGAACTAGTTAGTCATAAGAAACTATAAAAAAAAATATATTAAAGATACTTCGAATATGTTAACATTTGAAATTTAACTTGGCGGTAGGCGGAAAAACCATATATATTCAAATATTATTTTATATTATTCTATTTTCATATGTTATATATGTATATTATATTAATTTTTGAGGAAATACATGTATTCAAAGATTTTATGCAAAAGTTAATTTAAGAGCTATATCTCAAAGTAAAAGATTCCAGTCATTGGTTCATATTTCTCTTCATTTTGAATAAATTTCTTTGTCTTTTCAAAAAATTCTTTTAGGAGTGAACATGCATTGTTTACCGTTTACATTTACTGTGTGCTCCTTTTCTTGAAAAATCCGTCGACAATTCAGTGTGTAAAAAATGGTCTAACAATTACTATGAAAAACGTCAGTCAGCATTTGACTCCATGATAAATTGTATTTGCTGACAAGATCATTGCTTCGACCAAGGAACTTTTGAAAATTTTAAAACAAGATTTCTGAAATTCTTGTTTCAGCAACTTGTTTGTCAATAATTTAATACGTATTAAAAATTTCTTTATTTTAAAGTACGTATATCCAGCGTTTCAGTTTTGTTTTACTGATAATATTTCAGGAATTCTTTATTTTTTTTTTTATACTTATGCACTCTAGAATGAGAATGAATTGACTAAAAAAACATCACAGAGTGGTTAGCACGTTGGCGTATATACATTTCTCGTAAGAATCCAAAAGATTCAAAATTTTCTGCAATATGCTTTCTCTTTCTTAAGAGTACATATACATTTGATCATTTTGGTTATCTTATAATTTCACTTCTAACAAAGTGAACTGGCATTAGTCAGACTGTTTCATTGATAAACTTATATGTTAAGAAAAAGACACCGGACTAGAAAAACTTAACATGTACTGACAACGGACGTTTTGCGTATAAATTGCGATTTCTTAAAGCCTGCTATCATGAATAGGCTGTCAGTTGCCTAACACATGTCAAATTAATTTTTTCTTCATATTTCAAAATAAAAGGAGCATTTTGATAAATTTTACGTAAGAAATATTAAATTTTCAGGCTGACGATTATGACTTCACACACGGGCATGTGATTGCCAACGCAAACTCCTCTTTTATTACTTCATTTTAACGGCTGAAATTCATACAACACCAATAGGGGTGTCAGTCCTGTTCCCTATTGCAATTTCAGACATTGGTTGAAATTATTTACCTTAAAAAATGAAACATTGTTCACGACCAGTCTTCTCAAGTAATGACACCGGACAGTTTTTGTCATAACCTTACCTGTATTTTCATGACAACGAGCCATTTTTAGTGCTTACTTTATATATATATATATATATATATATATATATATATATATATATATATATGATATATATATATATATATATATTTCTGTATTTTGCCGTGATCTATTAAATCATATTATTCGAAAGAACGTTGTAAATTGTAAATAAAGTGAGAGTTCTGAAATCGATTTGGTCATGGTGACAATGCAGAATTAACCCGTTTAATATCTGCATTGGAAAATTATCCCTGTCTAATTTCTCAAGTAAGATTCATGGTTTTCTTTTTTTTTTCTTGGTCTATTGAAATTAAAATAAAGTATATTCTTATGTACATAAAATTCCCCAATCAAAATAATAAACAGAATGTAACTTTTAAGTAACGTCTTTTTAGCCTTCTTGTGTGTATAAAAAGAAAATGTCAAAATGTATATATAAACGATTAACCGGTTAAAACGTTTTGCGGTTAAGATTAGCATATATATATATATATATATATATATATATATATATATATATATATATATATATATATATATATATATATATATATATATATATATATATATATATATATATATATATATATAAGAAATAATTTGAAATCATTTTCTGTAGATTTTATTGGAGTATTTCCATATCAGAAACCAAAGGAGAAGAAATAATTGGAATCGTTTTTCCCCCTTCATAATGAAGGTGCAATGTTGATTTATTTTCAGATTGGAGTTGGCGATGAGGCAATACTGTGGCCGTACGATAACTATCCCTTACTGGGCAACAACCCTCGACAACCCACTTCAAGATCCTGCTCAGTCTGTTTTATGGACTCCCGAGTTCTTTGGAAATGCTTACGGTTTCGTGGAGACAGGACCATTTGCCAACTGGACGGACCGCTCAGGAAGAACAATATCTCGTAATCTTAATAACGTTGGCTCCCTCATCACTGAAAAAGACATTGAACGAGTGATTGAACAAAATAAGCATTATCATGACATTTTTTATCGCCCGGATAGTCCATCCGCAGCTGATTCTGGAAATACAATAGAAGGTGTTCAAAACGATGGATATGGGTTTATGGGAGGAACCATGGATCGAATGAATAATGCACCTTACGATCCAGTTTTCTTTTTCTACCACGCATTCGTCGACTATATATTTGAAAAAGCTCGAGAGAGTTTTAGAACCAGAGGATTTAACCCTGCAAATGATTATCCAGAATGCACCGGCGATCATGCCGCCCAGTCTCCTATGGCTAGCTACACTTTCTTCAGAAACATTGATGGTCTGAACGACATCTGGACTAATCAGTACTTTTATTATGCCGATCCACCAACTTGTTCAGCAATAAATCGAGATTGTGGGTCAAAATATCTTGCCTGTAGAAATATGAGAGGACAATGGAAATGTCTGACTAGAGTAGCTAATTATGCATTCGGTGCTTCTCCAGAGTTACGTATGGCATCTTATGCAATGAATGAGCAACTTGGTGGTCAAAGGATTCAAGTACCTGTTGGTAACGTTAACATAGGATTGCCTAGTAATATCAACACAGGGTTAACCGCTCCAACAGATCCACTTGGAGGAACAGTTCCACAAAATCCCTGGAACTTAGCTGGTCCAAAAGTAGAACTGCCGGTTTCTCCTCCTCAAACAGCTGGCGCTGGTCCATTTACAGAATCACAAATGGGAACAAACGTTAACCAACAATTTGGCCCTGGTGGCAACACGTTATCACAACAGGTACAGCCAGATCCCTATCCTGGACAAGTAGGAATTGGTCAAACGCAAAATAACCCTGGTTTTCAACCATCTGTATTGGGTGAAACAGGTGCATCTCAATTTGGTAATCAAATGGTGCACTCACTTCCAGTTCAACCTTCTCCAGTACAGTCACTGTCAGTACAATTACCAGTACAGTCACAACCTCCACAAGGAAATCTGCACACTGGTGTACACTCTGCTTTTAACCCTTTTGAACAAAAAAGTCAGCCGCCACAAGGAATGAATGGACCTGGCAATATGGAATTACCCGTAATGGGTAATCCAGGTGGTGGAATGGAACTTCCAGTAATGAATCCAGTGAATCCTGTTATGGATCCTGTGAATACATTTGAACCCATCGGAAGTCCAATGGAGCAACAAATAGGTCCTAATCCACAGGTATCAGGTCCAGAAATACAAGTTAGGAATCCACAAACACTTGCACAATCACAACCTGTTGTTGTCAATCCAGCTCCAGCAAAACCACCAGTGGATATTGGTCCACAACCAATACCAGTGACACCACCTCCTAAACCTACGAACCCATCCCAAGCAGTTCAGCCCCTAGAACCTCGACCTCAGCCACCTTCCATCATCTCTAATCTGAATATACCTGGCGGTCAACAAGGAGGAAGTACTAATTTCTTCAGCTGGAGGACACAACCTCAAAATTCGTTCAGTATGAGAAGACAGAAACGCAGTGTGACGCAAAATGTGCCATTGCCACTTAACAATGAAAAGACTTCATGGGTACACAATTTAGCCTATCCACAACAAAATACTTTTGAAATTGATGGAGTTGCAGACTCTTCCAAATGGCTTTACGTTCCAATTAGTGTTACAGTGATAAGGTCACCAAATCGTACATTTGAGATTCTTGGATATGAAAAAGGAATGAATTCTCAATACGATATTTATGATCCGATCAATTCTAGACAATTTCAGAGAAGAATAACAACCCAAGCCCTACCAAAGCGCTCACATTCATCAATAAGTGGTTCTGGTGCTTCTCAGATTTATTTGAAGGCTGATGGCTTGTCTTATGATGGATCCTACATGGACTATGTGATTGCTGATGAACGTTTGCCAATATCAGAGTACACAGGGTTTGTGGCAATAAAAGACCCACAGTATGGAAGATCTCAAACACACGTTTCCGTGTTTGATTCACTAGGACAAATTTGTAAACCAAGATGTGCAACTTCTAGATCAAGGTCCAATCCTAAATATCGCCCCTGTTCAGGAATTGTTGAAGCTGAAACTTCTTCTCCAGATATGGCTTACAAAAGCATTCCAGATGCAATAATGGACATGTGGGCCGTTAGGGATCCCTATCCTCCTCGCATGTACAGACCAACATATCTTGAATTCCTTTGTGACAGTACAAACACTCTTTACTGGGAGGGCTGTCAGAATGACAGATATCAATAACAATATCAATAAAAACATTGTACTCTTTTTATATCAAAATAATTATAAAAACAATTGTCTGTGGTAATTTAAATTATATTACTGTAAATGTACATAAAAAAGCGCAGTCAAAATTCGGCGCATTTTTTTAATCAACCAATCATGAATTAGCACTTTTTGAGCCATGCATTTGTTGAAAACATTACATTAGCCTGTACTTGAATAGACGAAGAAACGGTATAAAAGATGCTAAAACAGGATTATTTTGGAATATGTAAGTTTACAGTAATGGGATAAAATCCTAGGTATTTTAATTACAATAATTTAAGATATCACAATATTTTTGACAATCATTGTCTTGAAATTTTCAGACGATGAATTAGCACTTTTGTGCGTGTTCATTCCTGTGATGCAGTGACTCAGTCTGGGAGATTTTTTTAAAGTATTGACTGCATCGTCTTCTGAAAATGAATGGTTTCTACAGCTCATACATAATGGCAATAAACAGTTGTAAACCAGGCATGGATTTCATTTTGTGACAGCTCTTAGTTATCTTAGTCTCTTCACCTGAAAAAAGAACAACAGACACTTATATAATGAGAAAAAAATACAGCATTTATTAAAAAAAAAAAACAAGTTACCATTTCACATAAAAACCATTTTAACAACACTGCATATACATATTAATGCTGGTAATTAAAGTAAGAGGATTGTCAGGATTCTATTTCAAATTCATATTTATTCAGAAGAGAAATTCTTCGAGAAAAATTTAAGTTCGTTGTAGTTTTAAATTCAACAGATCACATTTTTGGGATTGAGATTTCTATCTACTCTGCAGCAAAGGGTGATATATTTATCCCTTTGTTGAGAAACGATACACATCATAATTAATACATGTATTTTAACTATGATTGAAAGGTAAACTAGCAGTATTGTTCTCCGAATGGTCAAGAGTTTTGAAGAACAGAATGACAAAACTAGACAGTAATTATAAATGGCGTCAGCACAAATATCTTCCATCTCAATAAAATTTTAAGTGTCTGAATTATTCCTGTCTGTTTTGATGCAGAATTTTGTCACTGTGTTGACACTTGCTTAAATCAGTTAAAGTAGGAAAAAAACATCACATACAGAATACTTTTTAACAATTTCGAAATTAACATAATTTGAATTCTGAGATTATGAACAATATCAGCTACTCTATCTGCCAAACTTAAGGTATGATTCTTCTCTGGTTTCTGACTAGATGAAACATTCAAAGTATATTTGCTTATATGTCTTATATATTTAGATGTGAGGGATTTAAATGACCATATTTTACTTTCCTCATCACAATTGTACAACTTTAAATAGAAATGGTAAACTGCGTTTGAAAACTAGCAGGGACTATATTTTTGGCGGAATGGTGGCGTATGAAAATATCTTCTTTTCTGACTCTCAAAATTATAATAGAACAATTAATTTAGTTATAAGTTTTATACAATCAAAGACTTGAACAAATTTTCAAATGTAAGTTAAATTAATAATAAGGGTCTAAACTTTCAAAATATATCAAATAAATATGATTTTTCAAACAAACTACAATTATGTTAGCTTTTAAACGCTTCCAATCAAAGTACAGATTTGAGCCAAAAATCCATAATAAGTATTTTTTCTCTCTTAGTGAACGATCAAAACTTTTTGCTTTTGTATCATTTTGTATATTTATAAGACTACTTTATTATATGTGAAAATAAGAAAAAGTTAAATATAGGAAGTATATGAAAATAATTAATATATCCTAAAAAATTAAGAAAAACAGAGAAAATTCGGATTAGTCAATATCCGGTTTAGTTAAATTATTTATGAAAATTTAGTAATATCATGCTATAGATCCAATATAGTAATATCTTTTTATGCAAAAAGAACAATCTTTAAACTTTTGAAAAAGAAGTAGGCATCATGTGATTTACAACAGTATTTTTTTTATTCTTAATATCAAAGAAAAAGATAATGACCTTGACCTGACCTTGCCCCTTATATAAAACGGTCAAATTTAATCTTACTGATACTATCACTTACTGATATTTTCTTCTTCATTCTGTGAAAATTTCATTAATTTTTAAATATAAGAAATATGAGAAGAATCCTACCTTAAGAGATAAAAGACACTCATTTCATATTTATCAATATACGATGGCTGTTCAATAAATAATGTCCTGAGCTCAATGACATACATCATAGAAATCATATGACATTACGCTTGACTTACTCTCATAATAGAATCTTTAATGAATTGATTACAATTTATGTGACCACTTTTCATCACATAGTTTCATTGTGATAAGCTGGAAAACAAGGGCTATTGGAGACACTGCATTAAAAATGAATGGTAAAGAATAAGTAAATTAGAATGAAATTAAAGGCATCATTAAAGTTGCTGTAAAACTCGTTAAGAACCCCTTAGAAATATTCACTGAAATATGTGAAATTGGAATTCAATGAACAAAAATGATATAAAGGGTATTAAAAATGGGTACCGTCCTTGGTGACAAGGACTTACACCAACCAATGTACTGTTAGCCAAAACTCAACAAATTATTACTGACGATTTTCGATTGACTTGATTGACCCATAGCAAAAATAATTAGCATCATTTTGGGGGTAATTTACACTGTTGTAAAGAAATATTTGACAGTAAAAAAGCTTAGTACTCCATGGTCTCTCTATATTTTGAAAAATGAGTGAAAACAACAGCGTGTAAAAATATCTAAACAATTACTTTAAAAAATCAAAAACTGTAGTCATCAACGTTCGTCTGAAATTCAAACAGATAATGCAACTTGAATCCATCGCTCCAAACTCTCAAATTAAATTTACAATAAGATACACTTGACAAAAACAGCCAAGGTCTGAGAAGAGCAAAGAATTGCAAAAGCATAAAAACAGTTTTATATGCCATTTTATTAAATATTAGTGGTCTTTTTGTTCAAATTCTTATTCAGGGAGGCAGTTCAATTCCTAGAGAAGTCTAGAAAGCAAATTTTTCCAAAAAAATATAGAAGATTACGAGAGGATGGAACCGGAATCAGGAAATCTCTACATTGAATTTCTTCATATGATAGCGTCCAAACCCACAGGCCATGAAGAGTAAAGGATTTTGAGAATAAACAGATAGTTAAAATTTTGTCATAATAACAATATTCGCCAGATATTTCACCCTTTGACTTGTTTCATATCCCAGACTTAAAAAAACATCTTTCAGAAAGAAGACACAAGTCCAGGAAATCAAAGGATCTGCCATATTCCAGTATATAAAGGGCCTTATTAAAAAACGTGTCTAAAAACAATCAAAATTGAATGAAAATGTGATGGACATGTGTTTTAATTAAAAGAGAATATTTAAGTGAAATCATTAAGACTAAATCATCGAAAAACGTTTTCTGCTTCTTTCCAAGCACTGCGAACATTATTTATTGAACAGCTCTCGTATCTCCAAATAGAATGAAGTCAAAATGTTTATGTCTCATATGGGATATTTGAAAAGTCATACATGTTTGATATCCATATTGGCAAAGCTTTGAACCCCTTTTTTATAATAGATCTAAGATGTCAATTAGGTAAGGGTGATCAGACTTTCTCCTCAAGATTACATTTTAAAGCCTTACAACATGTCCAGTGACTCAGATGTTTACAATTATAGATTTTCCAAATAAATTTTGTTACATTTTTAAATTAAATCCTAAATTTTTAACAATTCTCGATCATCCTAAGAGATCTATTTACAACTACATTCCTACTTTACCTTTGAGGGGAAGGAATCACATACTTCTATTGTAAAATATTACCTTTGAAAAGAAGGGATCATATATTTCTATTGTAAATTGTTACCTTTGAGAGGAAGGCATCACATTTCTACTATTAATTGTTACCTTTGAGAGGAAGGCTACACATATTTCTACTGTTAACTGTAACCTTTGAGAGGAAGGCATCTCATAGTTCTACTATTAATTGCTACCTTTGAGAGGAAGGCATCACATAATTCTATTGTCAACTGTTATCTTTGAAAAGAGGGCATCACATATTTCTATTGTAAACTGTAATCTTTGAGAGGTATGCATCACATATTTCTACTGTAAATTGTTACCTTTGAGAGAAAGGCATCACATATTTCTATTGTAAACTGATACCTTTGAGAGGAGGGCAACACATATTTCTATTGTACACTTTTACTTTTGAGAGGAAGGCATCACATACTAGTATTTCTATCGTACACTGTTACCTTTGAGAGGAAGGCATCACATATTTCTTGTACACTGTTACCTTTGAGAGGAAGGCATCATATATTTTTATTGTTACAAGGGCTGTTCAATAGTTAATGTCATCATTGCTCGGAAAGAAATTTTTAAAAAAATGCTTTTCTATGGTTTAGTCTTCATGATTTAACTTAAATAATCTCTTTTAATTAAAGCAAATGTCTGTAAAATTTCTATTCAATATCTAATTGTTTTTAGAACACATTTTTGTATATGACCCTTCGTATACTGGAATATGGCAGATCCTATGATTAAATGTACTTGTTTTTTTTTCTTTCTGAAAGGTGCTTTTTTTAAGTTTGGGAAACGAAACAAGTCAAAGGTTGAAAGATCTGGCGAATATTGTTGGTGTGACAAAACAATAACTTTCTGTTTATCCCTAAAGTTCCTTTACTCTTCAGGACCTTTGGGTTTGGACGTTGTCATGAAGAAATTTAATACACATATGTAATGAATTCCTCATTCCAGTTCCTTCCTCTAATAAATCTTTCAATTCTTTTGCAAAACATTCGTTTGCTAGACTCCTCTAGGAATTGAACTTCCTCCCCAAATAAAGATTTGAACAACAAGACCACTAATATTTAAGAAAATAGCCTATAAAACTGTTTTTGTGCTCTTGCAATTCTTTACTCTTCTCCGGCCTTTGCAGTTTTGTCAAGAGCATCTTACTGAAATTTGTTTTGAGGGCTTAAAGCAAAATGGATTCAAGTTTCATTCTCTGTTTGAATTTCAGACAAATGTGGATAAGTACAATTTTTGATTTTTTAAAATAATTGCTTAGATATTCTTACACGTACACTGTCGTTTTCACTCATTTTTCAAAATATTAGGTGACATTTGAGTATTTAACTTTTTTACTATTAAATGTGTCTTTAAAACAGTTTGAACTACCCCAAAATGATGTCTATCAAATTTGTCAAGTGTCTAAAAGTCAATAAAACATAATCAGTGATAATTTGTTGAATTTTCACAAATATATATTGGTTGTTGTATGTCCTTGTCGCCAAGGACAGTATCCATTTTTGATGCCCATTATATGATTTTTGTTCATTGAAATCCACCTGTTCATGTGTGCATGCATAAAACAGACATTGGTTGCTGTAAATTTCACATATTTCAGTTAATATATTTTGGGATATTAACAAATTTATAGCAGCTTTAATGAAGCGATTAATTTCACTCTAGTTTACTGATTCTTGACCATTCATTTTTAATGCAGTGTCTTGAATAGCCCTTATTTTCCAGCTTCCCACAATGAATCTATGTGATGAAAAGTGGTGACATAAATTGATAACAATTCATTAAAGATTCAATAATGAAGGAAAGTCAAGCTTACATGTAATGTCTTATGATTTCTATGTTGTATGTCATCGATCTAATGACATTATTTATTGGACAGCCCTTGTAACTGTTACTTTTGAAAGGAAGGCATCACTTGTTTCTATTGTTAACTGTTACCTTTGAAAGGAAAGCATCACATATTTCTACAGTAAACTGTTCTAGTGTTTGTCCTCCCTGATGACTCTTACTTCTCATTCCCTGAAGTCAACAAAAATTAAACAATTTTAAGTTTCTTCAAAATAACTACTTAGCTTAGTGTTATAAGGCTTATAACCTGGCATATTTTTAACTGTGGGTAAGGTGTAGCTAGGCAAAAATATATAGAGGCCTTCCTGATCGCAGGCTACACCCAAGGCCTCCTCCTCTATGATTTAGGGGGAGAGGTCAAAAACACAGGAAGATTTGTGTTAGACTTGGTTTCAGAATGTGCTGAATTAATATAACACAAACAAATCAAACTATCTTTGAATAAAGAAGCAATCTTTTTTAAGATAATACTATCATCAATCAATCTTCTATTTATTTATTCATTAGGACTTTTTGACTTCAATACTGAAATGAAAACCCTATTGTTTTCATCTCACACTTAACCTTTTATTGTCACAGATTAAAAGAAAACCTTTGTTATATGTATTTTGTAATACAGCCATTAGATAGCATGAGTAAATTTCTCATGTTTGTTAGGTGTTCTACTTCCAGGAATGTTACTTTTGATATTTTATACATGAAAAAGGAGTTCTTTAGGAGCTCATAGTTTCTTAATTAAAATGCAAGAAAATTGCTCCAATTTTAGGAATAGATTTTACAAAGTATCATCTACCAAAAAAAAAGATCAGCTACAACATTAATTTGTATTATTGATACTTTTTTTGCATTAAAAGAAGAAGGGAATGAAAGTTTTAAAATTTAACATTCAAATGGGAAAAATATATGTCAAAAACTATTACCACGTAATCATTCATGAATAGCAATGACTCTTTTAAAAACTACTCGACTCATGAAAATCTTCAAAAACAATCTCTATTTTGAGATTTCTGCCAACATTTTTGATTATGTTTGTTTGTTCCTAAATAAGTTTATCTACATCAGTAAAATGACACTAAGAAAGATAACTTCTAAATGCTTCAATAACATAATTACTACAAAGTAGTAAAAAATGATTCCCAAAATTTAACTAATGTTAAATGTGACACTAAATTAATGCCTAATGTTTAACTGGTTTGATTGACTCGCTCAATTATTCTCAAAGAAATGACAAAATATATTTTAAAAATTAAATATGACAATATATTTTAAAAATCATATGTTAGTGAATTAATAATTTTTACTTTAAATGTCTTGACGATTGAGAAAGAAAGAAAACAAGATATATTCATTTATCTAATACAAAAATGAAGAATTTTGAAATTACACACCAGGGTCATAGGAAGCAATTTCAGTTTGAAAGGACACATCCATACATTTTTAGGGGTGGGGGAGGGGGTATCAACTACCAAAGGTTCCTCGACAAGGAAAAAAATAGAAGGGGTTGGGTGGGGTGGGTCATTAAACACTTTATTGATGGGGGAATGCATATAGTAGCTATGCAGTTTTCACATAAAGTATGCTATATATATTGCCATGCCCCCTTCTCCAGCCATGCATACAATATATTACCTGCACATCAGGTATATATTAGTCATTTACAGTATCAGTAATCTAGAACTCTGGGACTGTTAACTTTATAGCATGGAATATCTTTCAAGTTTTGTCATGACAGAGATATTTATGTAGCTCGCAGTGAACAAGTAAACTATACCTATTGTTCATATATTCTAAATGTGTATGCAACTGTAATTCAAAAGGAAGAACCATGAATTATGACAAAATTGTGAAAGAAGGTAGGCTTAACATATTTCAAAGAGAGCTGGATGACAGTTTGTAAATGGATGTGGACAATGTCATTCTCAAACGTAAACTACATAAGAGCTGATACTCACCCTCTCTAAAGCATAAAAAAGACCATCCTCAAACGTAAACTATATAAGAGCTGATACTCACCCTCTCTAAAGCATAAAAAAGACCATCAGGGCCCAAGTTATAGCCTGCCTCTACAATTCTACAAAGAGCAAGACAAAATTATAACCTCTAAATGTAGGAGAGTGATGGTCAGAATAAGTAACACTCGTCTTATATGTAGTAACTTAAAGGCAAAAGAACATTGTCTACAAAAGGTCAATAAGTGTTCTGTCAAAAAATGATGATTACATTATTTATTCTTGATAATTTAAATCAATCTTCCTGTGTCAGAAGTACAGTTGGTTAGAAGGGTGAAGAAAGTGATTTCTATCTAAATATTTCAGGAATAAACAAGATAAGATAGAAACGAGAGACCCATAAGCCGCAAACCTCACCCAATCCATTTTTCATGGCTTGGAAAAAAGGATGTAAAAAATAAATAAACAATTCAAGACTCAACCCTTATCCTTGAAAGTTCAGATGTATGGATAAACAGGAAGTTGACATAAGATTAAAGAATGATGAAATTCTTTTCTTTTATATAAAAGTTTTTAAATTCTCAAAATTCAGAAACATTAACTCTTTTCCCCCTGTTGCCACCATTTGACGCACTTGCGAATTCCCTAGAGTGTTTATCTGGCTGCCCCCTGAAGCCATTTTGACTGCCTTGAAATGACTGACCATTACATTTAGAACATGCTAATTAAGTACCTAAACATCATCAAAGTGTCACATATTATATATCAATGTTTGGGGAATGGATTGAACTTTAGCATTGTCATATAATTTTCTAAGAATAATTAATTTACAATTAACAATATATAGGTGAAACCAGGTAAAATGAATTTTTCACAACTAATCTTCACATTATTCTTTATATGAGAGAAAGTTTCTATGAAATAAACCAGTAAACTTAAAATATAATACCAAACCAATTAAAAGGCTCATTATTTTTTGTTTAATATTAATTAAGATAGATTAATAATGATAGGTAATTATCTTAGACTTGAGCCAACTAAACTTCACAATCATGTTCAAGCAGGCATGTTTATAAATAATTTACATATTTAGTTGACCACTTCTTGCAAAAGTCTTGGGGAAAATAAATTAATACATGTTTTTATCAAAATCAATGTCCTGATGAAAAAAAAATGCTGAAAGTAGATTATTTAGTACTCATAAAATGCATAGGAAATCTGTGGCCGCCATTGTTGTTTTTGTTAAAGATTCTATGATGTTCTTCCTCTAATTTTCAATGTAAAATTTTATTTCTATTAAATTCAACTTTAGAACTAATGTAAAAACATTGTGAATGCTAATACAATCCAAGGTATGTTACATAAAATGCAATATCAAGGCTGAATGTTGCTTGTGACAAGGCCCAATTTCTTCTTGTAAACAGACTGGGTGCCATTGTTTTGACACAGGTAAATCTCAAGTGAATTCACACCAAGCTGTGACTTCACTAATTATAGTAACATTACCTAATGTGTAATACACATGATTGGCTATCATTTAGAGCTGAATTTATTTAGAAACAGGGGAAATCACAGAGCTAATTTAGGGTTGTTGTGAATATGCGTCAAATGGTGGCATCAGGGAAATGGGGCATAGCGTCAAATGGTGGCATCAGGGGGTAAAGGATGTAATGCATTAGGGGGAAAAGAGTTAAGCATAAATTATTTATGTGATTCTTATTACAGGTAGTTTTTGAGAACAAGATTTTATGCATACAAGTTTAAACAGTTATGAGCAAGGGACTTTGATATTCTTGAGCTTTATGTTTATTCCTTCAACTTTATAAATTTTGGATAAGAACTTGAGGAGCATATTTTTTGGAATTAAATTCACTTTTACTCATAGGAGCAGTAGCATTTTAGAACCTGCATGTGGCTTGAGATGTTTTCTTTATTTCTTTGAAGAATTTTGTCTCCAAAAAGAGTTTCATAATTATATAGTCCTATAGTCAACTTTGATAATTTAAATCTTCAGTACGTAGGTCAGAAACCTTCCTCATTTTTAGTTTTTAGGTCTAGTGTTGACTAAGATTTTAATTGACCCAACCCCATTTTTACTGTTTATTTATTACCTCCCTTTGAAATAGGATGACGTGGTCTTGCCAGGCCTAATCAATGAATACCGTATATACTCTCCTATAAGTCGGTCCGCTTATAAGTCGGTTGTATTTTTTGAGCTTATTCTGCACGGATTTGCCATTGACCCGCTCATAAGTCGGTACAACTTTTTTTTCCAGAATCAGATGACAATTTTAAATAAATGCCCTGGTGTTTAAACCTGGTTTCAATTAATATTTTTAGAAATGAGGGCCGATTTTTAACTTTAAATGATTGAAAAAAAGAAAATGTCCTCTTAAGATTAAAAAATAAAATTATTAAACACATGCACTATATAATATTTTTAATAAATGTAGGATCTTAGAATACAAACATTATATACAAGTAATAAATCCAGACTTTGTTCACCATTATTTGTTGAAAATATTTATAGAATAATATGTTTCAGCATCCAGAAAAAAAAACAGTATTTAATGACTCGGCTATAAGTCGGACATAGACTTTTGGACTAAAATTTAAGTCTCAAAATATCGACTTATAGGCGAGTATATACGGTAAATGTCACAATTTTCTAAGGATATTTCTGAAACTAACACTGCATGGTTAATGTGAAAAGTTTAAAACATACACATATGCTGGACAAATTCTGATCAGAAAAGCTCAGTTCAAGTCCTATGACTTGGGTAAGCTAAAAAGCAATATTATAGTATGCAAAAATTGAAAACTGTGCAAAAATATTTCATGAAATAAGTATGAGGACTTTAATCAGTGAGGCTAAATGTATAAATGTCTATCACAAGACTATTAATTTTAAATGAAAAACTTTGATATGTACTTAAAAGGCAATAGAACACAAATAATATCTCTACTTGACTATTTTCCTAGTAACACACTGCATTTGTTTACTTAAAGATTTTGAACACAAGTTTGCAAAGTGCTTTATTTACAATATTTGTGTAATTGTTGTGATAAAACTATTTTTTCACACTTTGTGACAAAATAAACCCATGTGCTTTACTTACGAAAAAGAAAATCGATCTGTCAACCCTGTGTTTGGACTAGAAATTGGACAGGTATCATAGACTTTTGTCAAAACAAATTAAGCGATATGCTCTTACACAACAACATTATCATTAAATGTCTTTTTTAAAAAAGTGTTACTGCCCTGATATCTACAGGTAATTTCTGTTTCTTCCAACCTATCTAGGTACTATGAAGTGTCTTCATTTCTCTAGATCCATTTTTTCAAAATCATGATATCTAAAATATATTTGAATTCTATCTCCAGAGACAATTAATCTGTCTTCTTTATTTATGTGGAGATTAAAATAGCCAATAGAAACATAGGTTTGAGTATGACTAAGGTTTTCCCAGAAAAACAACTCGCCAAAATATTACGGACCTTTCTGATTTCCTGATCTTTTTATCTTATGTTTTTAGGAGAGGAAAAAAAAATGGAGAGGGCTTAGTTTTGCAGTTATATCAAAATGCACTATTTGAATGTGTTCAAAAATTGTGCATCTTTTTCTAAAAGATTTTCAAAAATGAAGCATTTAATTGACACTATACACTGAACTTCAGTTTGAGGCACTCCATTGGCATGTGCTTGATTAATTCACTAAAAAAAGACAGAGGTAATTCTTTGAGTAGACATTTTCTCATTCCCAATTCATGATCCCAATTATGAATTTCTTAAATAGTTAAACAACATAGTCTTAATATATGGCATCCACCTCTTTGTTCTGAGACATGCAAACAGAGGCAAAAACATCAATTGTTCAACATGTACATGTAGTTGTACTAACATAACTACACAGCTAGTTATGTTTTGTTTCAAGTATTTTTTTTTTTAAATCTATCATATTTTATCAAACCTAATAATGCAATTACTTACTTGCGAGCATCCATTCGAGTATTAGCTAAGGCTGCCTTTAACTGTTCATTAACAATTTCTGCTAACATTTTGTCTACTTTTCCTGAATTTTGAAAGTCCAAAGATTTAAAAAGCCGCTCACTTAACTTCACATAGTCTGAAATGATAACATTGCTATCATCATTTTATGTTATTGAATACAAAAATCTTTATGTGAATCTGGACATTTATAGTTGAAATGACTATTTTTCAAAGTATGGAGAAGAAAATCAATATATCTTTTCATGTCTTCTTTATGCAGGTCATTGGAGCATTGATGAATTTTTTGGCAGCTTTTTTCTCTTTGTTTTTACTAATACCTATTTTACACAAAACACACAAGAATTTACCTTGTAACACACAGCAAGTAAAGACACCAGACTTAAACACGTCAAATCGGATGGCTTCATAGTCTAGACACTCAATCTTCTTCAGAAGTTTGGTCGTTACAGGCTGGGGAATGTCTCTGTTAACAATGTGTACAAACTAATCAAGACAGTACATTCATATAAAGATACATCTAACTTTAAACGACTAGTAAATATTTGATAAATATTCAAAAATCTTTCTGTTCTCCACTCCAATGTTGTATAAATTTGACTGCTCAGATTCCAAGAAGATATATATAGAGTCTGTAAACAACAGTGATGCAATAAGACCCTGAATATATGGCTATCTGCTTTTCTTTTCACAAATACCATCATACCTACAGAGTGTCTTGATGAGATCTGTATAGGAAGTCCCGTTAAGACCATACAGTCTTTTGCCAACTACAAAACAAAATCAAATGGTTAAAATGATTGGGGAAAAGAAATCTCATATATTACATGTAAATTAAACATACAATGTATCTATACATGTTTTTATATAGAGTGATCTCATAGGACTGTTTTGAAATATTTTACCCATTTTTCATGTCTAGCTTGTAGATTTAACAGAATACATGTAGTTCAGTATGAATCAAAGCAAAAGACAAATAAAAAGACACCTCAAATTCCAGTGGTCTATTTCAGCTAGAGAATTGTTAGAAAGGACAAGTTATACAGGTACAAACAAGATACATGAACACCACATCCTTTGTTAGATAAAACATTAAATGGAAACTTTTCTGTTTATAGTTATACAATGTAAAAGATAATTTAAAAAGTTTTACTTTACAGTACATGTTAATTTTTATTTCAGAGAATAAATTTAAACATGAATGGTACCCAAAAGTATGGGACAGTAGCTCTGCAGGTTTGCGTTTACAGAGTATAAAGTGTATGTGTTTCCCGTAGGAGGAGGGGGGAGGGTGTTTCATGTCCAAATTTTTAAAACTACATTTTGTGAGATTCAAGCATTTTCAATGTTTTCTTAGCTTCAGCTTTACCTTTTTCTTCATTGTAAGAAAAAAAAATAATTAAACCAATTTTTTTTAATTTTAGTGACCCTGAACATTGTTCATTGAAATCAAAAACTCAATCTTAGAATTGTCTACATGTACCTTGAATTATTATATCTGTACATTTATATTAAGTATTAAAAAAAACTGCATCAATTAACCAAGAGAATCAGTAGAGGTTAAAATGAATTTCAAAACAATTTCTCTATATAGTAAACATTGCAATAATATTCATTAGAACTGAAAAGCTCTCTGTGCATTTAAGGATACACATGCACACAGTTTTTTGAACTTTAACCAAACCTGAGGGAGGTGTACCATTTTAAAAATAATCACAAGAAATTATTATACAAAGTTATCATGTCAGCATCATCCACTGAAGTCAAAGAGGATTGCACTATTACTGTAATCTACTTATGTATCAAGTTATTTTGAAATTGGATCACAAATGTAACATTTTTGTTTTAAAATTGTTTATGGAAAGACCAGATGGACAATGGACTCTTTGCCCTGTACAGTGCACTTTGTAGAGCTAAAAATGAATCAGTATTAACGGATGTAACTTCTTCCAAGACTTTGTAAAGAAAGAGTAACAACAGGACATTACTGATAAAACATCACTCAAAATAAATCTAATATTGATGGAAGCTAGTATAGAAGTGGAAGATATAAATATCAAGTTAAAGCTTACAGAGACTTTAATATCAATCTTCAGGAGGAATATCTACATACAGTTATACATTACTCACTCTCCTCCTCCATAAATAATAAATCTGTATGTCTCCTTCTATAATCTGATGTGAGAAGTTAAAAAGGTAACATGTCATTCAAAAGTAGTCTGACATAGGGACGTCTCAAATTAATTTATTTAGAATGCAGTTTTTCATATGATAGCCAAAACATTTTTAACAAATGGGTAGATCAACATGAAACTGAAACTAATGGTCTGTGAATCATCAATATCAAGAAACAAACAAAAACTTGCTAATTATTTACAATCCCAGCATAAAAAAGACCAGAAATCAGTGAATTGCTAAAAATTTACAATTTAAGTCCAATGGCTATAACTTTTGTGAAAATAGATCAATGAACATGAAACTTAAATCTGATTTATAAGTCATAAAAATCAAAAGACATAACAAAAATCAGCTTATCATTTAAAAACAGTCTGGAAAACTATGACTGATTTCAGAAGAAATAGAATAATAATGGTGGAACGAGCAAACAATATATGCTATGGGGGCATAAAAACTAGTGCAACAAATAATGTGTACTTTATAATTTATTGGTCATGTGATCTAGGTATAATTCAAGTGTGGCTTTAAAAAATGGAAATGAAAAAATGTTAACTGCATGTATGCAGATGACACAGATTTTAACATAAACTTGCATTTTAATGAACACAATAACTCCATCTGTTGTCATCAGAGAATGATAAACATGCCTACACCTACTGTGCATATCTCATGAAGTGCTGCAACTCTAACTTTAAAATAAAAAAGCTTTCTCGCATTCTATTTTAGACCATTCATAATGTTGTATGTCATGTTAATGTCATTAGCTCTTCTAGATTTCAAACTGTCATAATAAGAGCTTAAAAAGTAACAAAGTATGGTAATGGCATTTTAAATGTTCATAATAACCACGAAAAATAATTCATTTAATTAATTTTTTGCATCCTGTAAATGAACACACCTGACATGTAAATGAAATATCTTATATACAGAGGTGGATCTAATTGAAAGTTTATGTCATACTGCCATTCATATATTCTGTGTTTTACATTATTTATTAATCTAAATGTTAATATACGCTGCCTTCTTAGAAATACATGTACATTTTTTTCAACGAATTTACAGACAGTTACACCTATCTTTGTTTTTTAACAAGAATTCAATGCTGTACTTACATTGTATTTCTCAAACAGACAGAATATGTGAAAATTAGACCAAAAAGGGAAAGGGAACTTTCTTTGACTTACCTTTTTGTTTGAGCAAAATATCATAAGCTTGTCGTACGTTCATCTCAAACACTGGTCGACTATGGTGTGTCATCTCAATCATGTTGCGAGCCTTTAGCACCAAGTTTGACTGGTCTTCTAATGAGTCAAAACTAAAAATTTGAGATGAAATAATGCTTAAATTTAATGTCATATTAATTTATATGGCTAATGGCACTGGAAGTTTATGACTATTTGTTTGGCCACTAAAACTTATAATGCAATATGAACAGTAATAAAATCATTAAAGGTCAAAAGGTCAACAGCCATTATTAGGTCACAACTTGAGATATCATAATTGATAAAAATTAAAAAAAAAAACAATAACAAACATTTAAAGCACTTGTCTAGGGGAAAAAACTTACTAATCAGCCAGGAAAGAAATAGGGTCTGATGGCCTGTTACTAACAATTTTACCAAGGACATCTTTCATCAGATTTCCTATGTTAGATCTCTCTGTAAAATGGAAATCTTTCATCAGATTAAAACATTTTTGATTCAAATTTGCACTGTTTAGACTTCAATTTGGTAATGCAACACACATATGACCACGGGCCTCAAGTTTGGATCGATACCCCCTTTTTCTTTAATTAAAAAAATTGTAAGAGTGTAAAATATCTCAAAAATATAAAAAATTTCCCCATCAATCACATCTATATGTCATTCTATACACGCACATTGTATTTTTTTTTTCACGTTTAGAGAATGGCCTTATACGGTATAATTAAAATACACATTCAGGTAAGAAACAAAATATGCAAACAAACGGGGGGTTCCCTGCATCAAGACAGATTTCTAAGGTAATAACAGTGTTACCTATCATAATTTTGCAAGCACTCTGTCAGGGAGATGTCCTTCTACTGGTCTCGTTGACCTTAACCCCACCATTAGTGTTTAAGATGTCATAATCGGACGATTTATTAATTAGATACATAAAATTTTCTTCATTGACAGCTTTGGAAGAGGTTTTAGAGTTTGCACTTCTGTTTTACTTTATCTGATTGCATGGTTAAAGATTTACACTGTATCACAGTTAACCAATCAGATAAAGTAAAACAGAAGTGCAACTCTAAGACCTCCTTACCTTGTGTATTTTTATTATACCATATAAGGCCATTCTCTAAACTTGAAAAAAGGTACAATCTGCTTGCATAGGAAGACATATAGATGTGATTGACAGGGAAATTATATATTTTTGAGATATTTTACACTCTTAAAATTTAAAAAAAAAGGGGGGTATTGATCTATACTTCAGGCGCCTGTGATATGACTTCATGTGATGTCAGTGTGCCATTACACAGCTTATATGTACATATGTTCGTAAACTGTTTTGTGTTTTTCATTTTTGTCCTTGTGAAATGTTTCAGTCTACCGTTTATATATGAATACTACTTGTGTTACTATTCAGTGTTTCTCGTGCATTCAAGATCTAAACTGGCGCCTCTGCTGCACCACCATTTTTCCATCATGTTTTAAGACTTTAGAGCCACAATAGAGTAAGTTAATAATGCTAAATCAATTTAATGTACATCTTATTTATATGAATTCAGTTAGGAAATATTTCTTTGTGTAAATTTAACTTTAAACTTGTAAAATTCAGCGTCAATGTCAGTGATGTGTATTCAGTTCATTTTGTTCTTTTCATTTGTAGCCTTTATCGTAATATCATCTTTATGTGATCTGAATAACATCTGAAATGATGATTGAGGCATCATAGTCAGAGTCTTAACGTAGCAAATGTAATGACTAGCACAATCTAAATTAACATTCATTTAGCATCTGCATGTGCTCGCCTTAACAGCTGCACCATCAACATATTAGATTTAACATTCTTTGTTGACAAAATTCCTGTCAGTGAATTTTTGGTTCAATTATTCTAATTTAATACAATAACATTTAAAATGTCATGGGATTTCTTGACTTATTTAGTAGAGTAGACATACCAAATAAGTCATATGTAGGGCTGGGCAATAATATTGATATTTCAATATATTGCAAAACAATGACAAAAAATATCGTATCGCAATATGATTTTGTAATATCGATACATTGGCAATATGCTTAGATCAAGGAATTTTGTTATTAAATATAAAAATGGACTTATGAAAGTTTGTTATTAAGCCAAACAGTAAGTCAGAAGTTGTTTTGTGGGAACATTTCAAGCATAACTTACTTTTTTTTTCCGTGTTAAATATTTCTAAATTTACGATTAAATGTAGTCCTTCATCGTAATTATTTACTGCATAAATATTGGGAGAGGGCTACGATATCGCACAGGACATCATTGAATAGACGTGCAGCATGATAAAAACGCTTCACTCCCGTACGAATGCGGGCTCAAATTGTTAGTAAATGGCTAAAAAATAAACATTTCAAAATTACTTCAAAAATGAGAATTATCCAAACATGAAAAAAAAAATTTAAAAAAATCCAGAAATATATCAATTATTTGACTGAGACCTGTTTAACATGAAATTAAACTGATCATGCGGGTGTGTGAACTGATCCGCTGCACAGATTTTACGTCTATGAAGTCACTAACGTCAGATGCAGGGTAAAGAGAAACAAATGTTTGGATTGGGAATTACAATTTTATGCCTAAATATCTTTAAAAATGTTTATTAAAAAATTACAAATTAAATGTTTAAAAAAGAATTTTAGATGTTTAGAATAAAATTACACAAGAACTGTTGATTTTAACAACGTTTAACATGCATATCATATTATAGTTATTCTTTTTCAAGTGACATGTGTCCTGTCTCCCGTGAACTGTCATGGCTGTTGATATAAACACGTTCAAACTTGGCAATTATTTAACAAACAATGTTTTTCGCGTTTAACGTGTTATGTTGTCGACAGTGAATAAAAATCTCGTCTTATTAGATGTAAGTTGATATTTCAATATATTGCAAAACAGTGACAAAGAATATCGTATTGCAATATGATTTTGTAATATCGATATATTGGCAATATGCTTAGATCAAGGAATTTTGTCATTTAATATACTCAAATATAAAAAACAGAGAGAGGGCTCATTTATTGTAGCTATTATCATCATGAATGTTTATATTCTGCATGAAAAAAAATTTAAAAGTCAATATAAATGATAAGAAACTGCCATTTTTATTACATTGAAAATATTGCAATACATATCGCAATACATTTAAAAAAATCACAATATATTGCAATACGAAAGCTGAATGTAAACAAACAGGCCAGTCATATGTATCCCTTCCTGCTTTATCGTATGTTAAGAACTGTAACACTGATTATCAATCCTTCGCTAATGAACCATTTACATATTAGAATATATGAAGTTTTCAAAGTCATTACTACAAATGTTTATTTTATATAGATAAAACTTGTTTTATTTTTGTTGCTTTATGCCCAAAAAGCGTTTGTATATGATCTCAAAAGCGGAAGAAACTAATGAAACTATATTGATATATAACTTTAAAATGACTATTGGGTTTTTCCTGCGTTAAACAGGTATTTTTGTGGCAATTGCTCTTTGAGCAATAAGCCCAGCTAAAAATGGACTTATGTAAGTTTGTTATTAAGCCAAACAGTAAGTCAGAAGTTTTGTGGGAACATTTCAGAGCATAACTTATTTTTTTTTCCGTGTTGGTTACTTATCATCACTGTGAACATTCTGCATGAAAATTAAAGTAAATAAAGTAAGAAAATGCCATTTTTATTACATTGAAAATATTGCAATACATATCGCAATACATTTAAAAATATCGCAATATATTGCAATACGAAATCTCGGGCCAATACCCAGTCCTAGTCATATGTATAGCTTGAGGAGATATATCTATAAATTAAAACTGAAGTGTGTTTTTATTACAACAAGGTTTCATTTACATATTAGAATATAGAAATAGGAAAAGGTGTGTCAATCAGATTTGAAAAGTAAAAATGTAAAAGGGTAGGCCCATGCCCAAAAAGCAAGACTTGGTGTATATGATCCAGAAATTTTTTTTAAAGCACTTGTTTGACTTGCTCCGGCGTGTAAAAATTACATTAAAAAATCATATACCGGGTGTAATAACACACTACACAATAACTTATACTATATTTACCATTTTTATTTATTGGCCGTACTTTTTTCCTCTTTGTTCTTTGAAAATTATAAATGAAATTATGTTGTTTGTTTGAGCATATTCCAGGAGAAAATGGTCACATCCTAAGAAATGATTATGTTCTAGACAGTGAAATTTGGGGGAAAATCGTTTGATTTTATAAATCCTTCTAAAAATTCAAACTCAATGCAGTTTTGTCATATTGTGTGTAACCCCGTTTTACATTGTTGTTGCCATACATTTACTCGAGTTTGGATTATTTTTAGTCTGAAATGTGTATTAATGTTTGAAATTTCATTAAGGTCATAATCATTTCTTGGAAAGATGTGGCATCAAGTAATCTCATATGCGTCCTGCAAAATATAAAAAACATTCAACATGGCAGGGGCTATGCCCCAGTTGGCATCAGTAAGTGTTTAATTTTTTTTTCTTCAACGATATAAATGTATTTTTTAATAAATAATTTTACACTCGGGAGCAAGATCATTTGAGAAATGAGATGATATATTATGATTGAATGTTTTCGCGTTTTTCTTCGTTAAACCGGTATTTTTGTGGCATAAATTATTAGGAAATGACAGCTAGTACAGCTTAACATAGAATTTTACCCAGAAACTGCCTGTCAGTCTCTTGTGGACGATCATCGGCGGAGTTCGGTTTCTTCTTGTCCGCCATTTGTAAACATGGTGTGTCTGCGTCATTTATGCGCTTCATAAGATAAGTCAGTGCGCGAACACAATTATCCCGGAATCAGAACAAAATTCTTTTAAATATTATAAGAAAAATACTGAGAGAATTTCAATCAATAAAATCGTAAAGTGTGTTTTTATTACAACAAGGTTTTTATTTTGAAAAATTGCATTTTTTCTATGGTTAATAGGGGTCATGTTAGTAAAACGTGTTTATTCGGAATATATAAGCCCGCAGTTCTTCTCTGTCTATTTTTTTCAAAGCACTTGTTTGACTGCGACTCATTCTGTAAAAAGTTGACATTAGAAACGTATGTCAGTATGTCGGGTGTGTCTGAACACAAGAGTTTTTGTCAATAACTTATACTTTATTTACCATTTTTAACAATTTTATTTATTGGCCGTACTTTTTTCCTCTTTGTTCTTTGAAAACTATAAATGAAATTATGTTGTTTGTTTGAGCATATTCCAGGAGAAAATGGTCACATCCTATGAGGCTATGTTCTAACAGTAATGGGGGAAAATCGTTTGATTTTGAATAAATCCTTCTTTCATCAATGCATCTTTGTCATATTGTGTGTTTCCCCTTTTTCTTGTTGTTGACATTTACTCTTGTATTTATCTGAGCCAGTTTAATGTTTGAATATTTCATTTCATAAGGGTTTGGACTCTGGCTAAGTTGATGAGCATCAAGAATCTCATATGCGTCCTGTAGATAAATAACATTCAACATGGCAGGGGCTATGCCCCAGTTGGCATCAGTAAGTGTTTAATTTTTTTTTCTTCAATAATCAATGTATTTTTTCACTTTATAACATTTTTTTCTCACAAGATCATCTGAGAATATGAATCAATTTTATATTGAATAAGATAATTTCCTCATCATTTATATTACATGCAATTAACAGTAGAGGGACGTGCATGAATCTTTCAAATTTCTTTACCAAGCAGAACAGTCCAGCCCAATATGAAAATTCATAATATTACGAAAAAATATAAGATTACGAAAAAGCATAATATTACAAGTTATCGTAATATAAAACTTATATTACAATTTTTATAATGTAGTTAAAAACATTTTAATATAAATTATAAAAGTTAAATTACCATTTAAATATATCAAAGACAAATTCAAGCATTGCAAGAAATTGAGTTGTGGGTAGCAAAGAATGACGTCAGTACATATACACAACATGCCTACGGCTAACCCTATAAAAGGTTTTAACTTAGTTTGGTGAACAGTTACGCCTATCAGAAAGCACGGAAATTCAAGAAGAAAGTACCGCCAGCGATGGGTGAGTGGACAATTTCTTTTATTGTTCTTTTATAGGAATTTTCCCAAGGATAAGACCAATTTTCCAGTAAATTTCAATATTCGCTGAAGCATGTCGCATTGGTCTATATCACCCATATCCTACTTTTCTTGCGAAGTCTACATTAAAAATCACAAACTCGTATGCATAATTCAACTGTTCGTGCAATTCTTATTGAAATACACAGAATTCAAATTTTAGCATTGCACGCGATATCGCCCGTGACATGCATATGCGTAATAAACGTCATACTTTGCTACCCGCCACTCAATTTCTTGCAATGCTTGAATTTTGTCTTGGATTATGAAAACATGTAATATAGTCTCTTACTTCAGCTATATTACGCATATTCGTAATTTAACTACATTACGAAAAATTGTAATATAAGTTTTATATTACGATAACTTGTAATATTACGCTTTCTTGTAATCTTACGTTTTTTCGTAATATTACGAATTTTCGTATTGGACTGGACTGCAGAATACTCAAATAGAAATTCTTTTAGTCATCAGAAGATGAAGATGTGATGAATTATTGTAGAAACCCAAATTTTCTTGGGCATAAAATTTTCTTGATTTGTTATTTATAAGGTTTTGTGGACATAAAATTTCATTGTTTCGATATTAAAACAATACAAAATATAGTCATATAAAAATTTCATGTAGGATTTGTTTTCGTTGATATAATTGTTAACATTAAATAACAACGAAATTAATAAAACTTAATCCCCCACGAATATTTCTGCTTCTACAGTAATGTAGTTTAAAACCTGAATTAATTTATTATCAAATGTGATTTATAGACAAAAATAGGTCAGGCCATTAAAGATGGAGACTTCAGAGAACTAAAACGTCTCATTGAGGCAGGGGAAAATGTTCATCTCAAGGACAGGGTGAGTTGTTATATTTCTTTAAAAGTAAAATGGTATTCATATTTTGAATTTATGGATGACTTTCCTCTAGATACCCAATATTAGTGACTTCATGGTGAAATATTGTAATATTTCAGAAAGGTAACACATACTTGCATTATGTATGCACCATGTATAGACCAGTTGTGTTTCACATAATGGCTGCCCAAGGAATTGATATCAACAGCCAAAATAAGGTAAGATTCAAATATCTAATGTTAAGTATGTTGTATTTAGATAGATGTTTATGTTTCACTCAAGTTAATTTATAATAATTATAGTGAATTGATTTAACCTAATAAAACATGTGTACAGAATAAAATGAGTATGGACATGCATGTGACAATCTAATTAAAATCCGACTTTAATAAGATGCCTTTTTTGCTCTCTAGTTTGGCTATACACCTCTCCATGTAACGGCCCTAGAGATGGATGGCCTACATGTTGCTGATGTCATGTGTTGTGGGGCAGACCCTCAAATCAAATGTTATGTAAGTTTTTTTTAATGTTGCATGCAGCTCAATTAAACCATTTCATATTTGTTATCTTAAAAAAGCAAAACTTCACTGAAATAAGATTCTGATATCTACATGTGAAGAGGATTTTAAAACCTGAATTAATTTATTATCAAATGTGAGTTTATAGACAAAAATAGGTCAGGCCATTAACCTTGGAGACTTCAGAGAACTAAAACGTCCGTCTTGAGGCAGGGGAAAATGTTCATCTCAAGGACTGTGAGTTGTTTAATATTTCTTTAAAAGTAAAATGGTATTCATATTTTGAATTTACTACTCCACACTTAGATTGCTCATGATTAAAGGTGTGTCATGGTGAAAGGTCATTTGGGGAAGTTCAAGGTCACTGGAAAGAAAAAAACATGCATTATGTATCCATATCTTTTTTATGGATAAACTTGGTAGGTTGTGTTTCACACAAAGATTGCTGACCCAAGGGTGTGTCATGACCTTGAGCCAAGGTCATTAAGGTAAGATTCAAGGTACTGGAAAAAAAATATCATAATTGTGTTTAGATAGATGTTTATGTCTTATTCAAGTAAATTTATAATTATTTTACACAAAGATTAACCTAATAAAACAAGTGTGTCATGAATGACCCAAGGTCATTTGGAGAAGTGCAAGGACAATCTAATTAAAATCCGATAATAAGATGCCTTTTTTGCTCTCTGGATAAACTTGGTATTCACCTCTCCACTGTAAAGGCCCTAGAGAAGGGTGTGTCATGACCTTGACCCAAGGTCATGTGTTTGGGGAAGTTGAAGGTCACTGGAAGTAAAATTTCATAATTCGTGTTTGATACATATCTTTATTATGGAAAAACTTACTTCTGAAAAACCCAGCGGGGGGTATTTTGTCCTGTTTGGACAGTTCTAGTTTTATTTATATCTACACCAAGCTTGGAAAGACAGCTGCAGAGCTTGACCCCCACAACAAATACTGGCAAATGGTGTATGAAAAATATAAGGTTAGTATATGGAGATGCAGGTTCCTTTTAGTAAATGCTGATTTATCTTAACCATAACAAAATGTATACTAGAATGAGATTACTGTAGTATTCCATTCTTTGAAGAGAAAATTTTTAAAGAAAAATCTGAGGAGCTGTTTTAGAGTTCATCATTTGTTTATCCTCACACAGCTTGTCAAGACTTGTTTCTTCAAAATGGATCTACAAACAATTTAATTAAGTAGATCAGATTGCTATTTCCCTTCTTTACAGCCAGGAATATTCCATGCTGTTAAAGCACATGATGTGGAGAAAGTCAAAGAACTCTTACATTGCTGGTGTAAAATGGATTCTAAATATGTGAGTCATCTTGCTGTTCATATGTACCTGTAAAGTGATATTTAGACCTTTACAGTACACCTGTGTAATTTATGTAATTTGCTCAGTGTGGAAATGTCTGTAATTTATAACATCTGAAATTTACTGTTGTACAGAATGGACTGACCCTGAGACAGTACTCTGCAGCTCACAAACATCATGACATTGTTAGGATTCTGGATCAACACAAGGCTACTCTGGTGAGTTGAGGGATAATCAGCCCATTTCTTCCAGGGAATCCCCAACTAGAATTACCCATATAGTGTATTGTGGATGTACAAAAATTAATTTCTTATTTTTTTTTTTGGTATTCTTGTTTTACAGTATGTTATTAGAACACCAGGAGGTGTTAATTTTACTTTAATATGATTTACATTTTGTTGTCCAATGAAAGAATTTTTGGTGTGTTTTTGAATGGGATTTTATCCACAACTGTTTTTGACTAAAATGCATTGTTTTTTGACTAGGATGTATGGTATGATTGTTTGTTTTTCTACTTAGGATGTGATTGAAGCTAGGTTTTTTCTTAGGTAATATGTGATCTTTGAGTGTTTGTTATTTGACAAGGTGATCTATATCTGTGTGTTTTTTTTAAAAATGTTTTCCAGGATGTGATATATGGGTGTTTGGAATTGAACTATGACAGGGTCAGAGCAGCTTTGAAGAAGTCATGGTGCAGAATTAACTTCCTTAATAAGGTACAGTGAGTTACTTTGACAGTATCCATGAGTAATGCACAGGTATATTCATTTTAATCACCAATGAAGAATGTTCTTTCTTTTAAATGGACAGGGATTAAATTATTTTTTATACATGTTATACAAAGTTGAAGTACATATATTAACATTCTTTTTAAACAACTTTTTTCAGAAGAACAAAGTTGAAATGCAAACATACAAGTATATTTACCTGTTGATTCTATCAAATAGTAATATTTTGCACATAATACATTCTATCTGTCTGTGCAGGCCTCCAGAAAGCAGCACATTCTACAGTTTGCTATAGAAATGAGAGACAACACCTTGGTCAAAATGCTCTGTGATGCCGGGGCAGATGTTAATATGCTGGTGCTCGTTCATGATTATTTTGTGGTATGGTTATAGATGTTAACTCCTTTGTCAACACTATCGTTTGACTTTAAAAGCTAGAGTTTTCACAATTGAAAATCAGATATTGAGTAGTTATTTATTTGGAAACTACATATTTTTATGTAAAAGCCCCTTGTTATGTTCACATTGAAAAAATATTTTCATAATGATATCCCAGAGGAAGGAGTGTGCTGGACACCAATCCTGCAGTTTTTCATTGTTTATGTTTTTTGTGTGAAGATTTCTTGCCAGCTAAATTCTAATCAGTATTAATGTATCTGCCTATATGAAGTTTGATATAAGAGAGACATTTATTTTAGATCACCCGAGCTTAAGATTTTCTGATCAAACTTGATCTGTTGGCTGTATTGCATATTTTTATTTTTTTCACAAAAACCACTGTGCCAATTTCAACAAAACTTACCACAAAGTACCCGATATCCGTTGTTATAGGGAATCAAGTTTATTTAAAAGAAGGGTCATATCCTCATCCAAGGGGAGATAATTCAGTAAAAGTGAAGATTTGGTGGGGTCATTTAAAAATCTTTTTCTCAAAAACCACTGACCAGAAGGAATGAAACCTTCAAGAAAGCTCTCTGACATGTCATAGATTTAAATTACTCAAATCATGACCCCTGGGGGTTGGTTGGGGCTACTTTGAGCAATCAAAGTTTTACATTGGAATGTAAAAAAAAATCTTCTCAAGAACAGCAAAACTATGATTAGTCATATTTATATGAAAGCATCCTCAGGCACTGTATTTGAAGTTTGTTCAAATTGTTGCACCTTAGGTTATGGTGGTGCCACAATATTATCTCATTTTTACTTGGGAATATGTAGGAAAAGAACAGAAGGGTATTTTTTAACTCATGTGAACAATGTGGGCCATGGGCCTCTCATCATTTATACTTCTAAAGCTTCTCAAGTTCATAATGTTGTGAAGGTTTTTAAGATCTTTGCATTTGTGATCTGTAGAACTCTTGTCATTTAGACTTAATGTTGCTTTTAGGGCTTTCATGAGTTAAAGGTAAAAACATAAATACAGGAATTATTCTTATTTTATTTGTTTTCTTTCATTTTTAGCAATTTATACAAGTAGTTTTTATTTCTCATAATATCTTGACTGCAAACTAATTTTTATGACTTTTATAGAAAATTTTTTGAAGTAAAATCACATTTAAATCCTCAAAAATTCTTTCTGCCACAAAATTGTTGAACATTAAAAGGTAAAGTTTAAAAAAATTAGTTTACAGTACATTTAATCATTTACATTTCAGTTGATGATTTTCTCCATAATATTTAGCACCATGCAGTCTTATAATAATATATACCAGCACTTTTTGTGTTAAACTTTAAACATGTTAAGGGATTTATATTCTGTTATTTATTTTCATATATAAATTATATATATATTGATTACTTTTATTTGCCTTTTATTTATGGTAGTTGGTCTGCACACCTCTAAATTTTCTTACTTCAGTTAATATTGCAGAATGTTAAAAAGAAAAAAAAATTGTTTTTACTATCCTTGTTATAAAATTGTAAATCACTTTTTATTACTTTATTTTTGTAATTACTTGTAAATTTTTACGTATAATAGAATTCCTTAAGATTATATAAAGCAATGACCACTCGCTGATATATTACGAAAATTAAGAATTCTTGATATAAATTACAAAAGAAGTCTTACAAACAGTTTAAATTTAGTTAATGAGAAATATTTATGAAAAACTGCTGAAGTAAATTTTCTGTGCAAAATAATACTATTTATTGGTTTTTATCTTTTATATAAATATATGTTTGTCGAATAAGATTATATAGGGAATTTGAAAAAAGGATCAGATTCAACAACCTAGAAAAATAATTTGTATAAAGCTTACAAATATGAAAAACTAAGTACATTTGTGTTATTTAGCAAGTGTTTCTGTTCTATAAATTTCAATTGCATTAGATTTTTTTAAAATTTTGACAAAATTAAACAGAATTTAAAGCTGTGTGTTGTTTGTGTGACTAGGGTCCCTTGTACTTTGAGGTGATCAACACCACGACACCACCGGACATTATGTGGACCGTACTGAAAGCTAATGTTAACTTCAATGTTAAAGATGAGGTTTGATTGCAATGATTTTGAATACTTTCATAGATATAATAGTTTTTAAAGTGCAAAACATTCTTGGAATAATTCATTTTAAAACAAACTACTGGTAAATATTTATTTTCTGAATTAATATCAAGAAGTTGCTTTCAAAATGTTATTTTAAAACACAAACTACATGTGAATAATGTTATTGAATAATACTTTATGTCCTTTACATTTCAATCTACACTGCACTTTCAAATGCTTATTTTTTTTAAATGTTCTATTATAGAGAGGACGAAATGCTATGGCCTATGCCTTAGACAAGGGGAATGGTTTCTTGCCAACAGAAGTGTTCAAGTTTATGTTGAGGAATGGAGCCTATGTGGGAGACAGAGATGATGTATGTCTAGCTTTATAGATTCCTGGTCTTGATGTTGGGGGAAGGGCGGGGCCACAATGGGGAAAAGTTTTTATATAGGAAAAATCTTTGAAAATGAACCACTGGGCCCCCCCTTTAAAGAAGGGAGGGCATGGGCCAAAAAATTGCTTTGCTGCTGTCAAAATGTCTAAATTATGATCAGTGGGGTAGGGTGGGGATGATGGTAAGTTGGTCTGTCAGGTGAGATGTCCACCAAGTTTAAAGAAGGGAGGGCATATTGCTTTGCTGCTTTTCTCGGTCTGCAGCGGTTGCACATACATGATACTTAAATGAAATTTGGTAAACAAATTAATCATGAGAATATCTAGATCAAGTTTTGTTTTGGGTACACAATCAACAATTTTTGACAGAGTTATGCCCCTTGGACTTAGAACAATTCCAATTATTTGCAGTTTCTGTTCATTTTCTTGGCATGTATTTCGAGGGGGGTATAAGTGTTTCACAACATCTCTTGTTTGCATTAGATTGAATATAAAAAACAGTTATAACAAAGTGCCATTACATTGTATTCACATAAGTGTATATTGTATCATATTGAATGACTTGCTTTACTTTTCAGACAGGTGTAGGGGTGCGGGAGATTGCCAAATTTGCCAGGAGAATAGATGTAGGCACCTTGATAGACAAGGTAAAAGGGGGGACTCTAAAGGAAAAAAAAATACCATCTAGCACAAGATAAGGTAAAGGGGGGACTTTAAAGGAAAATAAATTCTAACACAAATACAGTGTCATGTACTCAATGTTTCCAGCACTTGGACATACATTTTGTTGACCATTGCAGTACTACATCCAAGTGATAAGAAACTCTGACCTTCATATGCTGAAGAGGTTAGCAGTGGATGGCTATGGGGGACTTCTCATAAACTTCAATGTATGGATTTATTTATAGTATTCTCTTCATTAGCTCTACTGGCCAGAGACCAGAAGAGCTTATGCGATAGTAATGCGTCCGTCGTCCGTCCGTCTGTCTGTCTGTCTGTCTGTCTGTCTGTAAACAATTTTTCAAAATGCTACTCCTCCTACAGTTTTGGTCCGATTTCAATATAACTTGGCACACAAGTAGACTACACTAAGATACATAATTTTGTGCATCGGTTTTTGATTTCGTTGAACGGTGTTGCCGTGGTTACTAAAAATAGAAATTTCTGTGAAATTCTTTCAAAATGCTACTCCTCCTACAGTTTTGGTCTGATTTCAGTATAACTTGGCACAAAAGTAGACTACGCTAAGATACATAATTCTGTGCATCGGGTTTTGATTTCGATGAACGGTGTTGCCGTGGTTACTAAAAATAGAAATTTCTTTGAAATTCTTTCAAAATGCTACTCCTCCTACAGTTTTGGTCCAATTTCAATATTACTTGGCACACAAGTAGACTACACAAAAATACATAATTCTGTGCATCGGTTTTTGATTTCGATGAACGGTGTTGCCGTGGTTACTAGAAATAGAAATTTCTTTGAAATTCTTTCAAAATGCTACTCCTCCTACAGATTTGGTCCGATTTCAGTATAACTTGGCACACAAGTAGACTACACTAAGATACATAATTCTGTGCATCGGTTTTTGATTTCAATGAACAATGTTGCCCATGGTTACTAAAAATAGAAATTTCTGTGAAATTCTTTCAAAATGCTACTCCTCCTGCAGTTTTGGTCTGATTTCAGTATAACTTGGCACACAAGTAGACTATACTAAGATACATAATTCTGTGCATTGGTTTTTATTTTGATGAGTTATTTTTCTATTTATTGCTGATTTAAAGTCTCAAGTCCCAACTGCTACTTTTCTCTTCCTTTGTTTTAAGTATAAACCAGTAGAGCTACAGTCTCGACAGAGACTTCTGGTTTATTTACATGTAATTGTTCTAAAACTAATGAAAAAGTATAATTTACTATGTTTTATCAGCATTACACGTGTAGCTACATGTGTTTTATTTAGATCTCTGTCCTTTTTCAGTATAGAGACTCTTACATCTATGCTGCAGGGAATGATACTGATGATGTTTTAAAATTCATAGAATGGCTGCCAACATTTCAGGTGAGCAAGGTTAAATTTGTTTGTTATTTTGTTTGTTTGTCTGTTTGTTTTACAAATTAATGGATATCCATGTATATTGATAGCTTGAGAAAAGAGCCACAAAGATCTTCAAATAATTTTTATACATCTTTTTTTTTAATGTCCACTTTCTTAGTATATTCAGTTTTTATCAAACTTTTCAAAGTACTCCTTATCTATTAAAACCCCCACCCCCTCTACACACACAAACACAGTCCTGACCAAGATGGAAAGGAGTTTAAAAGTGTATGTTATAATGTTAAAAAAAACATTATCTTAATCGTAAAATATTCTCTTACCAGGAACAAGTGAGATTGCTCCACCTGGCCATTAGAGAGGAGCCACTCAGTGAATTCTCGTCTATTCTCCAGAGCTGTAGAGAACCAGAAATGTTAATCAACTCCAAAGACAAGGTCAGACTTCTTAAGATTTGGAGTAATTTAGATTGATTTTGGAAACCTTTTTATTGTTATTCATTATCATATTTTCATATTTGTTGTTTACTTTTATTTTTCTGTCAGGGATTGAGGAGTCCCCTGATTCTTGCTACATTATTCGCTCGAGATGATGTGGTGAATTTTATACTTAACCAGCCTTACAAGATTGATATCAATGCCCAGGACTGTGTAAGCTTAAAGTTTTGCAATTTTACTGGAACATAATATATATACTAATGGGATAGTCAATCTTTTTTTTAGGTGGTATAGTTAAATCCAAAATTCATCTCGTTAACCTAGTATGTTTATTCCAGTAAAAGAATTTGTTTTTGAAAAACTGTTCACTTTGTTAATATGTAATGGGAATGGGTTTTAAATAGTTTTAAAGCACACATTGTAAAGTAAATTTTTACCAAGAAACGACCAACATATTCAGGTAAATCTTGATTTATAAAATTAAAATTGACATAAAATTGGTGCAAGAGGTTTTTATTTTGTATATATAGATTCCCAATTTTTAGGGATAATGATATTAAAATGTACAAACTTTTCATTTAGGACTTTTGAAATTAAAATAGTCTTCCTATTAAAGTTCACATCCTTTCTGTGTATTTCAGTGCAAGAGAACAGCCTACCATTATACATATTTCCTGGATCTGGATGGAGAGAGCATTCGTAAATCTCTGATCAAGGCTGGGATAGACCAGACTATTGTGGATGTGGTAAGTTAAGACTTATAATTGTGGATAAAAAGCAGATTGCTTTGTGTTTAAATAAGTATCATTAGGGGGATAAGTAAACAAATTGGTTTTGGACATGAACAGATTTTTTTCCATTTATGACAATATGTCTTAGATATATACATGTATGTCAATGTGTCTCCATGGGTATGCTTCTAGCCTGGTAATTAATAATTGGCATGTTGTCCTTAAAATCTTTAGAGAGTCTTAGAACAAATGAATCCTCTCTAAATGTTCCAGCATCAGAAGATTTTTGGCTAAAGATACATTGAGTACCAAATCTATGAATCAATTAAGCATTATTATATGGCTAATTTGTAAATTTCTTTCTCACAGAAAGGCAAAAGAGGAGAAGATTATACAGACTTTGTTGATAAAGAGGAATGGATTGATCAAGAAATCACTGTAAGTAGACTGAGAAGTGTAGGTAACTTAATGCGTGTATTTAATTAATAACTTTGGTGTGTTAATCAATGTTATGGCCATTAATTACATGAATACAGTGACTTATAATTTAATTTTACCTTGCTAACTGTGGTTAAAGTGAGCATTTCTGATCAGAAGTCTGTCTCTTGTCTATACTTCAGTAACATTTCACTCTTCCCAATCCTTATCTGTTGTACGTAAGGGGGGTTTAACAAATTTTTATTCACAAACATCTCTGGTTGCAGGGTTTTGAAGTTTATTTAAAAAAAACACAAGATTACAAACTGTTTAAAAAGAGTTACATGTATTAAAAAAAATAGGGTAGGGTCATCTAAAAAACTTCTCCAGAACCATTTGGTCTCCATAGAAGGACAAACATTAAACATTGATATATAGTACAGCATCCCATCGAATCTTGATTTTGTTCAAATTGTGAAACCTAGACTTAGGATGGAGCCACAGTTTTAATCCTCCCCCCCCCCCCCCAAAAAAAAAAGAGAGAGAGAGAGAGAGAGAGAGAGAGAGTCAAAGTCTACAGATTTCAAAGAGTATGGTTAGTGAATTCTCTTGAGGCCATTAAAAAGTGCATTCTTTGTTTAAAATGAATACATGTACATTGTATTCAGTTATGAGAAGGGGGGGGGGTATTAATAAGATGAGCTTTGTGACTAATTTGCATAAAATTATGTTGCTATATTGACATATTAAATATCATGAAATAATTATATTTAAAAGTATGGCAAGGTATAATCCAAGTGAATATGATTAATTGTAAATAACTATGCATGTGCATGAATATTACTTTTACTCTGCTCACTAATGGTTAATTTTTTGCATGACCTTTTACATTCATAGGCTAAATATGGAATGGAGTTAGAACTTATGTGTATTGAAAAGGTTTGTATTTTGTGCTTTAATAATTTCCCTCTCGATTTTGAGTGGTAAAAATACTTTGTTGTTTTATGTTTTAAATACACATGATACAGTACATCACTAAAAAGATTATAATAAACAAAATATTCAGCAAGCATATTTTTTATCCAAAATGTAGTATGAAGAACTGAGGCGAGTAATTCGGTCCAAAAGACAGGGATTGAAGGAATTTCTAGAACTTCTTCGAGATTTCCCTGTCCCTGTGGCTACCTTCCCAAAAATAGTAAGTATTCCCACATCAGATAGTGGAATATTTCATATTTTCATGTTTGGAAAAGTTGTCCCCCTTTCACAGTTTATCTCTGATATAAAATCAAAAGAACATAAAACAAACTTGTGTATTTATTATTGATTGAATGCACATTGACATGTCATATACTATTGCTATTTTGCAATCATTGAGACACTATGTTAATTCTCCTTTCTAACGAATGTCTATTTTGGGGAATTTTAAAAATACCAACAATAGTTAAAAGTAAGGAATATTTCAGAAATAATTTTTATGGAGTTAAAAAAGTTTTCATAACTTTGAACAACCCTCGTCTAGAACTGATAAATTCTTTCAAGTTCAGTTGTATGATTTTATATTCTTTTTTTAATTAAGAAAGCGGAAGTTTGAAAAAGTAGACTACATGTATTATGAAGTTTTGAAAAGAAAATCCGACATGATTTAGTAAAATAATCACCATCTCTTCCTTCTAGTTGGGCCCCCTGATGTCAAATTACAGAGACATCATATTTTTAGCAGTGGATTATGGGAAGGAAGATATTGCAGTTCGATTGGCTCATCTCGGGGCTGACTTGTTTAGGAAAGAAATGGTAAGAATATTACATTTTAATTCTTTGATACTTGAATTATGTTCATCTGATTATCATTAATTTCAATAATTGCTGAACATACCTTTTCAAATTCAGTAAAAAGGATTTTTTTTTCTGATCTTTTTTGTACATGTAAAGTGTAGCATGTCTGGTGTTCATATAGCCTGTACTTCGCGTTGTGTTTATTTTTATTTTGAGACGACATTCTGAATATAAGACATCTACATTAGATTATATATTGGAAATATTTGTAAATTGTAATGAACTATAAAAGAAAATAAGATTAACAAGACTTTACAATTTATTACCAGTCTTACAGTACGTTATAATCGCACACAACATGAAAACCTTATTTCCCAACCCAAATATAGCCTAACTTAACCCAAATATAGTCTAACGTAAAGTAATATAATTTAATTAAGGCAGTCGAACAAGGGACGACTCCAGTATATGAAGAGTTTAGCTAGCGAAGCCTCTGTCTCCCTCTCCGATCTAATAATTAAATAGCTTTATATATGAAAAAAGAACAAAAGAAACTGTCAAAAACCTTATTGGCCAAAAGATAAAAGTGGGCGTTTCCAAAATAAATGTGGACAATTTACATCGGGATCGAAATGAAATAATTATGAAAACGTAAATAAACCTAATCTGCCACAAAAGCAATAAATACATATATGTTTGAACCAAATCATAAAATTACACAAAAGCCTTTATGCAATCAATGCTGATTTGCTTCATTTGGCGGTCTTGTATTTCAGTACATAAGGAAGAGTCGGGATGGAGAAGAAGTGATGGTAGCCATGAATGTTGTGGAAAGGGCCGCAACTCTCAAAAAGGTAGATCTGGTCAACATTCTCGCCAAGAAGCAGGTACGCCAGAGGGAAATCTACACGCCGTTAGTTCCAAGACGTGCGCAAGTCAAATTACAGCTGGAACTGTCCATGAAGTCTGTGGACTTTGAAAAGATATTTGTGTCTCAAACCCCACTGTGTTTTTAACGGAGTTCATCATGATATCAATGCCTTATTTATTTTATCATCTCTGTATTGCATTCTAAGGTAGGAGTAAGAGTTGTAAGTCTAATGTTAGTATTTCAGAGGTGTGAGCTTTTTATTTGGGTTCATGGGAAATATATGCATGTTTAATAATTTGATGTTTTTATAAGCTGCTTATCTGTGATATTTTTGACACTGGTTTTAGGTATTGTTGATGGTTGTTGATGATTTATTTTAGTTAATCATGTTATAATTATTGCAAGCAAATGTTGAGAAAATCAAATTTTACACATTGTATGAAAGAATTAAATATGAAATATTTTCTTTTTTTATGCTTCTGTAATCTAAAATGGAAGTAGGGGCATATAGTTTTTGTCATGTTCATTCATCTGTCTGTCTAGCTACCTGTTTGTCTGTAGAAACTTTAACCTTGCCTTTAACTCTATGGCTATCAATTACTGTATACAAGAAAATTTTTGCCTCCGTTTAATTTTCACCCCTTTCACTCTACCCTCATTTGGGCAAATTTAAAACGGAGCGAATTCAAGGAATTCAGTATAATTCCTTATACAAAACTATGAGTGGGTGAATTTAAAAAGCGGTAAAATTGTCTGCAATTATGGAATGGCCAAAATAACCCTCTGCACAGTACTTCACGTGTATTTCTTGTGACAGTACCTTTTGGTACATTGACCCACTTTAAAAAAAAAAACTTTAACCTTTTTCATAACTCTTGAACAGTTTGTGCTACATCTCTAATTCAAATTCATAGATGCAATCGTTGTGACAAAACGTTCTCTAGGGTAACAACATTCTTGACCTTGAAGTTTGACCTGTTTTGAAAAACTTAAGCCTTTACCATGACTTTTCAAAGGCTGAGGCTAAGGCTTTCATATTTCATAGGTGTATTGTTTGTGACAAGACTATTTCTTCAGTACTAACAGTTTTTACCCCTTTTCCTTGACCTTTGAGTTTGTCCTACTTCTGAAAAACTTAATTGTTGTTCTTTTATTTTTTTGACTGGTTGGTGCTATAGCTTTATATTTCATATGTTTATCTCTTGTGACAAGACCTGCCCTTGGGTACTATTAATTTTGACCATTTCAACATGACCTTGACATTTAATGAACTTTTAATAGAAAATCTTAACCTTTACCAAATTTTTTATGAGTTAGTGTTAGAGCAATTATATTTCGCAGATGTATTTCTTGAAACAAGAGTTTGATTTGCAATGAAAAGCTGTAACCTTCATTAGAGGTGCACACAGGGGTGTCAGTGTTTCATAAAATATACATGCATAAGCAATCTACATGTATTCTTTATCTGAAGATTCCAGTTTTAATACAACAATTTATATGTATATGGTTTCAATTTAGATCATTCATTTCATGGCTTATCAAAATATTTTTGACTTTTAACATTTTCTTAAATAAAGATTTAAAAAAAATTGTAATAAGCAAACATTTGGAATAGCAAGTTAAAGTAACTATATAGAGGTCGAGATAATCCTGTACGCTTCTTACTTTTCTAGGTATTTTATGATCCTTCATGCCATACAAATACAGCCTACTCCGGATATATTGAAATTCAGGGGACCATGCAAATTATTTCAATATATCCGTAATTCAATATAAGCGAAATCGTGAAGCCGCCAGTTTTACAAGTTCAATCCCGATCATAAATAAAAAAAAAACAAACCCGAACAAATTAATTTATCATCGTTTATCTATAGCAGTGAACAGATTACTTAGAATATGAGTCATAGAAGGTTTAAATATTTTTTTTATTTCTGTTTCATTGAAAAGACAATTTTCAATGAGGAGGGGTGACCTCCTTATTATTCCCCGCATTTATTTACGTTTTAGAGTAAATTCACCGGACTTCAAAGGTTGAGAACTGCTGAACGCTGCTTGTATTTCGTCGTAAGTGTACTCGTGTTAATACCTTAGTTATTTCGAATTAACAGGACGTATTTAATTTCAAAGTTATGGTTTTTTTTCCTAGATCTGTGAGGGTTGCTATATTATTTTAAATGTTTAGCTGTTAGTCTCGATATGTCCGTATTATATACGTGGACGCAAAGAATATAACAGTGAAGATTTTTTTTTTCGTAAGAGCATGCAGTATTGAAAACTTAATTATTCACACCTTCTGATATCAACTGGTCAATCAGGCATAATTACTGTCACCAACCGTAACGACATTTGCCAGGGAGTACTTCAATATAACCGTTATGATAACAACTCATAATCACCTGCGGGGACCGATCAGTGGCTTCAATATAAGCGAAATTTCAATATATCCGATTTCAATATAACCGTTATTTTAATGCAAAGAATATGAGAGGCAAAAACTGGGGATTTATTTCTATTTCAAAATAACAGGAATTTCAAAATAAGCGAGTTCAATATAAGTGGAGTAAGCTGTATATCTGTTATAAATATACTTTCTTTATGTACTGTAACTCAAGACTTTATGCTTAAAACAGCTTTCAGATACTTTATACTGGATTGGTTGAAATCATGAAGGAATTTTCAGTAAGAATCAATTAGGCCATACAGCAACACCCCCCCCCCCCCCAAAAAAAAAATCTTCACAAATTAGGCTCATTAATTTTAATAATCTCTGCAATACAGCATTCATAAGGTACAACCTAGAACACAAAAACATGCAAATAATAATATAAATATAATAAATAAAATTATACACATGTAAAGGACAAAACAATAGAATACCTGACACTGGATATGTGCATGGACAAAAAGGATTACTACATACTGTCAATTGACTGGCTGTTTTCTCCATTTTTTTTCACTTATAATGTATTAAGTTTATTGTCATTATTAACTTCTGTATTAAGAAAAACTTAAACTAAAAGACTTCTTAAGGTCAAGACCTAGTAAATAACTTGAGACTAATTTTTTGGTGCTAGATCCATTATGACGTCATAATCAATTTCAACTTTCTTTTTCCCGTACTTTACGGCTTTAGCAGAATTATGTAGAAAATAGGGTATATTCATGTCATTCAATTTGAAATCATATGAAAAGTAAACCGGATACCTATATTAAATTTGATATTGATTTAAAGAAGAGGCCATGAACATACTAATTAACGTTTTCTGAGAGACTGTAGGCAATTTGGGTACATTTTCTTTGCCGAATACGAAAAAAACTCCCATACTCATGACTGGTTTTCTTAATTTTTCATTGAAATTTACAGTTTAAAATACAGTTTTTCATCTTGTTTACCTACAAATTAAGCCCCGAAACACCTTATTTGACCAAGCTAAAGTTGTAAAGCATCAATAAAGGAATTTATTTATCAAGTTTGATAAATCTGTAGGCACCTTTCATTTACTAGATCTTGACCTTAAATCATCCTCTTAACTGAACCTTGACTTGATGTTCAGTACTAACAGATATCTTAGAAAGACATTTTTCTTGAATCAAAATTTTGAAGAAAAAAAATTCATCAGTTCTCATTTCCAACAGTTAATCAGTATAATCCTAAATGACCATACAATAAACACTGTGTGCTGTCTACACATGGATGTCATACATCAGCGACTATTTTTTTTTCTTGATAATTAACATATACATATATGAATCAATCCTGGATATGATGAAAAATAAAATATATGCTGCAAAAGTTTAATATAGTACATCCATCTGAAATTTCATATTAACCATCGAATGATCAAAATGTCACAAAGTTATGGCCCAATGAAGATATTAGCTGGTATAAAGTCATAAAATTCTAAATTCAAAACATTTCAGCTTTCACAATAAATACAGTGCATTTTTCTGAGATCAGGCAGTCATTCAGACAACAAGACTAGGTACAACTAATATCTTTGCTACTGATATCTCCCAAAATATATCACTACTTCAGAAAGTATACATTGTCACACACAAAAAGAAATACATAATACACTAATATGGACCTAGAAAAAAATTGGTTTGATACTCTGAAATAAGTCATATACAGAGAGATGACCTTCAGTATTTACACTCTGACCTTTAAGAATAAACATAAAACAAAATATGGTACTAAATATATCTACTACTTATATATACTATGTCTATTTCTTTATTTTACAAACATCCATATACCGGTAGATGCATTCCAATTAAATTATGTTATGTTGCGAGGTATTTGTGTTTTGATAAAAGCTGGGGGGGGGGGGGGGGGGGGGGTATGTGGGTTCACTGAATAAGGAGAAACTACCATTACATGGATCAGTCCAAATATATTTAATATTTTCTATAACCCAGTTCTTCGCTCCTGTATCTATTTTTCTGTGATCATACAATATACACATGAAGTTTGTTTTCACAACACTCTGAATCTTAAAATACATTTTACATCCATTTCTCTAAGCAAAGCACTTGCATGAACAAAAACATGAACAGATCATTACAAAAATAATTGCAGGGAAATGTATGATGGAATGCTTAACAATTTGTAGATTTCATAAAGGCAAGAAAAAACATGATCTCAGGCATCAGAATCAAATTAACATGAGTATACAAGCACCATTAAAATAAATGTGCAAATCTAAACAAAGTGCAACATAAATACATAGTAATAATTACGTAAATAAATCACAGAGTCTGGGACTTCTAGTTTACAACCTAAATATGTATACATGTATATATTTCTAATTTTAATAAAATACACAATCTCATTTTACATAATTTTAACTAGAAGTTGTAAGAGTGTGATCAGCTTAAATGGGTCAAACATGTATTCCTAACACAGTTTACTTCAATAAGAAATGGCTATAAATATTTGCTTTCTGGTAGACATTATTTTTTAAAATAATTTTAATTGACTAATGAACACTGAAAAAGCAAAGACTTCTGACATGGTAAAATTGTCATATTAAGCAAAGCATAATTTCTAGTCTTTTGACACACGAAGTTTCGTCTGTAGAATAATGATGTGAGAGATATATGTATATATAATTAAATTGAGTCGCTAAAATAAATGTCATAAACTTGTAATAAGAACTGTGTAGGTTCTCTACAAAAAGAAAAAATACTGCTGTGCATGCTTACAAAAAAAACCATTTACTCTGAACACAATTTGACAACAGCACTCGAGTCAATCTGATACAAGGGATAACCTTCAGTATAAGGTAAAGCAAGAGAGAGAGCAGCCTCACTTTTTAGTGTGAAAAACTGAAAGGCATTTTATATTTTAAACAAAAAAAAATTACACTGAATGTGGAGATGTGGAGAACAAACATTACAAAATTTATTGCACATAGTGTGTAATGGAGTCATCACAGTATATGTATTAATTGCTTTCACAAATATATTGCACAGGCTGAAAAAAATTCAAAGCATCATAAGCATTCTGTTCTTTTCTCTTCATTTTGAAAATGTTTGTTCATTTAATGATAAAGAAAAAAGACATGCAGATAATTCATGCATCTCATGAAAGATTTGATTGTATCATCATTTTATCAATTAGTTTCACATGAGTGAATACCATATTTTTTTGGAGCACCTAGTTGGAACCTGAGGGTTGTCACTCCAAACTAGTGTTGCTGGCAGAAAACTGTTTATTGGATGATGAGCTTTTGTTGAGTCCATCTGACATAGAACTACTGTACATGGACTCATTGTCACTGCTTGTAGCTGAGCGCGCCTCGCCTGAGCTTCTCCAGCGATGACTTGAGCCTGGAGATTTTCTGTAGTCTATGTTATACTGTGTAAATGGAAGATAAACTGGATTAACATAAACTCATCTGTTAAAAAGATGTGTGTTAATTGATAATTTTGTTATAAACCTTCCTAAATCCATGAAGTGTTAGTAATTACAATAAAAATGTTGTATCAAAATTAAAAAGAAATAAAATGTTATACTAAATCTATTCAATACAAAAGCTTCTATACATCTAAAACTTAAATACATGTACTTTTACATGTTCATTATTATTTTTTCAAAGCAGGCCTACAAAATGAATGTTCTACCTTGGTTGCACAAACAAATGAAGTGGTCACAACTTTTGCAATAATGTTCATCAAATTCTTTGTTTCTTGGATTGCATTGTCGACCTATTCATAAATACATAGAGAAGTTATTGTGAATGCACAGTGGTGTTATAAAGTCATAACAAAATGGCTACAGAGTGATAGAATGATGCTAATAAGATTATTATAAGAATTATATTATTAGTTACACAGTCAGTTAGTGACCTAATACGGATTCATACAGGGTGTGAAATGGAAATCCATATTGTGCGAGGCGAAGCCAAGACCCAATACTGATTTCCATTTCACACCCTGTATGAATCCGTATTAGGTCACTAACTGATTTTGTTACGAATTTATCCTGCTGAAGACCCTTTTCAATATAAAAAAAATATTTGTGCATATTATGAAAATATTAAGTTTTAATCCAATAACAATCAACATAAAATATCGTTACAGTTACAAGAAATTTAATAAACTACCTACGTAAACTGTTTCTTAGCCGCCATTTTTATTGACAATAACAACGCTTCGAACGGAATCGCGTGCCCGATTTTCATATTACGCCTCGACGGAGACGTAATACGGAAAATTTTAGGGCGTCACATGATTCGCTTTTATCCAATCAGTAATCAACAAATTTGTCTGAAGTGGAATAAAATGTATTATGCAAGGCAAAAGCATCATCCAAGTAAAACAGCAAACAAAGCTCTAATAAAGGGAAATAATGTGATACAATTATGAACACTACTTTTTCACAGAACTATGCAATATTTTGCAGGTGTTTATACCAACCAAACAAGAACAATTTTAGCACTTAAACAGACTACAAAATATCATTCAATTTTTATGAAGATTGTCAGTGGACTGAATATCCTGCTCTTGCCCCTGGTCTGTATCTACTGTTAGATTGTGACATAAGATGTGGGTATGATATTATACAATTATAGCCTTTTGATGAGGTCAATCCCTCGATATATAGACCTTAGAGAAAGCACGAAGTGCGAGGTCGATATGCTTTCTATAAGGTCTATATATCGAGGAATTGTACCGAATCAAAAGGCTACAATCGTTTTATTATTTTTAATCAGTTAATAATCAGTTAATAAGAAATGTCTTAAAAATCCTTCTTTATACATGTAATACTCAGTATCTTCTCATACAAGGCATTGTTATGTCATTGCATTATGACGTCACAGTAATGAAAACCAGCTGCAGTATCTGTTTTTAGAAACATCCAGGCTATAAAGACTATTGTGACGTCAGTACTATTGTTTCTTCACAATAGAACATTTCCAATTTTAGAAACAGCAGGTTTATAAATTTTTAAAATAGAAACATCCAGTCTGTAACACTTTTTATACTTGATCATGTGATCCAGTTTGAGCCAATCAGATAGTTGGAACAATAAAGAAAAATAATAATTGTAAATATATGACTTTGTTGTTGTTTGCCTTACCTTGTTAAATGTGGCCGTTTTGCCACTGGTCTGGGTCCTTAGGATGGAGTGAAGCTGCTGGCAGCAGGCTGGGATCCTCTCTAGATGTGTCATCAGTTCCTCACGGTGAACACAAAGGGGCACCTGTAACATGTGTTTTATTAGTCCAATTATCATTTGAGAATTTCAACAAAACAATCGTAATTGATCGGAACTACTTACCTTAAATTAAAACCATTCCAATGACTATTTAAATAAATATCTATGCTGGAATTTAAAGAGGCTGGGTGGTCGTGATCATTTTTAGACTATTTCTATCTCCTTTAAACGAAGAGCTCCATATAAAGATATACAAAAATGATCAAATTTCAAAACTAATATGTATGAAATTTTTCTTTGTCAAATGATAGTTGACAGCTAAAGATATCATATCTTAAAATTTAAGTTATATCTGGTGGTTAATTTTTTGTTTACTGTAAAATGAGAATATCTGGCGCACTACTAATTTTAGCGCCTTTGGCGCAAGAGCCCCTGAGCGCTAAAATTTATTGTGCGCTAAAGGATTTTTAAATATCATTTTTGTGTGTGTTCAACATTTTTTTTTTTACATAAGTACGTGTAAACCGGAACACGCGATTACGTAATGCCGAAGGGTCATTGGATTTTATAGCACATGTTCGGAACACAGAAAGTTCTGCCAAATTATAATTTAATTAAACTATTGTTACCCCGGTAGTTGTTACCCGATTATTATCATTAGCACCTTCAAAGTTTGGATTCTCGGCGTGTCAATCATCTATCGCCTTGAGGTAAACAATGCAATCAAGCATGGCGATTGAGCTAACAGACAATACCTGATTAGGATTAACGTTTTATCTAAATAATTTTCTGTCGATGCATGCATTGTTTTAATATGATTTAAATGAGTAAATACTCCATTTCTTTTAATTGAAAATAGAAATAAAATAAATTTTAACATTGTACCATGTCCATGTGATAGCAACACGTACCGCGGTAAAGTTAATGAATGTTTACTGATATATGGGAGTACTAATGTGTTTCCGTGCTTGACTTACCGAAAAGTAAAATACGGGTGTGGATAAAAAAAACAAAATATCACATTTATATATTTTACTGACAAGTGCAAGCGCTAAAATTTATTTGCACCAATGTATTTCCACTTGCGTTTGCGCTAAAATATGTATGCGCCAAATTTTCTCGTTTTACAGTATTTGTTAACCACCCAGCCTCCTTAAAGTAGAGATCATTTAACTAGAGGCCCATTGGTCATAATGCTCACCTGAGTGACTATTGCTAAGCTGTTATTCATCAGCATTTTCTTCCCTATACATTCCTTCTTTAAAAGTTTGATTGCCTGTAATTGTGCCCCTTCCTACCAGGTCACAATCTGAACAAACTTGAATCCAGAATAGGTAACGAACCTACCATACAAGTTTCAACTTTTCTAGCCTGTAGTTCTTGAGAAGAAGATTTTGAAACATGCCATTTAATTCTAGATACTTTCAGAGAGAGCCCCTACACAGCTTATACTGTATGCATACATAAATTGACTTACCCCCTGTATTCAAAATTAAGCACAGTTGAGTGGTTAGCATACCGTAAGATCATAATAAATAAATTGCTAGATTCTCATCCGAATATTTTTAAAAATTTTAATTTTTTTTTCCAGATTTTTTTATTGACCAGGTCAATCGGTGTAATTTTATCTACAGTACCCGAATAAAAGTCATAGTAAAGGTTCAATTATCTCTTACTTCACATCATCACCAATCTTTTTCAACCAATGACCTTTGTTTAAAATACTGTATAGGGGGAAAATAACTCGCGGTGTTAATATTCGCTATATTCACGGTGTTGATTAACAGTGAATAATTTTTTATAAAATAATCTCCATATTTTATTTTGAAATTTAGGAATAGACTACGATAGGTTTATACACATGTATCGTCAATACATGGTCATTTCAGTAATTACGGGTAGTACTTATCATTCAATTATTATAATTATCACGCTTTACTTTAATTAAAATCGGCAGATAAATAACTTGTGTTTGTTCCAAAACTGTTTTAATAGCCAACTCTACATGTTTCATCAATCAAAACACGTGGGCCGTGGGTTTTGATTGACCGTGCGTAACTAATGTTACCATGTGTATTTGTTACCTGCATAATCATGCATATTTGATTTTTTTCTAGATTTTGGTTTTGATAAGAAAAAATCTTTCAGATAAATATCAAACTTACTGAAGATTTGGAAGGATATTATTTGTCGAACTACATAAACACATCTATTTCCGTCCAGTGGTTTTTCGCCGCGTTGTATTGAAGATCTTAAGTGCACATGCACTCATCATAATAACATATAGGAAAGTCATTGTAGTGAAGGACTTTTAATAACTGCCCTTGATTAATTAATTATTTATTCAATCTAACAATTTTAAATTAACCTACCCTGTTGAAATAAAAACATGAATGTCGTTAACATGAAGATATATAGACAAGGGAGGTAACTTTTATTATATACCAATTGGAAACGATCGTGTCAGATGAGAGAAAAACGCGAAAATTACAACCCGTGAAATTAATCCCCTATACAGTATATATGCATGTACCATATTACAGGAATTACCATCTTTTCAGCTGTCAAAATTGTGTCGACTTTCGCAGGATTTAAAACAAAAGTAGAATGGTAGATAAATACTGATCCCTAGAGAATTAAGACAAAGAAAAACAGAAATAAAAAAAATCGAGGCGGAGGTACAAAATCTGGGCGGGCAGGGATGAGAATCTAGGAATATTTTTATTATGGCCTAATCATGAATTTGCGCTTCATGTCTGCACTGTGTATAGCATTTATTAGTAAAATTTTAGCAGTATTCGGAAATTATTGCATTGTTCTCTGCAACAAGGTACACATAGAGTAGTTTTAGATGAATTACAGTGGAGCCTCATTTATCCGGACGCTTTGGTCCTAGTCAATTTTTCCAGATATGTGAAGTGTCCGGATATCTGAATTTCCAGTTAAACAAGAACAAATAACATTAAAAAATTCTGTTCCGAGAAAAAGTCGTCCGGATACTGAAGCATCCGGATATCTGAGGGTCCACTGTAATCTTCCTTTGATTGAGGCAATAATAACTGACAAATATTGAATGACAAGTCACCTTGTCAACAACAGTGCATTTCTATAATTATCATCATTAAAGAATCATTGACAGCAATTTGAGAAAATCTTTACCTTATCACTAAAGTCCCTGACAGTTTTGTACAGTTTATTGCCTTCTGATGAGAAGTATTCGGCCTGGATAAATAGGTCCTGTGTGGTCTTTAGTGGCCCCTCTCCCCGGGTAAACAGATACATGGAGAAGGCCATACTGGACATGTTCTTGGCACGCTTGACAATATCATTATCGGGTTCCTCCCATTTGTCAGTCTCGGCATCCATTTCTGATGTAATTAATTTCATTTCCAGACCAAGTTTTGCTATTTTAGCTTGTTCCTAAAATAAAATAAACATGCATGTTAGTTTCTCTTGAGATAAAATTCAATAGATCATAAACTAACTTTCAATATGTGAAGCTAGAAATTATGCAAAGAATAACAAGCGATATTTGTAAAACACTTATGCCCCCCTCTCTCAACTAATTGGAATTAAGTTCAAGGGGCACAACTCTGTCTAAAATGGCCCGATCTTACCCCCAAAAAACATGACCTAGATATTCTTACAATAAATCTGTACACCAAATTTCATTTTAATATCTCCACTGTTTCAAAGGAAATGAACGGAAACTGCAAATAATTGGAATTTTTCTAAGTCCAAGGGGCATAACTCTGTCCAAAATGGACCTAAAACACATGTTGACCTAGATAATTTTATGATAAACCTGTATACCAAATTTCATTTCAATATGTGCAACTTCTGCTTAGAAAATGAACGGAAATTGATAGTGGACTGACAGACAAATAGACCAACAGAAAGACAGCAGCAAAGCAATATGATCTCCCTTCTTCTAAGGGGAGCATAAAAATCAATTTCATACTGGCAGTGGGCTAAAAATTGTTTACCTATCATGACATGATCAGAGGTTGTTTCTATTTTCTATATAATTTTTTTTCTTCTAAAAAGCATATGCAGGTTGTGATATGTCACTTAAAAAGATTTGGGCATGTATGCAATAGGTTGAAAAGTCATTCAAAAGTAAGCAATCAATCTACATGTAACTTGTTGCACATAATAAAATAAAACTACTTTCTTATTTAATTCTCCAGTTTAAAATGTAGAAAAATCAACCAGCAGTTTTTTCAAATGCAATTGATATTATATAATAAAATTATGCTTTTTTTTAATCAAATACAAATTTGAAAAAAAAAATTCAATAAATAAATTTTAACATTTGTAGCTCTGAAACTGTCTGAAACCAATTATATATACATAGTTTTATTCAGCAAAATATAATTTATAAAATACTTACATAAGATGCCTTATTATTATTTTTGATACAGTATCATTCTCTCACATAGACAGGTTAATAAACTCTGTACTCATCACAAGGATTTAAGTTATATAAACCAACTTCTTACGACACATTGTGCTGGCCGTATGATGGAGAGAAGTTCCTGACAATTGCTCCTATTCAGAGAATTTCTTCACTATCCCCCCACGTCTCTTTTATTGATTTGGAGCGTTACTTCGTAAGCCACTATTTTTATATAGGACTCTGAAACATTAATTGATCTTGACATATTGTTGCTGTATTTTCTTATAAATTCCACCAATTGACATTTATCTGTCGGGATCATTTGGTAGATTAGAATTCCTATTGGATATTATGGCCTGATTTAAATAATCCACGACTTCATTTATATTTCTAATCAATTTCCCTCTTCCTCTTCTTTAAGAACCATCAAATGATTTCAATTTCCAAGCAGGGTTTTTCGCTTTCTATGTCTTTATATAAATTTAAACTAAATGACTTCAGCTATTTGAGAAATTAGAATTATATTGGAATAACTGACAATCGCTACAATCACATGAACTATGATTATCTTATAAAAAGACGAACCGATTTACAGAGCAGGTATTTTACAATTTCTGTACCATCAGAAAAGAATGACAATTATCAATTTTCTTTTGGGTACACATTACCATTTTGAAACATAGAGGGTAAATTATGATTAAAATATATGCATTATGCTATTGTAATTTAACTTTTCAAAGTAAGGAGTTTTGAGAGATTGAGAAATCAAGAGAAAAGATTTCTTTGTTATATAGGAAAAAATAGAGACCCTATGAAGAATAATTAAAGATCAAACACTTTTCTTATTCACTGTTGTTAATCATTTGTTTTCAAAATTTTGACTGTATACCAACATGGTGAAGTCAATAAATTGAAAATGAATATCATCTGATTTAACTAATTTACAGATAAGATTTTCCCAGCCCACAATTGTTTTAAGGACAGATGATACAAACAAACTTTTGTCAAAGAATTTAAAAATAATAATTTGGGTCATGTTTAAAGGATTAAAAATAATAACTTTCACCGCATAGTTTTCAATTTTTTATTCAAATTTGCCCAAAAATGGAATTTGAAGTGAAAAATATTTGTATAGATAGATAAGGATAGTTTCAGAATGGCATACTTTTGAACATCACGGAAGGTTTACAATTTCTTTATCTTCTAGAAATTTATTATTTGCATCATTTGCAATGAAATTAGCCCAATAAATGTATACCAACCCAGGCATCCATTTTTTGTTTGTATCATCTGTCCTTAAGAAGGAACAGAACCTTGGGCTGTGTATGAGAACCCTCTGGCTAGAGATTGTAAGTACTCAGTGTAAATTATTTATGTGTACCTGTCTCACTTCATATTTTTAAAAATCATTAAAAAGAATGAAATAATGTGAATTTTGACTTTGAACCCACTGTAAAGGGTATTGATACTTTTATTCCCTCACAGGCTTGGAGATAAATGAAGTTATAAATTCAAACAGTCAGGAAGCTATCATTTTTCCCACCCACTACATTACCATGACTGACATTTTATAACTCTATTTAATGCGATAGATCAGATTTGATCATGTAAATGAATTCCATACTTGACATGACTAGTTTATGTTCTATAAGAAGATGGCAATTTGACTGTGACAGCTAATGGTTAGCATGAAAAGGATATTCTTGATCAGTGCATCTAAAATACACAGAGAATGTGTAAATTAAGCTTAGTATCATGAATCATTAATGATATATTCTACATAAATCTGATAAAATCTGTAAGAGTATCCTATGACATAATTCCAAAAATTCCGTAAATTTTTGTGAACTGTATTACTTTCCCTGAAGGCATAAATCTGTAACTGTAAGTCAGATAAATGTCTTTTCCCCCTTTACCTCCCTGTTGTCAGTACATGTACTCCTGTTGACCCTTACTTACAGACACAGTACATGTAAATATTTACATTTGCTGTGTTTTTCTACAAAGCCAACTGTGAAATTGATTTGAAAACCATTTTCGTGTATACTTATGCGTAGAAATATACAAGGAGAAAAATTGCGTTGTGACGTCACAATGAGGTTGGAGCGACGTTAGTAAAAATGAAATGATATAGGGCAGGGAGAAATTCAAATATTAAGTATATTCTAATTGCTTCCAAACATGTAAAATGTAAATATAAGGAATGTTTTTAAGTTTAGTGTGAATTATTGGTGTGTGAATCACACAAGACTTGCATGTAGGCATATCTTTCATGAAGCGCTAGGGCGCTTCATGAAATATGCCTACGTGACAAGTCTGTGTGATTCACACACCAATAATTCACACAAAACTTAAAAACATTCCTTAACAAATACCTAAACACAAATACACAGATCAAAGAAAGGAAGATGGAGAGAAAGATTAAAGTAACACTACGACCTGCACCATTTAGCATCTGGATTTGAAAGAGGGGAAAATCAATGCAAGATTCTTCATATATATATACATACATATATATTATGCTGAATTTTGCAAAGCATTGAAGCACTAATTGATCATTGTAATTTTTACTCTCAAGAATAAATCATTGAGTATATCTCCAATGTACATTTTCCACTCAAATGTTCCTGTTCTGTTTCTCCCATGAGAGAGATTGTCATTAAAACCAGGATCCATTTCACCACTGTACACTGCCATTTGTTTGTCTTTGGGAGGATGTCAGATGTATTTAGCACAATAAAAATTATTGATTTCTCCAAAAAATGTGATTACTCTAAGATAGCACACAGTTCTACAAGACAACACAAGACCACAGTAAACTTTCATCAGTACTCTCAGTAAGGTATCCCTACTGTAAAGTTAGGAAGAAATCAATATCCATTTCTTTAACTTCTCTCTATCACTGAAGCTTAGCTGCATAATTCTTATTAGCTACTGCACTATCAATTAGATTGATAGATGTGCACTGATTAACATAAAAACTTTTTAAACAAAAATCCTTCTCTGTTATTTACAAGCAATACATATCTAACATTAATCTAAAAATCCTAAAATCTAGTGAAAAATCTATCTCATGTTTTGCTTATCAGGAGTGCACTTAATTCTCACTAAAAAAAAAAGATGTGTTTGTGAAACACTGATGCCCTTGTATGGCAACACAGCAAAGGTTAAATTTTTTCAAATGCAAATTGAACACATTAATACATGTACCCAAAGTAAGGCTTTCTCACAAGAAATACAAATGTGATTTATAAAACCCTAGCACCACCTGTTCAAAAGTTATAGCGATGCAAAGTTAACGTTTTTTAAAGGTAGGTCAAACTCTGGGGTCAAGGACAAAGGGTCAAGGTTGTTGGATTCTAAAGAAAGGCCTTGTCACAAGGATTATATATGATAAGTATGAAAGCAGTGGCCCTAACAGTTCAAAAACTATTGCCAAGGTTAAAGTTTTTTTAAAAAGTAGTTTAAACTTTGGGATCAAGGTCAAAGGGTCAAGGTTGTTGATATCCAGTGAAAGGTCTTGTCACACGGATTACATACATGAAGTGTGAAAGTCCTAACCGTTCAAAAGTTATTGACAAGATAAAAGTTTTTTAAAAGTAGGTCAAACTCTAAGGTCAAGGTCAAAGGGTCAAAGTTGTTGGTAACCAATAAAAGTTCTTGTCACATGAAATACACCTGTGAAATGTGAAAGCCTTAGTCCCATCCAGTCAAAAGTTATGGGCAAGGTTTAAGTTTTTGCAGACAAACAGACAGATGGACAGGGCAAAAATATATACCCCAGCAATTTCGTTTACAGGGGCATAAAATAAGAGAGAAAGAGAGAGACACAAAAAGAAAGAAAATGGCAAGTTCACAAATGCATTAATAGCTCTTTTTAAAGAATATCAGTATGTGATCAGATTTTATAACAAACCTACCTCTGCATCCAACTTCACCGGCCTTACACAACGGGAGTTAGTACCATGTTTCTGCCAAAAAAATAAGTGAAACACAATGAAAAAAATCATTCAATTTAGAATTGAAAATTGTAAAAATTTTGTAGGTAGTTGAAAAATATGGCACACACACACCTAAAAAAGAAAAAAATGTACATGTAACTTTCTAAAGATCTCTGTAATACCCTTTAACATTCTGCCGATATCACAACCCCTAATTACAGCCCAGATTGGAATGATGTATTTGCCTAATGAACACACACTTACTAAGATATGGAATTAATAAAGTCAATATCATATACCAGAGTTCCTGTCAATCAATAAAACTGAAAAACGAGACAGTCTAACTTTACCCTGCATCAAACAAACCATCAAATCGGTATGCTTAAATGCTGAAACTTTTGGACCCTAGTTGTTGATTAGCCTATGTTTAGGGAAAGACCCTCTTGCGGGATGCAGAAATCAGAACAAAGTATTCAAAAGCTGTACTTTTCTTGACCCCTTTAATCAAAACTGGTACAACATGTATTGATTTAGCCTTGATATTAGAGTAACAAGTATTTGTTCAATGATTTTTATTATAAAAATGTACTTATTAGCCTTGGGCTTGGAGTTTTTCATCAAAACATTTGTTGACAGTTTTGATACATTAAATCAATTACGTACTCTATAGTTCCAAGGTATTCTGTAATAGCAATCAGTGAGTATTGTTGAAAGTTTCCATTTGTAATTTAACAAAAATTTAATTTGTCATGCATGGTTGTTGCATACCAAAAACTATAATCATTGCTCCCCTATTTAATAGAAAGTTGAATACACTATATAACTGTTTTTTTCTATTTGGAGTACATTTTCTGAATTTACTTACTACACTATAAATTTACCCAAATTATGTATTGATTACATTTCTTTTATAACAGTAATATTTCTGAATTCAATTTTCAAAGTTACATGTATGTCAACTAATTCGCATAATTAATAGTTTGTTTGAAAAAAAATTCTTTTGAATGAAAATAATTAAAAGTTTGACATATATAGACCTTCATCTGAACAAAATATGACATCAAATAATTGCACTATTTGAACAGTACATAATGCAATACAATTATTAGGGCTGGGCAAAATATCGATATTTCAATATATTGCAATACAATGACAAAAAATATCATATTGCAATACGTTTTTGTAATATCAATATATCTGCAAAATGCTTAGACTAAGGAATTTTATCATAAAATATAAAATTAATTGTAAGTAAGGTTTGTTTTTAAGCCAAACAGTAAGACAGAAGCTTTTTTATGGATGTATTTCAGAGCATAACTTTAATAAAATCAACAAGATTTTTTCCCTTTGGTTACCTTTCATAGATTCATGATAAGAAAATTCCATTGTAATTTTAATTGAAAATATTGCAATACATATTGAAATACAATTAAAAATATCGCAATATATTGCAATACGAAATCCCTGGCCAATACCCAGTCCTAACAATTATGTATTTCTTTCTGCAATAGATTCAATACATAAACACAGGGGTTTTCCATTGGGGTATTGGATGGCGAACCTACAAGAAGATTTGTCAGACTGTACATGTTTTATGAAAGATGAGATGAAATGTTATTTCTTTTTTGTAACTAGTTATTATGTATTGTACAATCACATTAAAGCTGACATGAACTCTTAAAAAGGCATCAGTTTTCATCTTTGTACGACTTACTACATTCCTGTACGCCCTTGTCCATCCGCCATATTTAATCGAAGATCCACCTGTACCTGCTATATATAGCCTTGACGAATTGTTTCACTTGACTGATATATTCGACATGTACACATTCATAGCATAGTTTTTTCCATAAACGACCAATACATGTTTGAAAAGTAAAAAATCAACAAAAAATAGAACTATAAAGAATTAAATTATTTTTGAATGCATTTGCTGCAATATAAAAAGTACAACACGGAATACATTTATGTACAGCAAAAATCCATTTGAATCAAACGCATGATAAAACTTTTACCTGAATACTGCTATCGTTACAGGGATGTGCACATGTCGAAAGAATTATCCTATTTTACTTTTATTGAAAAATGCATCTCATGAAGAAGTCATGTAATCCATTGCTAACTCAAAAGTAAAAGATGCTTGGACACACGTGGCCCATGCCGATCATTTTATTTGGTCAGGGAAAATATCAAAGGTTGAAAGCTCGGTGGGTTTGATTGAATTTTTTTTTTCAAAAATAAACATTGCTCTTGTTTGTAAATGTAGTAAATAAATATTATGATTATACATGGTTTAACTTCATTAAATTTATAATAAAGCATGCATGATTACGAATCATTCGCACCTTTTGAAGATATTTTCCTGTGATAGGAGGGGGGGGGGGTGTAATAAAACATGCATAACACTCTCTTAAAATAATGTAAGAAAAACGTCTGAAAGAGACTGGATTTCTTTATGATCAATTATTATCAAATAAATTCTGTGTATTGGCTTTATTAAACCTAATATAATTTGATGTAAAGTTATTTAATTTTATGCACTATGAAAGAAAAACAGCAGTTTCACATAATTCAAAATGAAAAAAATAAAGGAATCGTAATTTCCTTGTAATATGCACATCTATACACATTGTGTCCTAAATATCTGCAAAGTTTGACGAAATTGTGTGCAGCGGTTTATGAGGAGTTGCGCTGACAAACTGCTCACCTCTATATTCAAGATATAGCCAAAATCTAATTGTAAAAGTATGTTCGGAATTTCCTGGTGATGTGCAAATCTACACACACACACTATAAATATCTGCAAAGTTCGACAAAACTCTGTGCAGCGGTTTATGAGAAGTTGCACTGACCAAAAAAAAAAAGACCAAAAACATTATACCTGCGTGGGATATAATAAACGAGTTTGATTCACAAGAAATGAAAATAAATTAAATTTCTAGACATAAATAATTAACGATTACATATGTAAGAAAAAGCATATAGGAAGAGAGATAAAGGAGAATTCCACATTCTACCTAAAACTATAGCTTTTTAAAAAGCTTCGACACATACGTTTGAGAAGGTATAAACATGTTCCCATTCCTGTGATTTATATTTCACGTTTATTATATCCCCCACCTGAAAAGTGGGAGGTAAGTTATACTTTGGGGTAACCATCTCTTATACGCAAATCTTCTTACACCACTTAGAGAAAATTAATTAAACTTTCAAAGAATCTTAAGTTTATTACATATTACCATTATGCACCTCTAATTTTAATTTTTGATCTGACACGTATAGGTTTAGCGAAATATGGACTTTGCCATTATAACCATAAGGGAATTCATTTAGTGAGTTCATTAATACAACATAAGAGTAAAATTATTATTCAATTTATGAAACTGTGAAAAAAAGGTAAGGCATAATAAATACAGCACAAAGTGCTCTATCATTGGTCTAATTACAGAGAGAGAGAGAGAGAGAGAGAGAGAGAGAGAGAGAGAGAGAGAGAGAGAGAGAGAGAGAGAGAGAGGTGTTCAATATACAAAAGTGTCAACCAGTGTCAAGTATCCCTACCCTAGCTTTTAAAATTATCCCCCAAATTCACCTACAGAAATTATTTATATATATAAAAAAAAATACCTAGACTATCAGGCAGGGATACTGAAATCTCGAAATACTTCCTGTAACAACATAATTATAAAACAGTTACATTCCTCAAAATGCATATACTTTGTGGACGGAGTGTGTGTAATGTGTAGAATATTTAAATAACATATGCCCCCCCCCCCCCCCGGGTATCAAATGCCTAAATGTCATCTGAACAGGGGATGGCCTTTCTCCGTGTGTGTATGTGTTAAAGAATGTAATGTACACATAAAAAATTGACTGGTTAATTGCAGATTTGAAGTACATTTAAACAAATTATAGAACTCTAAAATAATCAGTTATAATTGACAAATGAAGCGACGCAAACCAACTGGACTATATACAAGACTTTGTACAGAATCTATATTAGAACTACATGTAGATAAACAATTCACAATTATAGCTTATGAACATCAGGAAGCCAAATAACTTCTTTTTTCCACTTTTGATATTTTCCCTGACCAAAATCTGATCAGCACGGACTAAGGGTATCGTGTGCTAGTGTGTCCTAATCTCATTATTATATATCATTGAAAATTCATTTAAATTAGTAGGAGTGAAACGGATATGCATCAATTGCATAGGACCTGCAAATCAAAGACGTTGGTTGTTTTTTACCATTCAAATGATATAATATCAAAATGTGTTTGCAAATTTTACTGCTTTTTATTTCAAGTTTATTCTGCATAAATTGGCGCACTGTAAAAATACGTACTCATGCATCTAAATTTTTCTTCCAAACTTGCATTTTTTAATTTTCTTTTGATTCAAATCAATAATCATTCAAAAATATGATTATTATGTTGTTTATTTTGTTTTTGAAATGTCTTGATCACCTCATGTGTTCTCATATGTCGGGTTTGGCAAAAAATCATTCAAGTGTAACGAGCGCATTGGGGTATACATTGTTACAATGAGACAAGGTATCTGAAAGAAATATGGCGGAATACGGCTATAGTTGGTGTGAAACAAGTCGTACATAGATGAAAATGTTGCGTTTTTTAAGAATTCATGTCAGCTTTAAAAATGTCACCTACATTCAAAATTCCTATCCATCTAGATCCTTATACATATATTGTGTTCATTGCTTTTTATTTTTAAATTTGAATATTAAAGTTTAAAATTATATTAAAACAGTCAAATCAATTAAATTGATACATTCTATCCATTTTGCACATAAATTATTTTACTAGATTATGTTCTGTAGGAACACAAAGAAAAAAGTGACAAAGAAATGAAATAAACAACAATGAAAAACAACATTGTAATCTCTTTCCTTCTATCAAAATGTATCGTAAGAGAAACTGAAACGAAAATAACCAAACCGAGACCAAATTTTCTGGACAGAGAAGAATTGACACAGATACTAATTTAAACATATAGAACTCACAAGAGGAAGGAGGCGTATCGTTTCACCCCTATAAATTAGAATATTATATAAAAGAGTCTTAAGAATCTACTCAAAATTTCACATTTCATTTCATCATAATTGCAAGTAAAATCAAAGTCTGAGAATTAAGTACATGTACTAGGGATTCTTTACTGGTTTCTGACTAATAAAGACATTGAAGTAGATTTGCATAATTAAATGACCTTCATATTGAGAATCAGAGATATTAAGAATTTATAAGATTTTTCCCTTTCCAACTGTACAACTTGAAGAGAACTGTAACATTGATAATTTCATTACTGCATTATGAGACTTAACTTCAAATCATATGAAAGAAGAATGACCAAGTTATCTTTCTTGCTTTCATTTCTTACAAAACTTAAGCTTTTCAAAATTATAAATCTGTGAATAAAAGGGGTCCTAACTGTTAATCCTATCAGATCTAAAAACGAAAGAAAATATTCACTGCAAAGATATAAAGCTTTAATTACTTTTTGTTAATGAGAATACAATCAGCTTAAAACAGAACAATACTCACCCCAGGTCTGGGTAGGGACATGTACACTGGTTTATCTCCCCTGCCCTGACACACTTCATTGATTTCCTTGACCATGATAGACAGGTCATTGATCTGTGTCTCCCAGGACTCGGCGAACATGTCCAGGTTCTCCTGCGCTATCTTACTGTTTGGATACTGGGACAAAGCCTGTGCAGCCAGGAGAGTCTGAAATCAACAATTAATAAAATTTTGTAGTAAAATTAATTTCTAATCTACTACTTCTTTTGAATTTTTTCTTTTTAAAAGGGAATTAAACTGACGAAAGGGAATAAAAACACTTACAAGTGGTCCCAAGCTCTTCAAAACAAACTCATTGTGTTCTGCAGCAATAACAAGCTGTTCATTTGTAGCTATATGACGAAATAATTTGCAGACCTATTACATAAAATAATAATTATATGTATCAATACAGAATGTTGCTTTGTAAAACACAAGTAAATCATCAAAAAAAGCATGACATGGTTAATGATCCTTATGCAAGAACATGTAAATTAAATATCCCCCTTCATAAGCTATGCCTTATTCCAACAGTATATTTTCTTTTTAGCTAATATAAATGTGTTACCTCCTCCAGCTGCTGCATGTGCTCCTCAAACTTGACTGTCATCTCCGTCACCCTTTGCTGGTCCCCACTGTTTCCCGCAGCCTTCAGATGCTTCAGAATCTCGTGGTCTTCATTAGCTTTAAACAATTCGGATGCCTGGTCTGTGGCTGTGTCTTGGAGCTATAGAGTCATAATAATTAATTGTCTATTAACACTTACCAAATGTTCATAGAAATACAATTATAAAGACACTTCGTATTGTTGACTATTTTGTATCTGTTTGCTTGTCTGGTTTATTTTTACCTGTTTGTTGAGTGATTTGGCTGCAGTCAGGGTCCTCAGTATAGCTGTCTCCATTTCTGGACTAGGATTCTGGGAATTTCTTTGGTTCTACAACAAAAGTAAATACAGTGTTTAGATTCATCCCAAGTTTCAAGGCAACAACTGTAGGTATAAACAAGAAGTCTGTGAGCCACTATTCATGGTACAGAAAGATGTACTGATAAAAAGGAAAATGACATTGTATTTGTACAAAAATGAATCCCACCATATGGCATGCCTAAACAAAGAGTGTGCTAAAATATTATATTAGTAGAAACTATCTGCAATGACCGGTATTATAAACTTTGAACGAGAGAAAACTGTAGAGAGACAAAAATTTGTTACAAAATCAGGGATGGACACACAAAAGGATAAAAAGGAAAATGACATTGTATTTGTACAAAAATGAATCCCACCATATGGCATGCCTAAACAAAGAGTGTGCTAAAATTTCAAGCATCTGCAATGAGTTGTTACTGAGAAAACTGTGACAAAAATTTGTTACAGACAGATGGACACACAAAAGGATAAAAACGTATACCTCCCATTCCTTCCCTTCAGAGCTGAGGTATAAGTGCGCAACTTCAGTGTACATTCCATGAAAGTGTGAACCGTTTATAGGATCATCCATGATTTATAGTTATCCATGAACCTTGGTGACAGTTACTTGGTGAGGAGATAAAAAGCACACAACAATATCACTCTTAGAGTGGCTAGAACTTCAGCAGACATATATGATAAATTAAAAGCAATACATAATCCCCCTAAGCATGGTGTGTTTTGCTTTGCTTGACAAGACAGAATTTGATAAGCTTTTGAAAGATTAAGATGAAGAAAACACTTGAAAGGCTATATGAAAATGGCAACCAAGATCTTTCCCAGCTTACAGAAGAAATATGAATCATTCAGACCATGGGGCCTGGATTCTGCATTGAGCAAGTTTATGTAGAAGTGAGAGCAATCAGCAGTGAGCTCTTTAAACAAAGCAGTTTATTTTCTATTAGACATGGACTTGATTGAATTCACAAAATCCAAGTGACATTATCCACTGAGAGGATTTCCTGAAATCACAACTCATTTTCACAGCAGCACAGCAGCTACCAAGGAGCTGAACTGCAGCAGTAACGGAAGAATTTCACAAAACTCTCCTATTGAAAAGAATGATTTAAAACTTATGTATCAATATTTTGATCTGGAAAATGTTGTTAAATACCAAGGAAAAGTGTTAGAGATATTTTGCTGTATTTTGAATTTCAAGATTGTGAGAATTGAAACCACTTAAAGATCTCAGATTTCAGTGCCAGGCATTATGCAGATGGCCATCTTTAAATTTATTTGGACAATGACAAACTCACCAAAAACCACCAACAGAATGCAAACACAGCTGAATGAAGGATGTATTCAATAGCAAGTACAATATAGAGCTTAAATGTATTTTATTAATTTATAAAGACCGAGTAAATTATATTTTAAACCAAAGATGACTTTTTTTAGACAATCCTCCCTGCCTAGTGAAATCATTCATGATGTACAAGAGACTTTTGAATCCAAACTGTTTAAGATTTTTCCACAGGCCAAAACCTAGCTTTTTAAATTTCATTTTTGGTTTGACAAGGTCCCTTTGGGACATAAAACTATAGGAAACATGATGGCCAGAATATCTCAAAAAGAAGGATTATTGAACAGGAACATGAATCATCCATTGAGATTAACTCTGGTACACACCCTAGATTCAACTGATTTGTTTTCGTGTCATCACATAATGAGTATCACCAGACATCATGCAAAGTCAAGTCTGGAAATGTACTGAGGCCAGACAGAGCCTGAAATGAAGCAAAACTGCCAAAAACTATTTTGAAAACCCTTCATATTGAAACCTGTGTGCAGAAGGAAGAATTTATCTACTACAAGCTATTTTGAGGCATCTGAAAGGAAACTTGAGGTGATATCAGATTCACTGTGTGACACTGAAAGTGTACTGGCAGATTTTTTTTTTAAAATGATACCAAGGGTTTTAATAAATATTATTTTTTTTTACAACCGAAAAATTGGCAGAAAACACGAAATGCTACTGAATTTCAAATACTTGTATCTTTTTTGTACATTGACCAATCTGAATAACCTTTACACCATTGAAATCCTTGTAAACTGACCTTTCTTTTGATGTAAAACAAGTGTGGTTTCAAAATTATTTTAAAAATTGCATTAATTCCATTTTTAGTACTGCAGATTTTGATTATGGCATTCAGAATGAGGGGAATACCTATATATATGATACACTTTCAGATGTACATATGTCTAACTCAGAGAGAACAGCCCAGGGTTACAGAAACATATTGTTAGTCTGTTCATCCAACACAACAATCAGTTACAATGTAAACTTCAAGGGAGAGGGTTAAAAGGTTCAGTAAGAGACCTGACAAGAGAATTCAGTATTTAAGGAAAGGATTGCAAGGGTCCGTGGAAAAATTCCACCCAATGAATTTTTTCTCATTTTTACATATAATGTGCCTTATGTCAATGATACTATAATATCAAAGTATGAACCATGGTCATCAGGGTTATAAGGAAGTTATGGTTGCCATGGTAACCACCATTTTTAATCTTTTGATATTTATGAGGTGAATGTTTTATTATGCCATACACGCAACAAAATTGAAACAAATGAAATAATTTCCTGCAGATATTTAATAATATGCTTAATATTTATTGAAAATAAAAATTGTTTCGGAAACTATTGATAAATACAAGGGGTGATCAAAAAGTTCGCAAACTATCTCTATATCTACAAAAACACAATTCAGATTAGAATGAAATTCGGTACACACATAGCCATACACAAGGTCTATAAATAGCATATGCTGAATAAAGTTTCTCTCCTTGTTTGTGACGTCACAATGTGAAAATGACATCACTATTTAGGTCACATGTGACGAAAAATGGTTGTCTCAGTCGAACTCGTTCAACAAACGACTGTACAATTTATTGTAATATTTTAGAAATCCCTCTACAGTATCATATAATAATTTGTACACAGTTTATTGAGATAAATGAGTTCCTATAAATTCATTAATGATTGGATTAATTGTTTTAGTGAAGGAAGGCTGATGGTTAAAAATGATACTTGTCATCTTGCCCAGTGAAAGGAAGTTTGAAAAGATAAGTATGTATTTTTAATTAAGCAATTTGCTATCAAAGACCTCCAATTAGCACTTTGAAAAATAGTTGAATATTTGAACAATGATATAAGTATTAAATACCTAAGATATCGTTTACTTTAGATTTTAAACATATTAGATATGATAAAAAGGATGCACCCATTCTCTATCCACCTTGAATAAAGGTCTCTCCTGAGACAGAAGATTTGTGTTTTAATGGTCGCCATGCTTATTTTTGGAAAGGATGTTATTATCCACCCATTCTGTTGTCGAGATATGACCATTTCTGACAAATTAATTGTTCTTGTCATAAAAATTAACTCACATGGAAAGAAATATAAAACTCGGAAAAATCTTTTAACTTTTGTGACAGAACGCTATGGAGGGGGTCACGTGACCGCCAATATCACGTGATTCGCGCATGCGCAGAACGGTTGTTGATGTGCATTAAAATCGGGGAGGATTAATTTAAAATATAATCAACATTAAAACCAAATATTGTTTCTTGTATGGAAATTATTCAATTAGTTTGCGAACTTTTTGATCACCCCTTGTATAGTAATGCCATTGTTTTTGGGGGAAGTATTAATTGTAAATTTGTAGTAATATTTTCACCTCAATAGCAGTTTTGAACGTCTAGACAAAAAATTACCCAATGAATTTTCCCAAAACTAATATATGCTGTACTAGTCATTATAAGCGACTTATGGTTAAAATATGAAGTAAGGTAATCAGTTTCATTTTGAAGCTACATGCATTTCAGTACCCCCCCCCCCTTTCGAATATTAAAAGATTTCACAGATTTTCATATGATGGTTTGTTGTTGGACCTTAAATATGCACAATCTGTTTAAAGACAATAAAGGCCATATGTATAGATAAATAAATACTTTTTCTCTGAAAATCTTGCAGCTGATGCTCATTTTTTATGTGGTGCATAATGATTTACTTATCACCAACAGTGGTCACAAAAATAACTTTCATTTTTGCAAACTCAGTTACTCATCTCCAAAACATTCATTTTGTTACTATGTCAGTATAAATACATAAAACATGTATATTCTAAATCAGTGCACAGTCCTCAAAGGCCTAATTCTTCATGCTTTAAACACTCAGCGATGCGTCTTCTTAGTGACCTGGAATCGGGGTGGGGGGGTGGGGGGTTAAGGGGGAGTTAGACATTTGAACTCCTTGAATGAAAAGAGGTTATTTCATAGAACTTGTATCTGCATAATATTTTTTGAAATAAATATCTTCATACATGAATAACCTTATTTGACAAATTATAGTAATTAATTTTAAATACAGGTGACTCTCGATGACTCGAACTCCGATCTCTCGAAGTTCTCGATCTCTCAAAGTGAACCTCCGGTCCCGTTTTTTTTCCTCTATATAATTAAGCAAATTTACTCCCGATCTCTCGAACTTCTATCTCTCGAAGTTCTCTATCTCACGAACCAAAATCTTGGTCCCGTTACACATATTTCATTGAATTTTACTCTCTATCTCTCGAAGTTTTGATTGCGCGTTTATACACGCCAATCAAGCGTAAAATTGATGCAGTCTGGACTTACCTGGAAATAATGAACGCCTTGGGCTGGCATGGAGGTGTTAATTGGGTGTTTACATAGATGAAACTACACCTGTGGGTCGTCCATGTTTTGATACAATTCATTGGTTACTTATTACAGGGTAGATTATAAACAAATTTACAACTTATTTCGAATTGAAACTGATTTTTAGAAATTTAATTTATAGATGTTCGTTTCAGTAAGTTCCGATAGACAATAAACTTTTATTATGATTAAATAGAGTCTAAATAATTCTAGCATGGCAAATATTGCACAAGAAAATTCCTTTCTTAAGGACTGAATACCGATTAAGAAAAATCTGGTGAACACTGGTGAAGGTCCCGATCAAGCCGCGGAATAGCCAAACCGACAATTGCTTTTCGGGTTTCATGTAATCATGATATAAGAACAAATAAATACTGGAACTTTAGAAATTCGTTTTATTTATTCGAAATACAATCATTGTTGTTGATATCACGTAAATTACCTGTCAAATATGATCAAAAACGTGCAATGACTTTATTTACATATGCTTCCGGTATCTATAAAAGTAGAACTTCGGTGATCGGAACTGAAAATTCCGGATTTTTTTTACTTTCTATCTCTCGAACCCCTCGATCTCTCGAACTTTTCTTGCAGTCCCTTGAACTTCGAGAGATCGAGAGTCACCTGTATTTACATTTACAAATATTTTTCCTTCCGATTCATTGCAAGTGATAGAACAGTTCATTTTCTCCTGTACATGAATGAGCGCTTTCTCCATTATGACGTCATATGACTCACTTGACGTCAAAACTATAGATCTGTTTTGATTCAAAAATAATAATTGTTGATTGCAATAACTTTTGCGTCGCTTCATGATATAGGAGCGAAATATCCATGTTCATGTCTTTGTGGTTTTTCAAAAATTAAATTTTTTTTTCAAATATATTCCCATAAGCATGATGAGTTCAAATGTTGTTTTTTTTATGTACGTATCTTCCCTCTCTGGAAGTGTGTTGTGTTTCACTACGACGCATAAAACATTTTACAACAATCGTTTACGCTATACATATGTAATTATATGCGACGATGATTTAATGTTTACATGGTCGATGTCACAGCTGAAAATGCTAAAGATCTTATAGGAGAAAACAAAATCCTCTGCAATTTCTTTTGTAAAAATATATCTTCTAGGCATAAGTAGTCTCCACCGTAACACGTGTATCAAAATCGCTTTCGTTCATCAATATTTATATCTAGTAAATCACGCCGCCTGAATCTCTTATTGGAAATTATCTATATGTAGATGTAGATCCTATGGTAAAAACAATCTTAAATAAAATTCTTATTTTAAAATGAGGAAATAAATCTCAAGATATGAATTAAATGTAGTTTTAATGGAATAGATTTCAATATTCAGAGATACACAATAGAGCTCTAGACTTGTCAAACCGTAAAACATGCACGTATAGATTAAAAAAATATGGTCAACGCTCACCAACACTCTCAGTGTATCGTAACAACCTTTAATGTCTTATTCTTTCTCTAATTTAGAAAAACAAACCCATTTTGTCATTAGCGCAAACATATCATGTTCCTTATTCCGGAAATAGTTACGGCAAACATTCTTTTTTTAATCACCATGACTTGATCACATGACGCTGTGCAATCGCGTCCTTAAATTGTACCATTTTTTCTGTTGAAAAGTGTTCTTGCTGAAATTTCTTTTTTAACTTTCAAATAAAGCAAAAAACAGTCTTGTTGGAGTTTGTTGTAATTCAATCATATATTTAAACAGTTATTGCTGTTTTTGAGGTCAATATAATGATTAAGTCACCTCCATGGTACAATATTCACCATGCTCTTAGGGCTCTGTGAATTTTGTACTCCTTGGGTGGCTAATTCATCTTATGTCCTCAAAAACATCAATAATTGCATATTGTTAGCATTCAACCTTTAATACTTGAAATGACCATCCTCAGATATTTCAAAGAGGGTTGCATTAAAAATATTCATTCCACTTAGAGAGCATATCTATTCAGTTTGGTACCGATTCTGCATACCTTACAAGTTCTGAGTAAAGCACTGAGTTCTGCCTTAAGTCTGTCACACATCTGTATAATGGATTCCCTGTGTTGGTGAGAGGTGTAGGCGGAGTCTGTAAAATCCTGCATGGTCTCCACCAGGGAGTCAAAGGCACCATTCAACTTCTCCTTACAACTGGAGGTAACTCCCGTCACACGAGTCATCTCAACATGATCCTGATATCAATAGAAGTTATTGTCAGAAAAATAGTGAATAACTTTAAAAAGAAAAGGTGACTTTACCTTGTTGCTTAGTAAAGCTGAAATAAGTAACATATTTCTGCTGCTTGAAAGTGAAAATGGTTTGCATGGTGATTGTTAAGGTTAATTCTTTTTTTCTAAATTAGTATTACAATAAATACAACTTATATATGGAATATCAAAGGAAGCTGCTTTCAAGATTATATTAACCTCAAACTCTTTGAAGGCTTTACAAGCAGAGAAGTGATTGTCCAATCCTATTCCTGAATCACCATTAAGTTCTGGTGATACATTTCCATTGGCCTGGCTCCCACCCTCATCTGTGACAATGTGATGGATCATTTTAAGTGCCCCCTTCATTAGTTTGAACACACCCTCTCTGTTCTCCTTAGCTGTCTCACAATCTGGATGCCTTAAGCACACCTACAAACCATGTAAAAAAAAATAATTTAAAATCTTTTTATCAACATTTAATTGGTTGCATCCATTCATTTAGATACAGGCTGAATCAATGAAATGCATCTATCATTTTCCTCTTTAAGGTAAACCTACCTTACAGGACGGTAAGAGCATCATGGTTGATTTCTCCAACACTGCCCTGGCTGCCCCCATCTGAGCCCTGTGTTTCTCACTCTTTAAATCCTATAATTTCATAAAATTTTGTAATTTTTTTTCTTCAAAAAAGTGAATCAGCATTTATTCAACTACATCTATCAATACGTATTACAGTAAATGCATAATGAAATTTGAGACATGGTTTATATGTGCTATGTGTTTGTTTGAGGAATATAGTCTTATCTACACATCTATTTGCACTATGTTAGAAGTTAATAAATTTATAAATGCTAAATTCATGTTCATTTTTGATACATAATTGTAGTTAGAGGTTTACAGACTAGGGCAGAATGCTTCACATTGAAGAGAAAATTTGTTCAACATTGTGTGATTTACAATGCCTGTAAGAGTTATTCCCCTTTTATTGTGATTTCTTGGTTCTTACATTTTGTCTGTCTCCAGTCAGATGAGCTAGTTCTACCATCTCATTACCAAACTGAGAGAAAATGTTTACAAAATCTGTAAAGGTTGTCACAGAGTACAGTTCATTCAGGGTATTGGACACCTGTAACAAGAATAAGATCAATGTATACACCTTCAAATTAGACAAAACTCAGCTGATCATGCATGTTTACATATATTCAAATACAGGGTTTAAAATTAACGCTCGCCCACTCGCAAATTGCGAGTAAAATTTGGTGTGGGCTCATAAGATTTATAACTTGCTCGCCCACATGGCGAACGAAAATTCTGCAGGGGCCGAAATCATTCGACTAGTCCCCTTACTGAAAAACAGACATTTCCACATGTTATTTTATTCAAAACTCCCAACCAATGAAATAAATCACAGCAGCATGATCCTATTGTACGTAAGTATCCTTCATCTTTTCCATTTAACAGTACTACATGATTTGTGAAAGCCCCAAAAATCTTTTTTTGAGAATTTCCTCCATTCTTCTGTACATGGTTGATACGTAAAAGATATACAATTTTAATACCTCAAAACTACCAATTCATATAAATTATAAGTGTTTTCACTTATTACTATTTCAGATATGTTACGGTTAAAATATTTAACATTGAAAATCTTATTTATGTACCATTGTCACTTCATCGGTTAATTGAACTTGAAGGAGCAAATACATGTGTAATGTATTCTACCATGTAAAAAAAGTGATGCTTGAATTCAATTTTATTTCCTTTGATTAAATATTCATATGACATTTGATTTTCATAAAGTAAGAACTCCGATTTTAAACAAATGTACTCATATTAATACACAATCATATTTTATTTATATCTACTTTTGTCCCAGTGTCCAAAAAAGGAACATTTTTTTTTAAATCACAGAAACTGACTGTGGGCTAACAAATTTAGCTGTGGGCTCCTAAATTTGAAATGTTAGGAGCCCACATGGCTAGTAGAAATTTCAGTTAATTTTAAACCCTGAAATAACTGTTTAATATTTGGTAAATTACCTTGTCTTTGGATATAAGTAACTGTTTAACAATGACTTTGTCAGCTAGAAGTAAGACTTTGGTAACAGCTGATAACAACTGTCGGGCTGCCCTGACCATGGCCGTCTTCTCAGCTATTTGTTTACCGTTCCTGTGAGAGGCTGAATCTCCCGCTGTCAGCTGCTGAATGCTGGCTCCTGTAGAATTACAGAATGTGTCAGGTGTTCATTATGCATTACTCTAAAGTCCTTATTCATTTTTATTGTGGAAAATGAAATAAAACATCACCACTGATGATGGTGCATGTGCTTGAATCAAATTTCCATTCATACTGCAAAGTATTTTAGGCAGTTCATGTGAGATTTCCCAAACACCAAATCAACAGCTACCTGAGTTAAACAATTAGTCACTAATTCCCCTATCTGAGGAATAAAACTGAGAATGAAAGCCTGTATTAGTATCATATAGGAACCCTTGGCGTGTGTGTGGGTGATACATAAAGATGAAGAACACTGCAGTGACTCCCAGTGTTAAGACAGCACAGTACACATTTTACTAGGTTTTTATCCACAGCTTTTTGGATAGCTATACATTAGGTGAACCTTTTCTCTATGTCAAATGAAGGATATGTAAAGCTTTTACTGTGGTTTTTAACATACCTTATAAATACATTAGGCACCAATGTATAGAAGTCAATTTAATCCTGTACAATGAATCAAACCAAATCTAATTTACATTATCAATTTAATTTCATTATATCTCTAATTTATGTATCTTTAAAAGTATTTAAAAAACATACACATTTCTGTTTACATATATTTGATCACACTTGAGAATTGTTTTCAAAATAAAAACTGTCTAAAACAAAGACTGAAAATTATTGTAAACATCAACAGTGCTGAACTTAAACAAAACAAAAAATTTAAGAGGTTTTTGGTTTTTTTTTCACTGCTCCAGTTATTCAATCATTGTATACGGGATGAGCCTGTTACCTGCATTTCTGGCCTCCATACAAGCCTGACACATGTCTGTGCTGATCTCAGGGTTCTCGTCAGCAATGGTCTGTCCCACGGACACAAACCGCTCCACCGCCAGACACACCGCTTGACCGACCCTAACCAGGGCCTGTGTGGTTTTCTCTGTCACTCGAGGTCTCTCTTTGTGGTTTACTAAGGTTGTAATCTAATGAAGAGAACCATACATATGAACAGGGTTATTTTTACATACATTGTAGAGCATTTAACTGTATAAAATATCATAATTATGTAGTACTGTAGATCACTTAATTTTCGCGACACCTTTATTTCGCGAGATAGTCATTGACTCTTGATTAGCGAGACAAAATTTTCACGAATTGTGGTTATAACTCTATATAATCTTAAGGAATACTATTATACGCAACAGAGTTGGAGGGGAATTTTTGCTAAACACAAGTCTTGTGATTGTTTGTGTGATAGTTTGTCCTGTGTGATATGCAAGTGACACAATTTGCATTGGCAAATTAAAAGTGATTTACAGTATATGTTGAAGGCTCCACTGTGGGATGCCTTGTTGTGGTTAAAGCTTTGCACACACCTCCACTTATCTGTCTTTTCTTACTTATACATTGTATATACATGTATAAATAAAATACTTGCTTTTGCATAATCTTAATTATTTTACTTATAACCTCAAAATCTGCAGCATGGCCATGAAAAAAAATTGTTTGTGTGATAGTTTGTCCTGTGTGATATGCAAGTGACACAATTTGCATTGGGAATCGATATAGAATGCCTTTTTGATTTATCGTATACATGTATATGCTCTTTGAGAGATCCAAAGGAAGATAATAATGTACTCCACTAAGGTTTGATGCCGGGTATGTTGTGGAAATTAAAGCTTTTCAACAGCAATAAATAGAATAATGATCCTTGATTAAGTCTCTTTATGTTCTTAGTGCAGTCTACTTGCATGCCACATTTATATATATATATATAGTAGCATTTTGAAAGAATTTCACAGAAATTTCTATTTTTAGTAACCACGGCTACACCGTTCATCGAAATCAAAAACCGATACACAGAATTGTGTATCTTAGTGTATACTTGTGTGCCAAGTTATATTGAAATACCAAAACTGTTTAGCATTTTTAGAATTTCACAGAAATTTCTATTAGTAACCACGGCAACACCGTTCAGCATCAAAAACCATAAAAAAAATTGTGTATCTTAGTGTATCTACTTTTGTGCCAAGTTATATTGAAAAACCAAAACTGTAAGTAGCAGCTAGAAGCACATTTTTAGTAACCAAACAACCTACGAAACAAAAACCGATAAACAATTTTATAGTAGTCTATTGTGTGCCAAGTTATATTGAAATAACCAAAACTGTAGGAGGAGTAGCATTTTGAAAGAATTTCACAGAAATTTATATTTTTTAACCACGGCAACACTTCGAAATCAAAAACCGATACACAGAATTATGTATCTTAGTGTAGTCTGCTTTTGTGTCAAGTTATATTGAAATCAGACTAAAACTGTAGGAGGAGTAGCATTTTGAAAGAATTTCACAGATATTTCTATTTTTAGTAACCATGGCAACACCGTTCATCGAAATCAAAAACCGATACACAGAATTATGTATCTTAGTGTAGTCTACTTGTGTGCCAAGTTATATTGAAATCAGAAAACTCTAGCATTTTGAAAAATTGAGACAGAGATCCAAAGGAAGATAATAATGTACTGGTATATATAATTAAAAACTGAGAGAATTTCAACAGGGATATGCAACAACTAAGAGTCTTGTTGTGGACACTATTGATCTGTACAGTAATTATCATCAAATAATAAATATTTAGAGATTTTGGTGAACTTTTGGAAATTCTTGGTAAATACAATTGGTTCTAAAATAACAAATGCTTATTCCTGGTATTTAACATCTGAATCTTGTCTGCAGTCTTCCTGCTGATTTACAAGTTCTGTTCATCCCTGGTTATAACAACAATTCAGATAATCTCAATGTTTGATTCCAGTCTGCAGTTTGCCATATATCAGGCTGGATAAGCTGCACAACTCTCTCATGCATGTTTACATTATCAATACTCAACTGCATCTCACCTTAAAACATATTGGCAAACTGCACTAAATTAGAGTTTTCATGAGAAATCATTAAATTTTCATTTTATCAATATATCTAATGCTTCCCATTAATAAATGGTCTTGTTCAAATAATCAAAATCCAAAATGTGCATGTGTTATGGTTATCTGCAAAAAATGCAAATCAGCTAGCTAAGCGTTAATTCAAAATGACCCATGCAATTGTCTCTAAAATGACACTTTGGCAAACAGCCTCCATAATGGTACTAAATATAAACTATAAAATAATTTATAAACTAGCACATCAAATACCTAGAAGCAACTGTCAGGATAGTTATAATATCATTACTCTGCTGTTTGACTCTGTGGTGAGGTCATTTTATGTAGCCATTTATCAGTGAAACATAGCATATGTAGTGAAGATTCAAACTCTATTTAAGTAAAACATGCCAGTGACAGCTTAAATACTCTATAAACAGCTCAAAAAGCTGTCTGAATCTGATCATATGTCCTGCATTTTCCAGTGCAGCATCTTTGCAAGTTCATTTGTTAATTTATATCACTCTAGAATGTTATACTGTTGATTCCTTATTTTTTGTGACTACTTATTATCACCAGAGACATAATTAACACAGATTCGCAACTACACTATTAACATGTTTGTTTACCCAAATATAAGATGGTCTTGGTACTATCCTAAGAATAACTATTTTTCTCTTGTATTTCATTCTAAAGTTTAATTTGTATTAATTAAGTACATCTGGGCATATGATTTGTAAAGTTTTAATAATTTTTAAAAGCAAACTAGGCAAATAAAAAAGGTTAATAATCGACAATTGGCAAAATCATGACAATATGGCCAAGCGAGAGTCACCTATTGTAATTTTGGATTTCTCCTTTGTTATTGTAATACAGAAACAAACTTATGAAAAAATAATATCGTAAATAATTTGTTAATATAAATTTTTAAATATTACTATATAATCCCAGGTAATGTTAAAGTTTAATGTGATTTAAGTTGCACGAGATTTGAAAAATTTAATAATAAGAAACGCAAAATCATGCAAAACTTTGAACACTTGCGAATCTCTATTATTCATGTCTCTGTTATCACGTACAAGATGCCGCTGGGCTCTTCAACCTCAAATGGTGATATAAATAATATGTGAATGGGGGTGGGGAATCAAAAGAATTACATGGATTTCAGCACCATAAAAACAAAATCGAGTAATCTTCTTTCACAAATGATGCATCTCACAAAATTATGAGATAATTAATTCCTTGTAAATAATTATAGGAATCATCAGTATTTATAATTACTCTAAATTTTCACTTTTCTGGACATGAAAGTCATAATTTGTACCCAAAGCATAACAAATATACATTCCCAAATGCAACATCCATAGGCAAAGTTTGGTCAATTACAAAAGTAATGCTTTTTGCAAGAAAACTCTTTACAAAACAAAGACTGACAGCAGGCAAAATTAACAGGCATAATATCTCAACATGCTGAAAACATCTGGTAGCACTTTCAATTTAGTTCTTTTTTGTATGTACATCTTAACACAAAATTAATTCAATCTAATATCCTTATAAAAATAAAATAACTTGTGATGTCAAATAAAGGTAAAATGGTTTTCAGATACAGGTTGTGGACACAATGCGTTCTATCCATAAATCAAATTGTCTCTGGTCAAAAGGTCATATTGTAAACATTTGCATATCTACCTGTGTTACTAATGGAATAAGTGTTTGCTCCACAGATTTTGTACGAATTTCCAAAGACAATCGGGCATCATTTGCTTGTGGTCCAGCCATTCTTTTTTATCAATCAGTCCGATGCAGCCGAAAGTGACGTATTCCTTAAGGTTAAAGGTCAACCGCATCACATCGCTTAAATCAATAAAAATAACAGCAATATTTCTTTCTTTTCCGAGTAAAATATTACTTTTTTTATCTACAGATAAATATTTTTATACACTTTTTACTGTTTTGTATGCATAAAAATACAGTATATTATTTAAAAACAGACAAACTAAATTATTTACATTGGTCTAAGCGATATCAACATGAGGGTCAAAGGTAAGAAATGTTGACACCTGAGGTACACGCCGGCGCGCTCTGATCTCAATCGGTCATTACGATAAGTTGACAGTTCAGACATGGTAAAGGTACCACATAAATGATCAGTGGGGAGTATGCGGTGGAGCGATGGATTTGACAACTTTTCAAACACACCCTCCTGTTAAGAAAAAGGTTGGTATGAAAACCATTAAAACATGTATGCATGCTCGTAAATTTAATGATTTAAACCCCCCTTTTTAATTTAATTATTATTTTATATATTTTTTCTGGAAGAAGTAAGCCCCGTAGACATTTATTTAATTCAGGTCTCTTTGACATTTATATTTGAAAAAGTCTTCCAAATCTAGAAATGCAGCCGAAATAATATACGCTCAAGAGTAATATGATACCTACTTTAGCAAGGGGGGCGTATCACACATAGTGTTTGTGTATTGACAATAAAGCACATATCTCCTACCTTGACATTTCAGAGAAAAAGAAAGTTTTTTTTAATAAACTGTGTAGAAAAAGAAGTAGAAACTTTTTTCTTTATTTTTTATTAACTTTATTATAATATTTAAGGCTAATTTATATGTGCATATGACTGCATATATGACTTTGCATTTAATTAAAAATATACAATTTTTTCTTCTATCAAAAAAACTAATTTCTAATCAATTCATTAATGAATGAATGTACCCATAACAAAATAACAAGTGTGTTTAATCACTGACTGTTACATCTGTTTTAGTATATATTTTTAAGAACTAGTTACTCTTTCTGTATTTGTTTATCAGTATGCTATTGCACTAATGCAGGGCACTGATTCTTCAACACATGGTCAAATTATAACTGAACATTCCTTTTTAGTTTTTACTCCATAAAACCTTTTGATTTGTAGTCTTGTTCCAGAGAGTATATCCCCTACTGTGTCAATCATGAATAATTGAGTTGAGATTTATTTCTTCCAGATAATATTGTACATTTACTGTAATTAAATAACATTAACTCAAGATGTTTATGGTGATACCTAAAACCACTGAAACATAAAATTAAATGTACAGTAAGATAGACAAACATGAGATGTATCATTTAAATTGCATATAACATGTAATTATATTTGAAAAGGAAACCTTGCAATTTTATATTGTGCTACGTATAACAATAAATTTTTAAATTCACATAATGAAAACTTTTTAATGCAAAGTGATATATAGTTTCAGTACAATATTGTCTGATGATTTGATATAAGCGATAGAGTCATTGCTTTAAACAATTTTTTTTTACTTTCTGGAGGTAACATATGAATAATGATGGCTTTCAGCTAGCATTAAACACAAATTAAGCCAGTTGTCTTTGTATTTATGTTTCGTGATCAGGAAAAGATAAATGTTAACAACCTCTTTGTGAAAACATCCCTATATTTTAAGTAAATTGTTGTGTTTTACAACTTGATACATTGATTTACTTCTTCGCAGTACACAGTTGTGAATTTTATTTTGCCGAGAAAAAATATATTATTAAAAAATTAGACCCATATGCCAGGTCATATTGGTATTGTAAAAATCTAAAAATATTTTCTCCTCATACATATTCGTAGTTCTTATCTAATCTAAAGCTTACCATGCTTACTGATCATAAATTATGAGGTGAAATATTATTTCCTTAAACTTTATAAGGTGATGTACTAAAAACAAATAATCTAAAAAATAGATTGGATTTTTATTGAAGACACTGTGTACATAGTGAGAGCACTTGAACATTGAAGGTGAATAATTATAAAATTAAATAGATCAGCGTGCTCTGTATTAAATGTAACAGGTCTGGCACAACTCCAGAGTCAATACACCAGGACTAGACCCCTAATCAATACACACTTTCCTGATCAGACAGCAGGTCATTCGGGGTGATTAAATCCACTCGTCAAAGGCACTGATTTCTTAATTTATCATACAATCAACTTTTAGCATTTCATTTAATTTATTATTGAGCTAGAGCATATGATTTTTAGTGTATGATTTCCTTTTGATTTGAGCACAAGATACCCCCACCCCTACCCCCTGGTTTATATGAAGTAACACTATATACATGTAGCTGCAGTCATTTTGAAAAATGAACCAGATTTGCAAAGGATATACATTAAATTATAACAGCATTATTTCCAGAAGAAGGAAAAAATACACTTTTAGTAATAAATGAGCAATTTTTGTCAGGAAACATTTTCATTGAATAGTATATGACCCTTATCTGAAATCTAAATGATGAGATAATCATTTAAAAAATTTTTTTAACTATTTTAAAAATATTGGATTTTTGAGAATAATAATCAATACCAAGTGTAATCAGGATTCTAATAATTTTTTCCAATATAGGAGGTCTATTGATCTATACAGGTGATATTATGTCATTGCCTAGACAATTTATTGGAGTTTTGGGGTCCATTGATTTAATTTAGGTAGATGCTATCCTCATATATTTTATGCCTCCTTCAAAGAAGGGTCAGGCATATTTCTTTGCTGCTGTCTGTCAGTCTGTTTGACCGTCACTCTGTCGGTCCACCATCAGTTTCCATTCATTTTCTTTGCAGAGGTTGCACATATTGAAATGAAATTTGGTATACAGATTAATCAGAGGAATGTCTAGGTCAAGTTTTGTTTCGGGTATAATCGTGCCATTTTTGACAGAGTTATGTCCCTAATTGGTCTTATAAAATTTTTAATCAGATGTACTAAGATTAATTTTAAAAAGTTTTGCAATACATTAACATTAAGCAAGGAATAATAAGAAACAGGAGTTGATCGTGTAATGGGAGATGAAGGAAATGCAGAGGACCAGAACAGGATTTGAGCCTTGGTCCCCTGAATCTCCAGTCAGGTGCTTTGCCACCAAGCTTTCTGACCATCAGCAATTGAACACAACTGACCACCACAACTGATTTAAGAATTCAAAAGAAGTTTTAGTTCATGTATTAAAAAATGCCATTTTTGTATTAAAGGAAGAAATGTTGCATAGCATGATCAGTTTGAATTCTGTAAAACCATAGATATTGGAGGGAAAAAACCCTGATCTAAATCAGATAAATTTGTATTTACAAAATTGTGGGCTCTAATTAAAACTGAATAGGTTGTTCTTGACAAGGGAAAGCAATGATCGGTGTAAATGTTGACCTGTTGAATCGCTGATGTGTAACACTAAGAAGACAAAGGTTTTATTTTTGTCGTTATATTGTTTCTTATGAACGTTCTCTGATGTAAATGGTGTATAATTAGAGTCAATCGGTCCACTGGCGACAGGTTTTACGTACCTGACAGTTACAGATGGCTTCTATGCTCGAACAGTTAATCAATTAATATTAGTTTATGTCAGATTTATTTCCGTTATATTAATTAATTATGATTTCTGGTGTCAAAATATAAGACGACTTACTGTCTCTTAGAAAGTACCCATGATGCACAGTGATGGTGGTTTAAACTACTGGGGGATTTTATTCTTTGAGTTGTATTCAAATTACATGTTGAAATTAGAAGATCTTTTTTTCCTTAAATTTTTCGTTTGGTTAAGCTACGAAGTATTTTGATATTAAAGTTAAAAAATTACTTTTTACAAGTTTTGAATATGTTAGTTACCTTGTATTTATCTTCGTGAAATACTTGTACATAAGAAATACTTGTATATAAAGAATTATATTTTGTCAAAAGATTGCTTCAGCAGTTTACTCGGGTATGAACCTGTGTGTCCTGTCAATGTCATTCTTTTGTGTACCATGACATTGCTTCCACACAATTTCAGATGTGTGGCGTACCCTGAATAACTTACCCATTAATCTCACCCTATCTATTTAATGTGTGAAATACTGAATTCACTTTTCTAGTTTTTATGTCCTGTTTTTTTTCATTTGTCAACATTTTTTTATATTATATAACAAGATTTGTGCAGACAGTTGAATCTTAATAATTAAACAGGAACTTATATTTTTTATTGGAGCCCCAGTTTCAGTGAAAAAGAAATATTTAAGTGAAAAACATCCTGATCCTTTAACAATTTATCTATATACTTGGTTGTCCTTGAAATCTTGTGATCCACATTAATACATATGCACAAGAAAGCAGATGGAGGCAGATGGAACAGCTGAATATTAAGTCCTGTAATTAAGTCTAATAATGGTATAGAAAGGTTAGACAGAAGTAAATAAGATTACATGACAATTGTTTACTATTATAAATTCCATATTACTGGGTAGCTATCATTACTGTTTGATTGAAATTAAAAATTAACATCATTTGTAAGGTATAATATTTGATCACATGATGTTAAAAGTATCCTATTTAAACAGAAAACATAATATCACAATTGTATTTTATTTTAATAAAATAATATGTATAAAAGCTATTTACATTAAGAAATATTTAGCTTATCAGGGTCTTGGGAAAGTGTTGAAATTAACATTTTCAATTTTGCGTTCTCTGTACAACGTAGTGAAGAATGTGTATCACTTTGTATTTTGACGTAAATACATCATTAAGACAAGCCACTTCTGAGGAAAACAACAATTACACAGACGTAAATATTGACTTCTAGAGGTCCATTAACTCTCCACTTCTTGTCCCATTCCCAGCTTAATGTCTACTTACACTAATCCCATTCCAGTTAATAAGGTGTCAAGGGTGTTCTGGACAGCCCCAAGGAAAGCCTAGCTTGCACCACTGCAGAAGCACTTCAACAGTGTCAAGGGTGCTCCACAGCACAAAACTTAAACCAAATCCTCTCTTGTTTTTAAAGTCATTTACGATATGTTCCCAGCCCCTGACACTTTGTCAACACCGGGATCATCTATTTTTATCAGTTGCTTGGATGTTTGATTTATTTTGTTCAGTGTATTTAAATTTTGATAAAATTTGAACTTATGTACTTACCTCTGGTGTAAAACATGAATGTGATTTGTTTGGATAGAAAGGTAATTGTATAGCTATAGGGACTGGGAGTGCAGATTTTCACGGTTTAAAGCTTTAAACTTTAACATGTTCCTTGAGATGCAGCAAAAATTAATTAACAGTGGTCCTTCTAAGCATTTATTACTTTCTTGAAATTAAAATGGTAGTGATCAATGTAATATACAAGTTAATTATGTTCATATTTAAGATTTTGTTTTCAGAAGGCACGGATGCTGAAGCCCATATCATCAGTGGGGCCAGACTTGGACCATCTGGAGGCTGAACGAAACATTCCCTCTGACCCTCTAGACAACAGAAAGAGACGTACCATCCTCCTAAAGAAGGAAAATGACTCCTGGGGATTCACTATACAGGTCTGTTAGTACTACAGTCATACCATTGACTCCTGGGGATTCACTATACAGGTCTGTTAGTACTACAGTCATACCATTGACTCCTGGGGATTCACTATACAGGTCTGTTAGTACTACAGTCATACCATTGACACTGGGGATTCACTATACAGGTCTGTTAGTACTACAGTCATACCATTGACTCCTGGGGATACACTATACAGGTCTGTTAGTACTACAGTCATACCATTGACTCCTGGGGATTTACTATACAGGTATGTTAGTATGTAGTCATACCATTGACTCCTGGGGATTCTTTATACAGGTCTGTTAGTACTACAGTCATACCATTGACTCCTGGGGATTCACTATATAGATCTATTAGTACTGTAGTCGTACCATTGACTCCTGGGGATTCACTATACAGGTCTGTTAGTACTACAGTCAAACCATTGACACTGGGGATTCACTATACAGGTCTGTTAGTACTACAGTCATACCATTGACACTGGGGATACACTATACAGGTCTGTTAGTACTACAGTCATACCATTGACTCCTGGGGATTCACTATACAGGTCTGTTAGTACTACAGTCATACCATTGACACCTGGGGATTCACTATACAGGTCTGTTAGTACTACAGTCATACCATTGACACCTGGGGATTCACTATATAGATCTATTAGTACTGTAGTCATACCATTGACACCTGGGGATTCACTATATAGATCTATTAGTACTGTAGTCATACCATTGACACCTGGGGATTCACTTTACAGGTCTGTTAGTACTACAGTCATAACATTGACTCCTAGGGATTCACTATACAGGTCTAATAGTACTACAGTCATACCATTGACTCCTGGGGATTCACTATACAGGTCTGTTAGTACTACAGTCATACCATTGACACCTGGGGATTCACTATATAGATCTATTAGTACTGTAGTCATACCATTGACTCCTGGGGATTCACTATACAGGTCTGTTAGTACTACAGTCATACCATTGACTCCTGGGGATTTACTATACAGGTATGTTAGTATGTAGTCATACCATTGACCCCTGGGGATTCTTTATACAGGTCTGTTAGTACTACAGTCATACCATTGACTCCTGGGGATTCTTTATACAGGTATGTTAGTACTACAGTCATACCATTGACTCCTGGGGATTCTTTATACAGGTATGTTAGTACTGTATTCATACCATTGACTCCTGGGGATTCTTTATACAGGTCTGTTAGTACTACAGTCATACCATTGACACCTGGGGATTCACTATACAGGTCTGTTAGTACTACAGTCATACCATTGACACCTGGGGATTCACTATACAGGTCTAATAGCACTACAGTCATACCATTGACACCTGGGGATTCACTATACAGGTCTGTTAGTACTACAGTCATACCATTGACACCTGGGGATTCACTATACAGGTATGTTAGTACTACAGTCATACCATTGACTCCTGGGGATTCACTATACAGGTCTCCTAGTACTACAGTCATACCATTGACTCCCAGGGAATCGCTATACAGGTCTGTTAGTACTGACACCTGGGGATTCACTATACATGCAAGTCTATTAGTACTGCCTTCATACCATAGACCTAGGGATACACTTAATACAGGTCTGTTAGTACTGTGTCATACCACTAAATACTGGTATCCTCAAGGAATAGACTCAGGGATTATAAATCTTAGTCATGTATGTAAATGAGTTAAAAAAGAAGTACTAAGCTTATTTTAAAACAGTACAATATGTACATGTACAGTGCTGATTGATACATGTCGACCTAAACTTCCATAAAATTTAAAGTGTTACCTGTATAACACAATTTTTATCTTTTTTCAGTAGGATTTTCTATCAAATCAAGTGTATTTCTATCAGGTCACTTGTATAGTTTGTGCTCATTTTGGTTTTCCTTGAATCTATAGTTATGTCTATTTTGGTACCATATGTTTGACCTATGTATAATGTAGTACTATTTTATATATGGTCATACCATTCACTACCGTTCTTGTTCCACAAAAACACACTAACCACAGTGTTCATTACTGAGCTTTTTATGTAATTATCTCCCAAGTACACAAGTGATTATGTAGTTTCCACTGTTACAATGTTTTCTTATTGGACTTAAGTTTGATTTAATTTGTTTTTTCTTTGTGTTAAAAACTGTCCCTCTCTATTCAGTGTTTCAAAAAGGATTATTGAAGGGGAGGGTGCTAGCCACAATAGGTCCCTTTTGGCATAAACATGTGTTTTAAAACATCAAAATTGCATGGCTTTTAAAGGTTTTATTTGTTTTTGTTTGATGACTACGTACAAAAAAATAGATACTGTATACTTTAAAACAATATGAAGTTTAATAAAAAATGTGTACCAGTAATAAAAAATAATTTTGTTCTGATTTAATGAAAATTTGGAAATAAAATGAGGGGTGGACAATTCCCGATATATGCATTTATGTCAGCTAGTCCTGTACATGCATACATTTTAAAGTAGGATGAACAAATATTTAAGCACCGACATTATCCTATTTCAGTTTACTTTGCATTTATGGCATTGTCATCCAAAAACCTAAAAAAATGATTGCCAGTAGACAACATTCACTGATATGCCTGTGACTGATTAATATCTATTGTAAGAAGGTTGGAAGTTAATGTGAAAGTGAATCATGCAAAAAAAATATTGAAGCAATTAAAATTTCTTCTGGAAAATATCATGGAAATGACAAAAGGAAAACCCAAGGAAGTTTTAAGTTTCAATTAATATTTAAGTCTTACTGTGTCAGAAGTAAAAAAAAAAGTTGTCAAAACGTGATTTTAATAATTGAGGCATAAATGACAAACAAGTAAGGGACTGTTAATGATATCCACAACTTGCATGTTATAAACCTTATACCGGTAAATACAAAACCTTGGCTATATATTTCTCATTGACTTCCTTAATATTGCAAGACTTTAAACACAAGATGATGCTTTTGAACTTAAATCACAAGTTTCAACATTTTGGACCATAAAAATGCATCTTTTTTTGTAAATATTTTTTTCCATTTTTTATAAATTGAAGGAAAAGGCAACCACTCAAATGTATTTTCCTTGCAGAATGTTTCAGTGTTGTCACTGCCTGCACTATTTTTTGTTTACGTTGGTTTAATGCATGCCTACAAGGAACTTCAAGTAAAATCAAATGAGCTTTTGTTTATGTTGATTTTGAAGTTTAAGAGTAAAATTAATCATTAAATGTCACATAAAGCCACCAAACAATTACCATAAAATCTTTTTTATGCATAGCCTGTATAGATTAACATCTTTAAGTTCACTCTTAAAATGTTTCCTGAAAAAGCCTTTGGTGCAGTTTGTTAAGCATATACATGGAGCAAACATGTATTATATTATATCATTGAATCAACAAAATGAAGAATTAAATGGGGGAAAAAATCATTAATAAAATGATATAAGACAAAAGTATTCCTTATAACCATAAAATTCTCTGACGGTTGAAGAGTTTATTATTTTCACTAGAATGTACAGTCATTTCAAACATGAAGAAAAACATAGGAAAGATTTAAGGATAAATGTTTGAAGTAAGAACTTGCAAACATTATCATTTAGAGCACAGATAAGTTGCCTTGGAAACATAAAAGCACCAATGAAAGAATTTAGAATTGACATGATATACCTTGAGCAGGAAATTCTTTGCTCACATATACCCAGTACATGTAATTGATCAAAGACTTCAAGAAGCCCTTGCAATCAGTTTATCCAGCCTTTCTAAAGACTTACATGTAAACTAGTTTATATGGTTTCAACATTGTCTGGAACCAAATTTAAAAACATATCAAGTATATTTTATATTCCTTGCAGACATATGGATTTAAAAACAAGAAGACAGGAGAGATAGAGGTTTATACCTATGTGGACTATGTTGCATTAAATGGACCAGCACAGATAGCAGGCATGAGAAGAGGTATAGTCAAAATAATGCAAAAAAAAAAAATGTAAACCACCAATAACTGAGGGCAAATTTGATATGGAATTACCTCTCCTCAAAGAGAGGACATCCTCAGAAAAATTGGGGTCCATTAGGCAAAAATTGCCATCAAACAGCAGTATGTTGACCCAGGACCCCTGATGATGTTTCGGTTTAAGTAAAGAAGAGCGTAAGCTGCACTCTCTAGCATGGCATTTTTGGTCAAAATTTTAAAACAAGCTGATTTTCAAAGAACACTTGCATGTATAATGCATGTGTGATATATGATATACACAATTCTTTGAAAACATCTGAAATTTATTTGAATTTTGTAGTCCTGGTTATTACTTTCTTCTATTACCAACTATACTGGTCAGAGCAAGACCAGAAGAGCTTATGCAACATTGTGGTGCCTGTTGACTTGTCTGTCTGTATCTTTGTAAGCATTTTTTTAAAATGCTACTAATTTTCTTACAATTTACAATTTGGTAATTTAGGTTATATGCATTTAAAATTTCGAACAATGACCTAATTTTGACAGAATTAAATTTTGAATTATTTTTTACACGTGGCTGCAAGGTAGAAATATGTGTACATGCATGCCCAGTATATGAGTATATAGATTTAAAAGGACTAAGGAAGTCTTTGCTTTTTTAAATGAAAGTTTGACACTGTACTTAAGAAGTATTAAATGCCCTGAATGCACAAATACCCATTCATTGTACCAGATAATGCACAATGTGCATTCAAGTTTTAATGCAGTAATTTTAATGTGGTTTGCTAATTGATCAATTGAAAGTATGTTATTAAAAGTAATAAATATATACAGCTTTTAATATTTTTTCAGGGGACATAATTTTGTCTGTCAATGGAAAGAGTGTAGAATTTGCAACACACCAGGAATTAGTATCTGTAATACAGTCAAGTGGAAACCAGGCAAGGTAGAGAACCAAATAAAGGGATCAAGTCATGATCATGTTCTTCAAAAAAAAAAATCAAGAATGTTTTCCTTTAAAACTCTACAGGATAAAAGAGCTTATACTCTTGTAAGGTGTCTGTCATTTGACTCAATTTGCTTTATCTGTGTGCAAACATTTTTTTTTAAAATGACACTCCTCTAGTCGTGAAGCAATTTTAGGAAAACATGGTGCACAAGTATATTATGCCCAAAAGCAAAATTATATCTGTTTTTGATTTCAAAAAAAGGATGTTGCCATAGATACTTAAAATAAAATTAGATGTGAAATTCTTTCAACTTTCTTTAAGTATGGTCCAATTTCAATGCAATCGTGAATTTAGAATACCACAAGCCTCCATATTAACTGGTTTTATTTTTAATCATATGTAACGAATCATTATGACACAAGTTCTATAGACTGGAGACTGATCCTTCCGATAAGGCTGTAAACTGAGGTCCCATGTCACTGTAGGTTCTGGCATGAAAAAAAATCTCTTTAGGCCATGCAAAGTTAATTCCTTGGTTCTCAAGCCTTTTTTCCAGAAATATGATGAGGGAAGGAGGCTTTTTTTTTTTTTTTTACTTTTTATTGCCCCCAAAACATGATGACTCAGAGGCAGCTTTTTACATTGTACAAAACTTTAAAAAATGATGGAGATGATTTATTGTTTTTATTTTATTGATTTAGCAATAAAAAAGGGTCAATGAGGCACCCTGGGAAGAGATGAGGGAGGGCCTGAGAACTAAGAAATTAATTTTTTGTGGGGGGGCTTACTATTCAAAGACCCTGTGTGTCTAAATTTGCAGTCCTTCTGACTGAAAAAAATCTCAATGGGATGTTAAACAATCTAATCAAAAACTTTAATTTCAAGATTTGTGACACAGTGACTATATGTCTACAAGGGAAAAGATTTTGGAACATTTTGACAATGCTAAGGTCAAAAATATCAAAATGTAACATTATAAAATAAATACATGTAAACGAAACTTGCAATTACACACGCAGGGCTTGCTTGCAAAACTGAATGAAACAAGGGTTCTGTATCACTCAAAGTCTGATTATGTCCAGGCATAGGGCTTGTCACAACAATGATTCAAGGTCACCTTCACAAGACTAAAAAAAGTGTTGAAAGGAAAACTATGAAATTAGTAAAGCTGAATTGCTTTGTGGATATTAAAAATGATTACCCATGACAGAAAGTGTTAATGTATTTACCAAGGTAGTGATCTTAAAATAGACAAACTCTTCTATTTTCAAGGTTGTTGAAAAAAAAATGAAACAAAATTTGTGTTGACCAGATGATTTGGGTATCAAAAACAGATACATGTAAATATGGGGAAACTTTTTTTTTTGAAAGAAACAGATTGAAGGCAGTCCATATAGACATAAAACTATTGATCCTCCCAAAGACTTTTTGAGGGATGTTTGTAAAAAAAAAAGTACTAAACAGGAAATAATTTCTGATAAAATAAAGGAGATATTTTCCTTCTTGTACAAATATTAATACACCAGCTTACTTGCTCAAGGACTTTCATTTATGAAAAGTGTGTTTTAGACATGAAATAACTTCCTTGCCTTTGATCAAATGCGTTGTTCATTTGAGACCAAGTTTCAAAGAAGGAAGAAAAAGTACCATGACCTGTATGTGTGATTTATTTGTTATTACTACTGTGTTTCCTTGCGGGTTCTGGCTAACAGATACAACAATATAATTTTACTTCGTACTGATGCCCTTGTATGGCAGCTTTTGGCAAAAGTTAGTCTCTAAATTGCAAATCAAACTTGATCAAAAAGATCATATTAAAGGTACCCAGGGAAAGGCCTTGACATAAGCAATACACATGTAAAAAAAGCCATAGAACCAATTGTACAAAAGTTGTACAAATGTAGGTCAAACTCCAAGGTCAGGGTCAATTTTACATAAATAGATTAAAATACACTAAAATACATATACATGTATCTTTAAAAAAAAAAAAGCAGAGAAAATGATCAATAACAATATAAGATTGTGAATTAAGATATCAGGTTTAAATTTTGAAATTTTACTTGAACATTGACATAGGTTTCAACTGGAAAGGCAGGCCAGTAACTATTTACTAAAAATTGATCTATTTGACCACCCTAACTGCAAGGTTTTTTTTTTTTTTATAATGTTTTACAATAAGTATACCATTTCACTTGACTTTCTCATTTCAGAATGGTGGTGTTGTTTGTGGATTGTTGTAAAAAGGTTGAACTCCATGACAGACTAATAAAGCTAAAGGTTAGTCAGTTCAGGACTGCTGTATTTTTTAAATGAATATACTGTTCTCATATAAACAGAAGTTTCTGAAATCTGAAGTATATATATATTATAACAGTAACTTGATCCGAAGGGTCGTATCACTTCGAGTTGAGAGGCGCGGATCATCAGATCAAATGATCTGCGCCTCTCAATGAGACGTGATACGGCTCTTCGGATCAAGTTACTGTTATCATACATGTTAACTCTCCCGATTTAGGCGGGAGTCTACCGCTTTTTCACTCCATCTCCCGCCTACCGATTTAATTCAGAAACCTACCGCTTTTCTACAAAAGCTGCGTCTAAAGTATTTTTGGTTCGCTTGGGTATCCATTTTTGAAGCCGCTCTCATAAAATCTCACTAGATATCGCGAGATTTGACTCAGAATCATACAAATGCTTTTTTGTACATAGATTTCAAGCACGGATTTGACAACGACAACAACATAAGACTACCAGTGATTACATTGGTTACGATAAATTAATCAACATCCCTGCCATGAAAAAGGAGATACAGCTTTTAAGAATTAGATGAAAACATTTGACATCGTCTTTGCTCACAACTTTATAATAAAGTCAATAGAAATCACTCGATGACCAAGCCATGTGGCACATCTCTACTTTCGTTTTCGATCATCGCGGGAAATCTGATTTATATAACGAAAGATACGAACTTGTTTTAGATCTAGATTAAACCATGCCATCATTGTTTAAAAACTGAATGAACATTCAGAATTATTGCTTCTAGGCTATTTCAGCAAAGATCACTCTTCAAAAGGCTAAGTAAAGCAGCCAATCCAAGCAAAATGATGAGCATGAAAAATATTTGAATTTGTACAATTTATGTCAAACTTAAGGTGTTTCTGTCTTCTTTGCTGTTGATATTTAAAATTAATCAGTGTAGGTACCTGATTTCATTTAAGGCTTATAAAATACATGTATTATTACATGAAAATTATCGATAATCCAAGCGTTAAACAACACGCGCGCAATGCTACCGCTTTTGAGGTCTGAATCTCCCTCTTTTTCATCACAATAGGTTAACATGTATGCTGTTATAATGATAAATTTATTATATACCCCCTTATAACTGGCTAAATATATTTAAATAAACCTTTATAGATCAATTGTATAATATTAATCCATTAAACAAAGCATAATAACAAGGGACTTTTTATGCGCAAGAAATATAATGTCATGTTTCTGCATACGACGTCATCAGTTTCAGAAAGTGGTGATATGAATTCAGAAAACCACAGTGTGGTGATCTGGAAAGTGGGATCACAACATCACGTGATATAGCATAAAATCAACAGTAAAATTTAGTGATACACATTAGGTATATCATAATAAAATTTATATGTTAGGAAATTTGAAATTGAGACATGCAGAGCTATGTTTCATGTCTGCATATTGTGCCTTATAAATTGTGTACTTTTTCTTAAAATCAAAACTTGGATGTTAGTATGAATTATTTGTATGATGAAGATTAATTGACTCAATCCTCCTCTTTTTGTTTTCTAGAGGTTACTCAGCATGAAGATAAATGAACTCAGGGAGGTAGAGAAGAAAGAGAGAGAACTCATGGATGGTATGTTTAGTTTAATTTACAAAAATACATCTTTCATGAATTTAAGGCTTATTAGATTATGAAGTTTTCTACAGAATAAATAAAAATCAGGTTTATTTAGCCCATGAACAATTGTATGAAATATACAGTAAAAAGATAGGTACATGTATTTCTTGGTTTTGTATTTTTTTAGTTTTGAAAAATGTAAATTAGCTGTTACTTTCAGGAATATAAACAAATCACAAAACCAATAAAACCTGCATAAAGTATAAACAATTTTGCCAAACTAGTTTTAAATGAATCTCTTGCAGAGTTTTGCTTTACACGAGGCCTTGACAGATTTGACAATTACCGACAAAGTGTTCTGAGCATCCAGTCTCGAGATTCCAGTTTGGACAGGTACAGCATTATAACATCTAATGGCAATCTGTACGACATTCCAAACACAGCCACCCTCCATCTCGATACGTCTAATTCTAACACGTGCAGCGACGACATGAGTGATTCCACTGATGACACGGAATGTTATCCTGATGTGAATTACGCGGATGATTCTGACGGGGACTCAGGGATTTCTTACGAGGATTTTCCTCGCTCCGAGAGGCGAAACACCATCATTGACTGTAATAAATTCAGTGATTTTGTCAGAGAGAGACGCGGAACATTAGTGGGTCCAATGTGTGAGTGTGTAGGGGACAGTATCTGTCAATTTTGCGAATTAAGACAACGTTCAGAATCACTAGATGCCCCCTCATCTGAGTGCTCAGAAGATTCTACTCCAGTGCTGGACCAATCAGAGGAGGATCCAGAAAAGTTTGACCAATCAGAAGACACCACAACTGTCCTGGATCAGTTGGAAGAATTCACCCCAGAATATGACCAATCAGCAGCACTTGACCAATCAAAAAATACAGCATCAGAATTGAACCAATCAGAGGATTCAACACTAGTGCTAGACCAATCAGAAGAGACAGTAAAATGTGAAGATTCAAATAACAGTCTAACTGACAATGCTATTTCTGAGTCCAATCCAGATCAGATCCCTAAATTTACAAAGAAAGATTCCTTAACATCCAATGAAAGTGCAGATTCAGTAGATGAAGATGACAGTTCATTAACTCAGTCTTACATTGACAGTAGTTTGCCTGCTGGTCAGGTAGAATCTAATGAGGAATCACCCGAGACAGAGGAAGCCACAGCCACTGATGATGACTGGGATTTCCCCTTCTGGACCGAAGGTTCCGTTTGTATCAATCTAGATGATGAGCAAACCAAACTCTGATACATGTGTTTGTCATTGTGATGGATTAGAATTTTATTCTCATTTTATGCTTTGATTTATTGCCAAATTAACATACATGCCTGACATTGGAACACATGTTTAGGACTCTTTAATAAATTTGTCAAATGGACAATCACTTTACGTATCCCAAACCTTTTTTGAAAACATTTTATGAATTGAAAACATGAAATTGCAATCCCATTCACTACCGTGTTCTGTAAATGTGAAGAGTTTATTTGATGTGTAGAAGGTACAGGTATTTACTTTAACTATGAACTTGTGCATTTTGCTTTAATTTATTTATACATGTATTTCAATATGATTTAATATTTCTTTAAATGTGATTTGAATATTTAAAAATTGAATATAGCTTATTATAAATTGTTAAATGTGTTGAAATATTTAAGAGTATTTTTCATGAAATTTTTGTTAAGATATTTCTTTATAGTGCTGGTCACTATTGAAGAAAAATTAGTGCATTTGAGATTTTTTCCTCTTGGTTAAAAAGGTGCCAAATTCTTGACTTTGTTTTTTTTTTTTTTTTTTTTTTTTGAAGCGCATTGAAGTGGTAAAATTTGTTTTGAAAAGTTCTGAGTCATGTTTTGAAGGTCAATTATAACATAATGACACGCCCATATTTTTAGAAACGAGAAAGTAATATTCGTCGTAGTTTTAGGACATCCCATTCTTCGCGACAAGCATCATGAGTTACACTGAAATGGAGCTTTAAAAAAAATAGAAGAGGGAGTTAGATACTCCCCGCTTCTGTTAAACACAAATTGCAACGAATATGTACATATTTTTGAACATATCATGTCTATTGAAGTTACCACAACACATGTTTTGGTCGAACACGTGTTTACTCGGTGTTTATTTAGATCCTCAATTTGATTGGCTATTATATTTATGGAAAACCTGTTCTACAGGTATTTGAAGAAACAACTTGACCGTTTTATCAATTTCTAAAGAAATGGGCGTGTCAAAAGATGACAATAAACACTCTAAATATAGCTCAAAACGTTCCATTCGAACGGAAAATTTTACCACTTCAATGCGCTTCATTGTAAGTAAATTGTTGAAACATTATTACATAGGAATACTCTCTAGGAAAAGTCATAATACATATACAGCATTGTATGGTAACTAACTATTGCAAATTACTGTACATTGTGGTAAAGAATGCATGAAATTTTTCCTCCTCTGAATATGGTTTAAATTATTCAATGTTCTGAAATGCAGAATTATTTTTTTCAGAGGAGAACATATATTTTTTAAACATACCAATTAGATGTTATGTTACTGATGTGAAGCTCTGATTTATTTGGAAGTTGAGACTGAGTTTAAAATTTTAGACATCTAAAAGCCTGGAATGTTTTTTAATGGTTGGGCAATCAACACATTTTGACTGTGCATCCATTGTCACTAGCTGTAAGGGATATTTAGTCATTAACTCCTTTACCTAATACATATTACATCTTCTACTTATGATTTTTTTTTATTTCTTCACATTTAATTTGTTCACTTTTTAGAAGTTTATAAATTCAATTGAACTTGCAAAAGTGAAAATTAATTTTTATGGTGCTGTTTACAAACACTTCTATTGCGCTAATCAATTTGTCATGTTAATTAATTGATGTAACACTTTTGATGTATTGTTATTTATGATTGCTTTTATTTTTCAGTATATGATGTCAATAGTGCTATAATACAATGTGATTCATATTTCATACACCTTTTGTATTCAATTAAAATGTGGTTTATTCATCATAAAATCATATTCCAAAATTGTATAATGATTCTGATGGTTCAGTAACCATGCACTCTCTTACTGGTATGGTGGCCCAGTGATTTCCACATTAAAGCTGTATTTTTCTTAGAAATAGAGAAAATATAAAGGAAAAAATAGACATTGTTGTTTTGCATTTTTAATTTCTGGGAAAAAAGCCATTAACATATTTTTATGCTTGTATGTATTTATTTTTGTTTTTGAGACTTGATTTTTGCTGGCAAAAAACAAATTAAGAGGAAAAAAAAAACAAGGAATGTAACAAAGAATAACAGGCACAAAAAACAGTATGAATTCCCAGTTTGTTAATATGTCACAAACAGAAATAATTATTTAGGACACTAGCTGCAGAACTGTAGCATTATGGCTTTATACATTATTTAGGTCTGTTTTTCGATTCAGGAACTGGTTGGTTCCTCTGCATCACCTCTTTATATTAGTCTTTGACCATAACGCTACAGATCCTGTAATGCAAAAAATATGCAATTCACGGCGCAAGAATTTTTGCGCACTGTTGGGGAGAAATTCTCCACTTTCAAGTATTGGTGAATCAGAAATTTCACTCCCTAATTTTAGACACATTCTTTGACCTGTCTGTATATTTTATCCACCTCCCAGCCCTATAGAGTTGTCTCGACAAGCTATGAACTTGCTTAATTTGAATCTTCTGCAATTCAGTAAATTATTCAAAACAATCTAATTTATCCCCTTTGGAAACAACTATAACACTACAGTTCTGCAGCTATTAGGACATCAGATTGCAATGTTGTTATTATATATGCAAGATTTTTGTATCCATTCATATTTATTTGCATATTTTGAAACAGAAGCACCAAATTTTTCCTGTGATATATAAAGAAATTATCTGCTTATTAATTGTTAATCTGTATATGTACAATTATATGTACAATTAGCATGAAGTCTAGGCTGTTTCTCTAATCAGTTGTTACCTTTATGTCATACTCCAGTGTGGCTAGGATTTTTGTTACTCACCATACTTTCTAAATGTTTATTAAACTGTTAATGAAAGAATTTGAAAAATGACAGTAATCCTATTTCTCTTTGTATATTTTAGAAACCTTTTTTTTTAATCTGTTCTGTAGGGTGTCTAGTATCTGTTTGTCCAATGTCATCTGTCTTGTGTTTTTTAGGCTTCTTCACACTATAAATGTGTCTTGTTCTCCAGCAGTTCTGGGCCAATTTCAGTGTAACTTGGCACAAAGCATCTTTCAATGAAAGGAAATCAAGTCGGTTTAAATCAAGAATGTACCCTTCAAAAGTAGATAACATGGATGTACCAAGTAATGAAAATTAAGAAAACCTCAAGAACAACTTGAACCAGAAAAGATGAAACAAAAATGAAAGCTTTCCTACATACATGTAGTGTATATTCAATTTTGCTCAAATTCATCATAACCATTATCAATTTAACATCATAGGTTAGGACCACATTAGGACAAAGATAACATAGGCAAAAAAAACAACAGGAAAAAATATCTTGTTTTCAAGAAAGCAGAATCATGGTTAGTCGTATGAAGGTAATAATTCATTTTCAAATTTGTTAGATTTGTGACCAAAGGAGTAGGATGAGGCAGCAGTAGATACAGTAAAACTTGTTTAGTACGAACACGGATATTGCGAATTCACTGATATAGCGAAGTTTTATTTTGGTTCCCCAACTATATAAATTTAATGAATTCCTTATATGGATATAACGAATTATGGATATAGCGAAGTGATTTCATAGGTCCCCGTGACTTCGTTATAACCGAGTTTTACTGTAGTTTTCCGTAGGCCTAAATGACCAAAATTTATTTCCCATTGCGAATCATATTGGAGGTCATCATGCATTTATTCCTTCATTTTTAACCAACTTATTTATACTGGCAATTGTTGGGTGGGAAGCATTATGTTTTCTGAAGTGAAACATGGAGATAACGAACTGTATTCTAGATCGAAAGTCCATAAAACAATTGCAAAATAGGAGCAGAGCAAATATAGCTACCTACCTAGTCCTTGTTATGCCCGTGGGCACATAGGGCAAGGACTAGATTTCTCCACCTCTCTCTATCTTTAGCGTTTCTTTCCAGCTTGTGGTCCCTCATTTCTTTTTCAACCGTCCTTCGCCAGGTGGTCTTTGGCTGACCAGGTTTCCTCTTCCCTTCTGGTGTCCATCTAAGGGCTACTTTAGTGATGTTGTCGGCTGGCTTCCTCAACACATGCCCTATCAATCACCATCTCCGTTTAGTCAACAAGGTTCGCATGTCGTCTGTGTTGGCCTTCTCATGTAGTTCCTGATTTGTAATTTTGTTTGGCCAGAAAATCCTCATGATCTTTCTGAGGCATCCATTGTGGAAACTAGAGAGTTTGCATACGTCTCGATCCTTCAGTCATTCTCCAGCATTCTGACCCATAGAGTAGGACAGATAGTACGCAACTGTTATATATTCTTATTTTTGTTCTTCTACTTATGTCATTTGTTTTCCAGATGTTCTTGAGGCTAATGAAGGCACCTCTGGCTTTACTTAGTCTGGCCTTTATATCTTTGTCCGCAACTCCATCTGATGTTACTATGCTGCCAAGATAGGTAAATGTTCTTGTGTTGCTCAGGTTGTTTCCATCAACCTGTATTCTTGCTGGTTGTTTGGTGTTTAATGACATAACTTCAGTTTTCGTGGTATTAATTTTTAGTCCAATTTTTTCTGCATTTCTCTGTAATTTTGATGTTTTACTTTGCATATGCTTTTCCAGATGCGATAGGAGGGCCAAGTCATCTGCATAGTCTAGGTCTTCAAGATTGGTAAAGAGTGTCCATCTTATTCCTGTGTTATTTCCATTTAGGGTTGATTTCATTACCCACTCAATTGCTAGTATAAAGAGGTGAGCTGACATCACACATCCCTGCCTCACGCCAGATTTTACTATGAAGCATGCATCTGATGAGCTGCCTATAGAACAATTAAACTTCACGTGAAAAGCTTTTATCAGTTCTACTATCTTTGATGGTATTCCATAATGTCTTAAGATTTTCCATAGACTTTCCCTGTGGATACTGTCAAAGGCTTTTTCGAAATCTGTAAAGTTTATTATAAGCTGCCTTTGCCACTCTGTACATTGCTCTATGATATTTCGCAGGGTAAACACCTGATCGCAACAACTTTTCCCTTTTCTAAAACCTGCTTGTTCTCGTCTTAGTGTGGCATCTATTGCATTTTTAATCCTGTCAATAATTATTCTGCTGAAAATCTTACTTGATTTGATAGTAATGTGATGCCCCTCCAGTTATTGCAGTTAGTAAGATCTCCTTTCTTTGGCACTTTAATGATACTTCCTTTAGACCATGTCGTTGGTATTGTATTATTATTCCAGATCTTGGTGAATAATGAGTGTAAAATGTCTGCTGCAAGGTTTGGATCAGCTTTGAATAGCTCTGCTGGCAGTTGGTCATTTCCAGGTGCTTTGTTGTTCTTAAGGGCTGTTATTGCTTTGAGTATTTCAGCTTTAGATGGTTCCTCTGTTTCAATTTCTAAATCAGTGTCAGCTTCCGGTATGTGTGCCAGTTTGTTAGGCTCCGGGCGATTCAACACTTCTTCAAAATGTTCTCTCCATCTTTCATCTAGTTCCTTTTCGGATGTAATGAGGTTGCCTTGCTTGTATTTAACAGGCATGTTTGTTTTTCTTTTCCTTCCACTCAACTTTTTTGTTATTTGATAGAGATCTCCCATTCTTTGTTCAGAAGCAGCTTTCTCAG